GGAGACAAAAGCTGCCCTGCAGACCCAATTCCCCCAGCAACGCCTGGAGAACGAGGTACGCCTCACCCGCCCAAGTCAGCATCAAAAAGGCGGAAACCCAGTACTATCTCACGCTCCGTACTCCGTACTAGGTGTTACGGAGCCCCCCATCAGGATCTAGACGCTCCGCCAGCGGCGTTCCAACGCTCGTCAGCAGAAGCGGGCAAAGGGGGAGCGGACAGAAGTCGATCATTCCAACGTGACCTGCAAAGAAAGAAATAACCAAACGATGGGGTTGAGAGTAAACAGGCTCTGCGGGTGACGAAAAGTGACGGGGCCCAAGTCACGAGAGGAAATACGGCGCGGGTTAAACGGTACGGTGCGAGCGGAGCGTTTCCACATGGTGGCCTTCTTGGGGGGGCTGTCATGAGAAGACGAAGGGCAAGAAGAGCGGGATGCTGCTGTGGTCTGTGGTACTACTAGTAGTAGTAATACTTGTGTGCGAGGCTCGAGGCGGCGCTGTCTTGCATGGAGGCTGAGTGCACGTCAAGGATCAGGCTCTGATTACCGTACGTTACATGAGCCCAGGTCTACCTGTACATCTTGGTGACAATTCCTGGAAACTGGAAGGTAAAGGTACATCGAAAGCTTTCTTCAAAACCAGCAGAGACTTAACAGATGCCCCCATTGTTGTTTAGATCCAACGCCATGAAGAAACCGTACGGGACAGCGGATGATCCGCTGGCGGCCGTCTCTTATTTTAGCCCGTCGCCGGCACTAGTAGTAGTAGTTGTACTAGTAGTAGCAACAAAGGCAAGACGCCCCTCACGGGCTTCTCGAAGTTAACGGTACACATAGTGCGCGGTTTTCGACCTCCTAGAGCTACCTACTAGTACGTAACTGTCTGTACGGAGTGCTGGCGTTACGATTGCTATTGCGGCAAAGAGGGAAAATGGACAATGACGGTGATTGTTAGACGCCCGGCAGGGGTCTTTGGAGCTCATGTGAGATGAAGAACGAGGCTTTGCCCGCTTGGCTTGCCCGCCAGCTGAGCTGTTGCTGTTCGTTACGGGTTAAAGCTGTGAATCACATCACACTAGCCAAACCCAATGCCCATTTGATGACCTTGGAGCTTTGTATGTGGAGGACAAGGGTAGCTTGAGGGAGCTACTTGTAAGGTATTGAAGCAATCGACTTGCAGCTCAGAAGTACATGTACAAGCTACATACTTGTAAGGTGACAGAGAGCTGGAGCTGATCTCGGGAGCTTTCCATCAAGGGAGGGGGGATCGTCACTTGACGGCGCCCGCGTCCCGAAGAGAAAGAGGCTGTGATTGAACACCCGAGACAAAACCCCCCTCCAAGGTCAATGCGAACAATCGTCAGCGTCACCTCATCATCGAACAAGCTCACTATGGACTGCTGATGCCACCGCAAATGCAACGCCCAAAGAAAGCTGCATGTAATTTACTGCATAAGGCGAGCCATTAATGAATCAGGTTCCGGCGCAGTGTCGGATCGCAACATCTGACTCTTTTTTCTTGGAACAGCGAGAAATGCCGTCCCGGGTCCTGTGACTGGCCACGTGGGGAAGCTCCAAGGGAAAGATGGCCGGCCGTTTTTTCGCCACTGTGGACAAGTCTGAGAAGCCATGTGGTGGTGATTTGGACGAGATTTGGTGCTAGCGAAGATGGTCGGGCGCTTGTTGCTGGGGTGTCATTGGCGCAAGCTATACAGTGCTCTGCGATCATCTTGGATGCACATATTGTACCATTGAAGAATGAAGCAGACTGATACTGGAGAGCTACGTATGCTGGAGCTGGGAGGAGAGAAATCGTCTGATTGGGGAGTCTGCTGATACTACATGTTGCTGTACTTTGCGATGAAGCACGGCATACGACTCGGGAGTTGCATAGGGAGCAGTCAACTACATTGCTACGCGAAACGGAGGTGGGATTCACTGCCCTGAGCAAAGGTTCTCGATCCGCTGGACGAGGTTCGTCGCTTGACAGCGGCATCACAACTGCTGGGGAGGCGAAGAGGGAGGCCGCAGGTTCCATGTCTTACGCTTCAGGGCAAAGCAAGAGAAAGAGTTAAGACTTCAACCGCACTTACATACTCCCTCCTGGAGCTTGTATTTAAAAGACCAGAGTAAAATCTTTCTGTATTGTTTTTGTCAATCCTTAAGATTAAAGGTGGACAGACGGATGTAAAAAGCATATCACAATCGCCAATGACAAGCGTATGCGCCAATGATGAATTGCCGACAAGTCTCATCTCGCAGCTCGTGATTGCTTCCGTCACAGTTTGGCTCAGACCCAGCCCTGGTTTTTCCTTTCCGCATCAAGGGCACAAGACACAACACACACCTCGTCTCAAAACGCTACAAGAAAGCCACCTCCAGGTTTTGTCTCCTCATGAATTATTACTGGTTCTATCGATCTTCGCGCAGCAACAAATGCTTGCTTGCCATTGGTCCAAGGCGCGCCAACCGCGGAGCCCATGAGACCTGGTGAGCCATGTAAAAATCATGGGCTTCACTTTTTTCTCCCATCAGTTATCACAACGGCTTCTTCCAACCACTAGGCACTCTTCTCTCCACGCAAATCACCACTTGATAGGATGAAATCGCATCTCCAGTCCACCCCCCTCACAACCACGTCCCAAAAAGTCCACCCAAATCCCTCCCGACAGAAAACCCGCATCACCTATATGTAGGTATGTAATTCCGCACATCCGCACGCCGCACCCAAGAACATCCAACTTCTCCCAGAAGAAGAAGCAAGTAGGGGAAAAAAAAAGAAAAGACGAGAAAAGAAAAAAACAGGATACTCCATCTCATCCAATAACATCCCTCCTCGGTCCAAAAGTCAGAATCCACGGGGCGGTGAGCACATAAACATGTCCACGAGACGTCCTTTTCAACCAAGAAAAACAAGACGGGCTGCATGCGGGTTACCATATCCACTCACACCCAGAAAGACCACATGCAGGACAGGCTTCAAGGTTTTCGACCTTTTCTTTTTGGACCATTCACTGATCAGATTCGCTGTCTGGGGATGGAGGCTTGCAGAAGAGGTCACCCTTGGAGTTTGCTTTTCTGTCAACTGGACGAGCTCTTATTTGCTGAAATTCCTGAAGGGATGCGGTCGACTAGATCCTTGTCTCTTTTGCAGATGGAAATCCCACTCCCAACTGGCTGCTCCTCATGTTCCCAACTCGCAACTCGCAGCAACAACTTACCCTACACACCTTGACCCAAGACAAAAACATACAAGAAAACCAAGGCAAATACTTCTCCTCACAAAGATATCTAACCCAGCAAATCAATCCCTCAACAGAAAGAAAGCCACTCCCAAGCACGCTCACCGCCAGATCATTTCAATTACCAGAATCCCATCCATCCCCCTCCAAAGAGGCGCCGCCACAAAACTAGTAGGCCCAACCTCCCAATCACCCTCTCAGACTCCCCATCTCCCCGACATCCCTCCATCTGCCTTGTAAGCCTACAACTCAAATCCAACCACAAATCCCTTCATACAAAAGTAGTGCTACGCCAAAGCAAGGGGATTCGCATAGGAACTACTTAGTAGAAAGGCAAACCAACATCCTGCGCCAAAGAGAAAACACAATCACCGGCATACATACATACATACTCGTACATATTCTTCCGACGACCGGAAGACAGTCCGTACAAACAAAAGAGGGGAAGCAGCAAATCAAACATCATAATCATATCTCTTGTCTCTTTTACCCCGGAATACCTACCACAACATGCCGGGGATAGATGTATCTACATACATACATGCCCTTGCTCCCCGTACATGACATGTCTCGCCCCATCCGGTTCATCAAAACCACTCAAAGCAGTTTCTCATTGGATACTTCCCCCTAAAGTAGACAACAGAAACACCACTCCTTCTCGTCAGAAAGGGCCAACTACCTTTACATCTACCGACATGTCACACGTAGGCAGACATCAAAAAGCCCCCAGAATTTCGCTACTGACCTACTTTGCAGTACGACTTACCGCACCCCAAACCTGTCTGCAACTTCATCCTTTCAATCCTCCTCCCCCTTGCCTCCACCCCTTCTTTTTCTCCTGTGGGAAGGGTTACTTCAGTATGGAACAAAGCACTTTAGGTACCTTAGGCATCTGCAACGCAGAAGCGTGTGATGTGATCCAAACACCCCCTTAGTCCCATCATCCGTAGCCCATAGATGGACGCAGACGCAGGGGGTTCCAAAGCGCAAGTGCATACATACGGTGATTTTATCAGGTCCAAGTCCAGCAAGTCCAGGTACCTCCTCGATCTGAGTGATTTTCCATCGTAGGCAAATACTACTTACCTACGGGTAACAACAAAGCCCTGGGGGCTGGATGGCGGGGGGGGGGGGGAGACGATGGGAAGAAAAAAAGAGGGTGGGCATAATGCGCTGGCCCTGCATCGGACATACCCAAACAACGATCCACGATTCGTCTAAGCCCGTACCTTAGTTGGATGGATTGGTATGGATGGGATGTGTTGTCCGCTCCAAGGGTCTGACTTATCATGACCATTCTGCTGGCTAGGCAGGGCTTGTCAACTACTATACAACTTACCCATTTGAATCATTCTGGATCGATTTAAAAGATTGCTTCGTTGTCCCTGTCCCTGTCATGGGTTGCTAGTTCCTCCTGTTCATTCGTCAATGGCTGAACCTGCTGGCATCCGCGACTATCCATCCAACATCATTGAGGGCGTACCGACTAAGAAGTCACGTCTTGTGCGAGTATCTCGAACATCGCTGATCACACTACGGTGTATCTTAACAAGTATGCTACATGCCACAAAACACACTACTCCCACTTGACCATTCATGCTTTCAGCCGCTTCTTCGGGAGTCGTTTTCGTCGCCATGCGTCTCTTCTGCCCCTTACACTATTCACTCTTCTTCCTCCAAGGTTCGTTCAAGCCTCATCAGATCCGCCAAAGCTCATCGCTCATTAGTGTTGCTCAATGTCGCTCAATGTCATCAAGCTCAATCCTCCCACACAGGCAGATACAAATCAACCACAATCGGCTTGCTAAACTGCTTTCCCCCGACGTGCGGATAACCCCCCTTCATAATCGCCGCATTCACAACGCACGTCTCCTTGCGGCCCTGCCTTCCCGCCAACGCCTCACGATCGCAGTCCTCAGACGCCGGATCCCCCCCGTAGCCCAGCAGACTGTCATCGCCGTCACCGCCGCCTCGCTTTTGGGCAGCGACGCTAGAGCCCTGCTGTGATGACTCCTCCGAGTATGGCCCCGAGGGAGCTGGCGTGGAGGCCGTCTGTTGGTCGTCCTGATGGCTAGGCCGGCCCGGGTGCGAGCCGTCGTTTGCGAGAGCCGGCGTCTTGCCCGCCTTGCCCGTGAGGTCGACCAGGCTCATCTTGTTGTTGCCCGCGCCCGGATCCTCCCACGGCATGGCGGCCCCCTCTGCGTAGGGCGTGGACTTGTTCTCGAGGTCCCAGAGCACTCGCTCCGCGCCTCGCCCATCGTGGATGTGCCCGCAGACGGCTAGCTTGGGCCTCACTCTCCAGAGCGCCTGCCGCAGGGCCTCGCAGCCGGCTGACTGCTGGCCGTCGGGCTGATCGCAGTGCGTACGTGGCGGCGTGTGCGTTACCACGATGTCAGTCTCGAGCGGGATCAGTTCCCACAGCGAAGTGAGGTCAGCACCGATGCCATCCTGAGATGCCGGTGCCTCATAGTAAAACGCCCAAAGTCCGCTGCGAGGAGAGTACGGAGAGCCAAAGACGGTGAACTCGGTATGCGGGCCCGTGGGCGACTTGAGACGGATGGTGGCCGAATCGTGGCACAGGTAGGTGAGAGATGGCGAGGAGGCAAGCAGGTTGATGCAGTCCGCCGGATTCTGCTTGATCTTGTTGTGGAAGTGGTCGCCGTGATGGAAGTAAAAGTCTTCATCCAGGGTGACGTCGTGGTTGCCTGCTGATCGTCAGCAATGCCAGTTCATCTTTTCAGTCGGTTGACAGCACATCACCGCTTACCCGCCACGACAATCTTGGCTTCGAAATCGGCCTCTTCAAGCCATTTCACTGCCCGAGAGAGCTTTCATGTCGTCGCACCCCAAGGTCAGCCCTTGTACAGAAGTGTGACGTCAAGGGCGCCAGACTCGCGAATGGGCCAGAGCACCAACAAAAGGCGACAGCTTACCTCTGAGATGCTCCCCTTGTTAGTGAGGTCCCCAGCATGGATCAAGACGTCGCCCGGAGGGAGCTTGACGGTGCAGTTGTGCGTGTCGGAGATGCAGACAATCCGTGTTTTGCGCAGCTTTGGGGTTGTTGTAAGAGTCATAGTGGTGGTGGTTTGTTGGAGCAAGAAGCTGTGTTTCTGCGGAAAACGAACGGACCGACTCTTTGGTCTGCTGATAAACAAACCAAATGTCTGCTCCTGCGAATGAAAACCGACGACGACGGGACGCATTTATACGCCTACTCGCCGCCCCGGAGGAATTGACGCATCGTTGCCAGGAAACTGCATGGACTCTGGCCAGCGTCCAGACGAGTTGATTCGACCAGCTAACTTGGGCCCTTGAACATGAGCTTGGTAGTACAGCATACAGACCGTTGAGCCCCTGATTGGCTGCGTCTGGAGCCAAGGGGCGTCGCCGTGCCTCTTCGCTGTGTAGCTCCATCTACACCGATGCTCTCGTACGTGATTCTGCCTGCATGTAAGAGCCGGGCCACGCCTCTGGATTGTTTGCTTGTTCCCACGAGTCGCCCTTCGAGACCTCAGCCCGTCAACTCCCGCCAGCCCTGTCCAAAAATAGGCGCGGAATGTTCGTCTGCAGGGTGATGAGGTCATTTCCCCCCATGCGTATCACCGTCCGTCGCCCTCTGCAATTTCTCGTGTATGTGGCCTGAGATTAGAGCCAGATGCTGTCCTCCCCATCCTCTCGAGGGGCTATCTGGCTATCAAGGTGGCTAGATATCAAGGCAGCCCAGCGCGATACACATGCGTATATACCTTATACAGGCTGGGCTTCCTCGTCTGATCTCACAGAAGGATATGCAAGCTCGATTTTCCAGGGTCGGTTGGGGTGACATTCGATGGAGGTTCAACGGCGCACTCCGCACCCGGCATCGCGACGCTCTTATCCCGCGAGGATTGCCATCCCGGATACTTGTATCAAGTGAGCCAGCCACTCTGCACGGCCATCACACGGTTTTCAGCTTTCGCTGGCTGCCACCGTCCGTGTGCTCGCATATGCACATGTTTCCCGTCCTCCCCGTCCACTGCGTGCCTGCGTGAATGTGTGTCGAGCAGCAGTTTCCCCACCGTGGCTGAAAGAACGGTTTCAGGGCTCGGATCAAGGATAGAGGGGTGTTTGGACTGTCTGGTTGTCAGTTGAGGCTGGCCCAACTGCTTGTCTGTTTGGCGGCGCGATGCTCACGATGGTGTTTCATCCAACCGATCGCACTGACGTGTATGGTCGAGTGTTCATGGAGGGAAACACCCATGTCCATCCAGTACATGTACGGAGGACAGATACAAGCCTGATGGATGTGACTTGCAAAATTTGGTGTTGCAGGGGAATCGATCGGTTCTGTGGCATCGTCAGCAGATGCCACGATACAGATATACTACTATGGCATCCTCTCAGACAGGCTCGTATGCTCACCACATGTGACGGATCGTCGGTCGCACAGATTGTGTGAATTGTGCGGCATCGTTGTTGTCTTACTCCAAAGTCACTAACTGGTTGATGCGAATTGCCGCAGCTTCACTCTCTTCTGATCTCGGCAGGCTGAACGAAGACAAGAGCACAAGCAGCTTCACTCACTCTGCGCTCTTTGGCCCTTTGGTTGTTCTTCTGTTGCGACGCATTGGACTGCGAGTCCCTAGTTTCTGCCGGGCGAAACATATTTGCGTATGCAGCCGTTGGTCATCTGGTGCATTGAGGCAACAGTGAAAGCCATGACGAGAATGGGTTCGTGAATCTGATGGTATATGCTCATGTCACCATCTCCCCTTTCGTTCCTCCTCTGAGCTGTCTTTCTCGCTTCACCAGGTACTCTATACTTGCAACGCACTCCATCACGGCAAGGACATGTATCGATACGCAGACCAGAGCTTACCACGGCTCGGACTTGTGGTCACGAATACTATTGGAGGTGCCCCCATGCAGCCCCGGTCATGCAGACACTCATACGAGCGGTACATCTACAACATGCACTCGCTTGGCCCGGGCTGACCTTGTCGTCCGGGGCAATACGGTAGTCGCCACGGCTGCGTCTACAGGCAGAGCTGATCCAAGGCTTATTGCTCCAGAGCAGCTACTACTACTAGTAATAGTATCAATACTATCTCTGCTGGCGATGCTTCACTCGGACCCGGTCTCGACTGCTGTTGGACGCTGTGGATGCTGTGACGAATGTGATTGAGATCCTGAGAGGCGGATGCTGATGACCGAGGCTCCGTGCAATGTCCAGTCTTCTCTCGCAGCATGCCATTGCCCGTCTCCAATACTGCCACCGCACCACCACCAGACGTCCAGTGCTATGCAGAGAGCCCGGCAGGGGCCCATGCCCGCTGGAAACGGGCGACAGGGCCTTGCGGCAGCCAACTGACGGGCCTCGTCGCGATGCCTGGACCGTGGAGCCTGCACCAGACAGCTGGATCTTCTCTGCCTGCTTCCATCTCTGCCCTATCCATCACATGACGAGATGAAGACCGGGAAAAGAAAAGAGGAAGAAGAAGAAGAAGAAACAAGGCAAGCATCCCGGGCTGCAGAGAAAGCTCTTCACCAGGTCATAATCACAGAGTTCCACCGATTATATCAACCCTTGTCGACGACATCACCCGAATCGACCTGGCGCACTGCTGGCAAATGAGCGGGTGGGCCAAAGGCCTGGGCAAGCCCCCCAGGCCAACAGGCCGGTGACAGACTCTTAGTGGCGGGCGAGTCGCTCCAGAGCGCGGCTTTGCCGGGTTTTGCAGCAGAAACCCTGGGATGCATTGAAGGCAAAGAAATAACCGTCGAGCCAGAGTCTGGTCATCGTGGGGAGAGCTGTCTGCAGTGGCAGTGGTTGGCGTGCGCGGGTACGGGGACGGTACTCGAGACGACCGCGGCGGCGACACTGCACGCAGAGTCCCCTCGCGTACTCCAGCTCAGCGCCCCCCCGGCAGACGCACCGCCCGTAGCGCTGCTCGCTACAGCCAGAGGCGGTTAAGCAGGCAGCCCGCCAGCCAACCACAGCCGCCTCCTGCAACGTCCATCGCCAACTTAGCCCGGCTTCCTCCCCCTTCTCCGAGATTGCCAGAATCTACTGCCACTGTGCTTTGCACTACAGTCTCGCAGCGACGCAATATCACCACCGCCTCCTGCGCTTGCCCATCCTCCTCTCTGCAGCTGCTCGACTGGCTCACTGCGGCGCTGCTCGCCCGCCAGCTTTGACTCCCATTGCGTCGTCGAGAGAGGTCCTCGTCGCGTGCTTCCACCCCGTCCTTTCGCCCAATTCCCCTTCACTCGTTTTCTAGACACGGGAAGAAGAAAAAGAAGCAGAAAAAGAAACGAGGAAATAGTACCCCATGTCTCAGGGGATCGCGACAACCCGACTCCACGAGGCTTGGTGACTTTTGGTCGTACGCGACAGGACGGACGGCCGACCGACTTTGACCGCCACTACCATACTTTTTTTTTCCCTCTCTTCAATCTCAACTTGACATTCGATCCAACAGTTTTTATCCATTTGTCGTTGCTCTGCATCTTCGCCTTGGCCGCCGCACTTCCATATTCGATCCGATACCGCATTTGCCGTCGAAAAGGGGGAAACTACCGGGCTCATTACATCAATTCCATCCACACACAGCTCGGCTACTGCTATGGCTGCCATTACAGCGGCTCGGGGCGCTCCCACAGCCCTGACGCCACCGAGCAGCAGCCATGGAGATGAACCGTCGTGGAGGTACCGGGACCAACGTGAAGTAAGTTTGTTTTTTTCCTGCTTGTTTTTTTCCCATCATCATTTTCTTGCTTCATCCATCTGGAGCGCCACACGCCCGTGCTGCGAGGCGCTGCATGGCCGCATGACATGGTTCGACGGGCCTCCCTATTGGAATGCCCGGGAAGGATTACCGACTAATCACGACTGTGTTAGGAGGCGTATGACCGATCTGGTGCCGGATACTACGACGTCGAGGCGCCGCGGCTCAACGGAAACTCCAGCAATCACTACGACTCACGTTTGGACGGCAGGACGCAGAAGATGCAGGATGACCACCGAGCCAGCGCACCGTGGGACGCACATGCAGAGGGCGGCGTCCAGTCGCCCGTCGAGTTCGACAACATCCGGTCAGACTGGTCCACCGGCGAGCCCGAGACAGACGACTTTACGCACCGCGGCCGCGCAGATTCCACCGTCGGCGAGGTTGAGTCGAAATGGATACACCGGGACAAGCTGGCCCAGATAGAAAGCGAGGAGCTGCAGGCAGCTGGCTTCATCCCCAGCAAGCCCAGGTCACGAGCCCCCAGCAAGCAGCGACGAGACAAGAGCGCCCGGAGGGGCACCGACGCGGCAGAGACTCGGCCCAAGCAGGAAGGCTCTGGAGACGCCCCGGCATCGCCTTGGGACTTCAAAGTTCCGGACGAGGTGGTAGATGAGCAGGGGAACAGTGCCTCTGCCGCTGCCAACGCCAAGGGGGGCTCGAGAATACCTGTTGCCAAGGTTAGTTGACGAATTCTGCAAAGCGAACTGCAGACCCAAACCCGCGGTTGACGACCTGGCGATGGAACATGAACTGACGATTCTTGCAGGCGCGATCTAGGAGTGGTAGTGCCACCCTCAGAGAACTGGCCCCCAGCGCTCCGGTCGAGAAACCCAAGCCGGCGCAGCGGTCTACCACCGACACGTCGCCCAAGAAGCCGACGGCGAACCGCAAGAATTCGGAACCCGCCAACACGAAGCCAAAGGCCGCCGGACGCCCCAAGACTCGATCAGGACCCAGCAAGGACTCGACCAGCAATGGACGGCCCACCACGCGATCCGGCGAAGCCTCTCTCAACAAGCAGCCCGAGGGTAACCCGCCCTGGATGGTCAACAGCTACAAACCAGATCCTCGCCTGCCTCCGGAACAGCAAATCATACCGACCGTCGCAAAGAGGCTTTTGCAGGAGAAGTGGGAGCAGGAGGGCAAGTTTGGCGATGCCTACGACAAGGATTTCCGGCCCCTCAACACCAATTCGCTGCCAGTGTTTTCGCAGAATTCTGCGTCGCAGGAAGAGGCCAAGCAGGAGGCCCCCGCCGAGGAAGAAGCCAAGTCGCCCGAGACGGCGCCCCAGTCGGACGAGTGGCCGCTCAAGGCAGAGCCCCCCAAGAGCCCACTGCCGCGCCTGGGCTCGTCCTATTCCACGATGCCCAAGATTTCCGACGTGCAGCCGCCCAAGAGCCCTCTGCCTGGCCAGCGACCCCCCATGACACCCCAAGGAACGGCGCAATCACAGAGCCAGCTCAGCGAAAAGGCCCAGAGCACCCAGAGGATCCCCGATGTTCCGGACGACCAGGAACAAAAAGGAGGCTGCGGCTGCTGTGTCGTCATGTAACCGCCAGGACGGACGCAAACACGCAAAACAACGCAACAAGCGCATTTATTCCCTACCAAGTGCCACTGCCAGACTTGTTAGCAACTGCATATTCACTGTTACACTAGACAACTACCAGAGAGCACAAGCCAACTAATCCGTACATATCGAGAACATTCCTTCCCCTTTTTCTTTCTCAACATGCTTTCTCTGCCCCCTTTTACGACGTTACGAACTATCCCCAAAAGCTGTTTGACTTAGCCGGCAACCGACTTTGTTTTTCTCTTCTCGTCAAACAGCACCAATTTGTCGACCAACTGATTACCTAGCGACCTGATCGAATTTCTTCTCTTTTGTCTTTGCGCACACCTGGTCGAACCCGAGCTGGAGCCCCTTGGAGCAGACGACACATGGCAAGAGGTGGAAGAAAACATGCCACTGGGTATATACAAGAGAGGAGAGCCCAGCTCGGGGGCATTGCCAAGTCTGTACCTGTGGAAATCATGCAGATTCTGGCATTACCCAGCCACATCATTCGACCCGTCAATCCTTGTTGCTCAGCCATGTAATTACCCTCGTTTTTTCCTGTCTCAACTTATTACCCCCTTGCGCCCTGTCATTATAGTTGTTGTGTTGAGAGAAGAGGTGGCTTTCTTTGATCCTGTTCTTGTCTTTTTGAACTGTTCATTTACTACTATTCGATTAAAGAGAAGGGTGTTATTGGCGCCATAGCGGAAGGGAGGAGCTTTCTTTTTGTTTTCCATTTTGTCTTTTTACCCCCCTCTGCCTTTGCTTGCTTCTGTTTCGCGCTATTACGTATTTTTTCTTCCGAAAGAACTTGAACCCAAAAACCTTGGAGAGAACAAAAAAAGAAAAAGTAAGGAAAAAACGAATTGCTGGTGTCTTTTGCGTCTCTTTGTGGTTTTGTTCTGGGTCTTATTGGTGATGTGCGCAAGGATGACCTGAGGTTACTGTACACGATGTGAACTTGTAAACTTGGTGAGTACAAAGTCGTGTTTTGTTTTGCTTGTCTTTTTTTGCGTTGCTTTTGCCTTTGCCTGTTTTGTTATCGCCTCAGCGTGGTTTAGTCTTTACGTGTTTGCTCGTTGTTTTTGTTAGGCGGGTTTGTTTGTGGTGGATAAGTACAGGTTCAGGTACAGGTCCGTTATATCCAATTTGAGTTTCGTCGTTTTCGATATGTTGTTTAATTATTATCGTAGCGTGCAGATGATGCTTGTTGGTGTGGAGGACTCGTGACGGGGCGTTGGGAAAGCTTAATGGCCCCCTTTATAGACTACCTGCTTGGGAGCGTATGGAGTATTACTACTATACCCCGATATTCCCTTTCTGTTGGTTACACGAGAAAGTCTATTAGATTATGTCTTACTGTTACTGCATCATAAGTAGGTACATGTACCGAGTCATATCGCCTCGGCTTATGGCTTTGTTGTTTTCACTTTGGAAGCATGGAGAGATGTTGTGACTCTGGGTGGTTGAGTGTTGAGTTTACACACAAGCTTGACGGGGAGTTCTTGATAGTACTATGCTGGACACTTTACGGCGTCATCAAATTAAAGGTTCGTAAGGTAAGCTTCGTTGATCTCTCCGTGTGAGACTGAACTTTGAGACCAGGCCGGTAAACGGGATCATGGGCACAGTTGGAATGTCCATGTGGTTGAGACACTGCTAAACTAGTACCAGTAGTACTTCCCAAATCGCTGTGCCCATTGTTCTGGGTATGAGGGGGAGACTCGAAGGGGGTTGATTCCAGGGTTTGCCTCATAGTATACAAAGTCTCAAGCAGGGGAGGAGCACTTAAGTCTTACTATATACGCGTCAATTTGGTGCTGTGTCTAAGGGAAACCCGAGGCAGAACAGGCAGCTGAAGTGAGGCCTTACTTTGATGACGAAGCGTGAAGGGAGAGGCCGATGAGACGTGGGCGGTTCGTCCATTCCTTTGCCTTGTGCGGTTTTTCGCCGCTGGTAGTGATCACAAGGTGCTGGTGTGACGTATGTATTATCACTGAACGACACGAATGATGCCTGGAGCAACTGCTTTCATGTGCTGTGCTGTGTTCAGGTGCTAGGCATCCGTCTTTGAGGCGCTGCCTCTTTTCTTTCGTTCAATTCGTTCTTGTGCGTTGATGGGAATGATTTGCTGGACAAGAGAGGCTGAGCTGAATCTACCCATACAACATGCAGTAATAGTATCGCGTACAGGGTGAAGGGCAGGATCTAAATGGCGGAGGAGGAGAGTCTTGCAGGGATGGCCTGGTTATTAGTAGTGCAGGTTGCCGATTCGGCTGTTCCATCTACCCCTGCAGGCAGGCACACTTGGGACGGCACTTGCTCTGTCCGCCCTGAGACACTCGACTGCTTCTCCAGCTCTCGTTCATGTTCATGTGCCTTTTTTGCTTTCTTTTTGTTGCACCTACATGATCCCTCCTGGATGAACGCGTCTTCTTTCGAGCTTCTTCATTCTGCATGCATGCTGCGTGATTGCTCATGATTGAAAGGTTCGGCGCTGCCATTGCGATTCTTGGTGCTTGGTTTGGGTTGCTAATGTGTGCCTTTGGGGGTTCCGGGGTATGTAGTGACCGAGTAGCTGCGAGTTTCTGTTCTTGCGAATGGCGAGACAAGGACGATTGCGAGACGACTCGAATTGAGCGATACAATTGACCAGACTACAAATCTACGGCAAGGTTTGCTTTGGAGACAGTCAGAATACGTGTAAAGAAGAACACGATCGTGTGCTACGAGGGGGCAAGTGGAGAGGGTACACCGCGGTCAGACCCAAGCAGCCACGGCAGCAATCGGCAACGACCAGAGATGCGGTCGCGGGACTGCGCCGCGCTGAGAAGACCTGGGATCGGGAGATGGACGTCGTCTACGTGCGCCTTGCGGCGGTCTGCCACGGGGTAGCAGGGCCGGCCGCGACCTCGGCGGACTCGAGGCGCTCGTGGCAGGTCACCATCCAGGTCAACCAGCAGCCCGAGGTTGCCACCACCATCAGGGACCCCTTCTCCGTGGAGCAGTACACGGACGTCTTCGAGAACTATCTGCGCAACTCGGACCGTCAGCATTGGAGTCTGCAGAGCTTGGCGGAGGAGAACGGCGAGGACGAGAGATCGCGCGCTGAGGAGTGCATACGGACATACGGGGAGACGCTGCTGGGCCAGCTGGGCCTGTTCAGACCTAGAGTGCTGCGAACAGGCATCAGCGAGGCCCAGATCTTCGTTGTCGAGCACCACGACCCCCAAGTGCCCGACGGCAGAGGCGGCATCCACTGCCTCGCTTGGGAGCTCCTCGAGTCCGCCGCGACGCCGCTCATGCCGAACCTGCGCCTGCGGGTGACGCGCGTGAGCCACTTTGCCGGCCAGCCGTCCCGGCCGCTGGGGCCGCCGCGGTCGCTGTCGAGCGTGCAGGCCAACCCGAGCGGCGTCTTCCACGTGCTGCTGGTGATTGCGCGCGACTTCAGCCGGTCGGGGGCGGAGCGCGACCCGGAGCCGGACCTGGCGCAGTGGCCGCTGATGAGCGTGCACCGCAAGCTGAGGAGCCGGCTGCTGCTGGAGGTGGTGCGGCCGGGCAGCATTGAGGAGCTGGACGAGCATCTCAAGGTGAGGGCGGGACACGGAGTGCAGTTCAACCTGGTGCACTTTGACCTCCACGGGAGGATCATGGAGGACCAGTGAGTTTTTTTTTTTTTCCCTCGACACGTGGTGAGGGAGCAAGGACTGATGTGGCACACAGAAACGGTCGTCAAGTCCCCTGGCTCTTGTTTGCCAAGAAGCACCGAGACTCGAACGCGCACGGTTATCACATTCCACAGACGCACCTGGCCAGGGCCACGGACGTCGCCAAGGTGCTGGCAAACTACCACATCGAGAACGTCGTCCTCAACGCCTGTCTCTCGGCGTACAACCGCGCGGGACCGACGACGAACCTAGCCCACATCTTCCTAGAGCGTGGCGTGCACAACGTGTCGGCCATGTGGTTCTACGTGCACTGGCAGACGGTGGCGACCTACCTCGACGCCTTTTACAACGAGCTGCTCATCAGGGGCACCGACTTCCACGCCGCGGCGCAGCGAGGCCGAGACGCGATCCGGCAGAACCCCACGAGCAGGACGGGGAGGCCGCACCAAGACTTCTTTCTCTGCGTCAACTACACCAGGGACATTCGCAGGCCGAGTCCGATCCAGAGAGAGCCGAGCCCGACGCCATCGGCGCACTCTGGGGAGTCGTCCACGTCCAACACTTCGATCAAGAGCTTCATGAGCGGAGGATGGAGGCCGACGACGCCCCGGCTCAGCGACAGCTTCCTACTGGCGGACGAGCCCCTGATGCGGCTGCAGCTGCACCTGCTGGAGCTCGAGTACAAGCTGATGACGTTCCAGGTGGTGTACGCCAGCGACCTGCGGCGGGCCGGGTCGGACCTTGGCGCGACGATTGACCGGATGGTGAGCATGTGGCTCAACACGAACCTGGTGGACGACGTCTACTACTACAAGGCCAAGGACTTTGCCAAGCGGCGGCTGCTGACGGGGGAGTTGGCGTTGTCGTACCGCGAGCGCCGGTCGCGGGCGTCGTCGGGCGGCTACTTGCAGCTGCTGTTCCCGCGGCCGGTGCGGGCGCTGCAGCAGACGCTGCACATTGTGCGTGACGTGGACGCCGTCGTCGACCCCGGGTGGCAAGCCGACGACGCAGAGAACCAACGGAGCGAGGACCGGCGCGACCAGGTGGAAAAGGGCCTGAATGAGTTCGCTGAGCGGCTACACCGCGAGAAAGACAGCTTCCTGCTCTTCATCGGCAGCCAGGACGCGCAGTGGTGGCGGACGTATCTGCAGCATCTCGGGGGGGAGTGGTGGCTGCACATGCCGTGGACGTTTACGGTGCACAGTCGGCATGCGAGGGATGTAAGGCTGATGGCGGAGCGCAAGCCTTGATGTCAAGCCCGACATCTCAGGGGGGGTTGAAGCGGTGGAGGTTGTTTCTGGCATGTCTCGGCGCGGAGAGTTCGGGATGAGCCGAGGTGCTTCGGGAGGTCCGGCGCGGTTATGCATATGGGTCATTTGATCGGGGGGAGCCGAAAAAGCCCGGCGTTTGGGGTCTGGGGGGATTTGTTTCCTATGTGATTTGATGGTTTGCACGAGTTGTATCTGCGTTGCATATCATAGGGCATGAGAGGTGGGAGAAGGGAATAAGGAGTTGTGTTCTACTAGCATCTGGGCAGCATTTAGCATGGTGGAGTTTGTCTTTCATTTTCTCCGGCGGGATTCCGTTAAGAGGAGCATCAGCGATTGATATCGTGTGTTGGACGAGGTTGCTGGCATGGATGAGTGATGAGCTTTTACGGACGTCTTTACCGATCTCTTGCAACACTGACTGATAGGGACTGCAGAAGGCCGGATACAAGATGCTTTGAATTAACGGGATGAGATTGGATGTTGTACATGACGCACATGTAAGACACCAGCACTTGTCGAATTCGAAAGCAGCCGTGTTAGGAGTACGACTAGGCGTCTTCACTTTACACGCAGTCAAAAACACTCTTGCATCTCTCATGCTATTAGACTTGAAAGCAAAGCTATGTATAGTAAGCGGTTCATCTCACAAGTTGTCTGACAAAGGGTTCGGAAGTTAGAAGGGTGCGATATGCCGAGCTGTTGTTGTAGTATACACATTTTCGGAAATTTTGGGTGGGTTGATTTGATGGATGGGTGAGCGACGGGGAGGTCGGATGGGTCGGGTGGCGAGTTGGAATTGTTGGGTTGGAGCGGACGGACGGGATCGATGGATGGACGGATTGTAATATGGATGGACGGACGGAGTGCTTATGGATGGAGTTGGTTGGTTGGCTTTGGTTGGGTATGAGTTGACGATACCTTATGTATGCGGGAGGACGGGGAGGATACAGTCCGTTTTCCAGAGGTTGGATGTTCTCAAAGAACAAAAAGTAAATGCTATAAGAAAATGCAAAGTCAAGATTCAAGCGAGACGGTATCTGATCTCAAGAGCATATAGATATGTACATGCCAAAAATAAACCCGCCTGGGGATATAACATAGATTAGTAGTTCGCACAACCGAAAAGAAGCTCCCATTTCAGTCCAAGCACCCTGACTGAAAGTCCGAAAGTGGGGAGGGGGCCCAGTGACGTATCTCTACTTGGTCCCTGCTTTTTTGCCTCCTTGTCACTTCTTCTTCCAAGGCATCAACACCTCTGTGACAACTCTCGACTTGTATTTACATCTCAACTCTTCTCTTCTCTCCTTCTACTCTCTAAGCAGCTGCGTATCCTCGTCGTTCGAATAGGCCACCTTGCTCATTGTCCCTGCTGCTGAAACCGCGGATCGGAGACAACAAGACGCACTTCCCTCTCCAGTAACCCCCCCCCGGTTCCGCATTGATGCAAGCGATATTCCCAGTACCGCCCGCCCGGCCCTCCTATTTACCTGCTCCGGCATTGCTCGCATACGGCCTGTTTTAGAAATACCTCGAGGATACCCACTACTCCTGAAGGAATCTCATCTGCGTTCTGCGACGAGGCAGAGAGGATTCTTAAGAAATAAAAGGAAGGGAAAAAAGAAAAAAGAAGAAAAAGAAGAGTGAACAAAAAGGAGGCCCCGTCGCATCTCTGGAAGCTCCCGTTTCTCCGTTCTCCAATCACACCATCTATCCGGCTTGCGCCAACTTGCAAACCCGCCAAGATAGCCACCTACCTTACCTATCGCTTCTTCTTCAGCCTCCCATCGTTCGCATCTGCCAATCCCGCCGCCGGATGAAGACTGCACAGCTCCTCTCTGGCGCATCATGACCTCGACTGGCGCCCTGGCCAATGGCCACAGCCTCCTCGACAACCACGGCTACGACCATGTCCTGCGCCCGCGACACGCCCAGGCGCTGCGCACAGCTTCGGACCTCGACCAGCACCTCATGCCGGGCGACAATGGCCTGGGGAGTGCGACAACAAGGTGAGACCCCGGAGCCGCTCTTCTCTCCCACATCTCCAAAGCGTCGTCTAACTGAGTTCGATACAAAAAAAGCAGCGGCCGCTCGACGCCCGTCTCCGACAACGCCCCCCCCTCGACAAAGTCGCTGTCGTCGGCGCGCAAGCAGGTCCGCGCCGAGCAGCGCCGCCGCCGCATCTTCCCGACCATCGAGTTCGCCTCGCGCGTGTCGCACTTTGACCCGGAGAGCGACTACCGCGACTTCCACGGCTTCTTCAACCTCTTCTGGATCGGCCTCGCCATCATGGGCATCACCACCATGCTGCGCAACATGAAGGACACGGGCTACCCGATGCGCGTCCAGATCTGGGCCCTCTTCGCCGACAAGCTGTGGCACCTCGCCATTGCCGACTTCCTCATGGTCGCCTCCACCGCCGTCAGCCTGCCGCTGCACCGCTGGGCGCGCAGCAGCCCCATGGGCGGCGTCTGGGGCTGGAGCAGAGGAGGGATGGCCCTGCAGAGCGTCTACCAGGTCCTGTGGCTGGCCGTCTGGATCGTCGTGCCCTTCTGGCTCGACTGGAGCTGGACCGCGCAGGTGTGTTTGTTGCTGCACACCATGGTGCTGCTCATGAAGATGCACTCGTACGCCTTTTACAACGGCCACCTGTCCGAGACGGAGAAGCGGCTGCGCAGCCTGGACGAGCCCAATCCCTCGAGGGCCGACCGCCGGCCCGTCTACCTCTACCCGAGCGCCGACCACCGCAAGGGCAGCATCTCGGGCGTCTCCCTGCCGCGGCCGCTGGAGCTCAAGGAGGAGGACGGCAGCGACGCCGTCGTCAAGCCGAAGAAGGCGAGGAAGCAGGGCGGCAGCATCGACAAGGGCGTCAACGGCCTCTCCCTCAACGGCAACGGCAACGGCAACGGCCACGCCTCGCACGAGCAGGAACCCTCGCATGAGCACGAGGCAGCAGACGCAGAGCCCACCAGCGCCGACGAAATCGACACCCTGCGCGACGACCTCGCCCGCGAGCTCACCAGCCCCATGGGCAACGTCACCTACCCGCGCAACCTCACCTGGGCCAACTACCTCGACTATCTGTGCTGCCCGACGCTCTGCTACGAGCTCGAGTACCCGCGCACGCCCGCCATCAACTGGACCGCCCTCGTGTCCAAGATCATCGCCACCTTTGGCTGCATCTTTCTCCTGACCGTCATCTCCGAAGAATACATCTTCCCCGTCCTCGTCGACGCCTCGCGCCGCCTCGAGCTCGTCGCCTCCGCCTCCGCCGCCTCCTCCTCCTCTTCGTCATCCTCCTCCTCCGTCGTCCTCGAATCGTGCCTCATCCTCGCCGAGACAATCTCCTGGCTCCTCTTCCCCTTCATGCTCACCTTCCTCCTCGTCTTCCTCGTCATCTTCGAATACGTCCTTGGCGCCTTTGCCGAAATCACCCGCTTCGCCGACCGCCACTTCTACGCCGACTGGTGGAACAGCACCGACTGGATGGAGTTTTCGCGCGAGTGGAACGTCCCCGTCTACTCCTTCCTGCGCCGCCACGTCTACTCCGCCTCGCGCCCGCACACCGGCAAGGCCTTTGCCACCTTCATCACCTTCCTCATCTCCGCCGTCGGCCACGAGATCGTCATGGCCTGCATCACCAAGAAGATCCGCGGCTACGGCTTCGTCTGCCAGATGATGCAGCTGCCCATCGTCATGATGCAGCGCACCAGGTGGGTGAGGGGCAGGAAGACGCTCAACAACGTCTGTTTCTGGTGTTCCATGATTTTGGGGCTTTCTTTGGTGAGTTTTGTCTTTTCAACACTCCTATTCACAACTTCATCCTAGCAAACATCCTTTCTTATCCCCCAAAAATCAATCAAGAACGCAAGGAGAAAGAGGAAGCTAATCAAATGAAATAGATATGCGCACTCTACGTCCTCGTATAGACCAAAACTCTCAAACAAATTCCCCCCATCTTTCCATTCGACACTCAACTCTGTATACCCATACTCTCACATAACTCATACATACAACCATATGCTCAACATACTCACATATAACTCATCTCTATACACTCATTATAACATCAGCAGCGTCCTTTCCTTTCCTTTCCTTTCCTTTCCTTTCCTTTCCTTTCCTTTCCTTTCCTTTCCTTACGTATAGTCTCCTTTATTCAAAGTTACATAGCATGCCGTACATAAGGGTTTCAGACTGGTTCTGACAAGTTCTTCCCTTGTCCTTCGTCTATACATGGGCCTTTCATAGGTGGTTTTTGTCAACTCCGGTGGATATACATTGGCGGCGTGTTTTGCTATTTCTACAGGCATCAATATAATATCTCACGATATTGCATCAACCAAGTCTCAAGTCAGTCCTAGTACGAAAATCGCATCATGACATGTTCTACATCGCCATGCTCCATCTTGGCTTGTACAGTTGAATGTTCATCGGATCACGTTACATGTCAAGTCGCACATATATTGTCCATTCCATTTATTCATTGCTCATAGACTCTGGCTAAATTACTCCTCCCTCGCCTCTACAGAGGGGATATCAAGGGCAGGAACAAAAGCATCTGCCCTAACCTGGGACTAACTGAAATAGTAAAAGCAAAAACGAACCACGTCCAGACCATATGCTCTAGTAAAACCGTTCAACTCCATCGTGTAAAATCAAACTTTTTGCCCGTAGCCGAATCCTGGATGCACATGCTTAGTCAACCTCCTCCATGGCGCTGTCGCCCGTCTCGACGGCAGGGGCGTCGGCCGGGGCGGCGGCGCCCTCAACGGGGGCGGAGTCGTCCTCCTCAATGTTGAGGCCGAGCTGGACGAGCTTGTGGATGCGCTCGGCGAAGCCGGCAGGCTCGTCAATGGTGAAGCCAGAGACGAGCAGCGAGGTCTCAAAGAGCAGCTGGACAATGGACTTGACGGTGCGGTCGTTCTCGCCGTCAGCCTCGACCTTCTTCTTGAGCTCCTGGATGATGGGGGACTTGGGGGAGATCTCGAAAGTCTTCTTGGAGGACATGTAGCTGCTCATGGAGGTGTCGCGGAGGGCCTGGGCCTTCATGATACGCTCCATGTTGGCGGACCAGCCGAACTGGCCGGTACGGATGGCGCAGGGGGAGAGGCCGAGCTTGTCGCTGACAACGACCTTCTCAACCTTGTCGCCGAGGACGTTCTTGAGAGCCTTGGCCAGGGCCTCGTACTCCTTCTCCTCCTGCTCGCGGGCCTTCTTCTCCTCCTCGGTCTCCTCGAGCTCAAAGTCCTTGGTGATGTCGACCAGCTTCTTGTCCTCAAACTCCTTGAGCTGGGTCATGGCGTACTCGTCAATGGGGTCGACGAGGAAGAGGACCTCGAAGCCCTTGGCCTTGAGGGCGTCCAGGAAGGGAGACTTCTGGACGGCCTTGAGGGACTCGCCGGTGATGTAGTAGATGTTCTTCTGGTGCTCGGGCATGCGGGTGACGTAGTCGGTCAGCGAGGTCATCTCGTCGCCAGACTTGGTCGAGTTGAAGCGCAGCAGCTTGGCCAGGGTGGCGCGGTTCTGGCTGTCCTCGTGGATACCGAGCTTGATGTTCTTGGAGAAGGCGCTGTAGAACTTGTCAAACTGCTCCTTGTCCTCGGCAATCTCCTGGAAGAGCTCCAGGGACTTCTTGACAATGTTCTTCTTGATGACCTTCATGATCTTGTTCTGCTGAAGAGTCTCACGAGACAGGTTGAGGGGCAGGTCCTCAGAGTCGACAACACCCTTGACGAAGCTGAGCCACTCGGGGATGAGGTCGGTGGCGTCGTCGGTGATGAAGACGCGGCGGACGTACAGCTTGATGTTGTTCTTGGTCTTCTTGGTCTCGAAGAGGTCAAAGGGAGCACGCTTGGGGACGAAGAGGATGGCGCGGAACTCGAGCTGACCCTCGACGGAGAAGTGCTTGACACCCAGGTGGTCCTCCCAGTCGTTGGACAGGGACTTGTAGAAGGCGGCGTACTCCTCCTGGGTGATGTCCTGGGGGTTGCGAGTCCAGATGGGCTTCTGCTTGTTGAGCTCCTCCTCCTCGACGGTGGTCTCCTTGACCTTCTTGGTCTTCTTCTTCTTCTCCTTGTCCTCCTCATCCTCGTCGACCTCCTCGACCTTGGGCTTCTTGTCCTCGCCCTCCTCGGCGGGCTTCTCCTCCTCAGCAGCCTCCTCATCGGGAACCTCCTTCTCGACCTCCTTCTTAACGTGGAGGTAGATGGGGTAGCTGATGAACTCGGAGTGCTTCTTGATGACCTCCTTGATGCGGCTCTCGTTCAGGTAGTCTGCCTGCTCGTCCTTGAGGTGGAGGACGATGGCGGTACCACGACCGAGACGCTCGCCCTCGGTGTCGAGGGTGATGTTGAAGGTGCCACCGGCGCTGGATTCCCAGATGTACTGCTCGTCATCGTTGTGCTTGGAGATGACGCTGACGCGGTCGGCGACCAGGTAGGCAGAGTAGAAACCAACACCGAACTGACCAATCATGGACACGTCGGCACCGGCAGTCAGGGCCTCCATGAACTGCTTGGTTCCGGAGCGGGCAATGGTACCCAGGTTGTTGACGAGGTCCTGCATCTGTTAGCACGGGCTCGCAGAGTATGGAGTTGGAATGTCGGATCAACTTACAGCCTTGGTCATACCGATACCGGTATCACGGATGGTCAGGGTCTTGGCCTCCTTGTTGGGGATGATGTCGATGCGCAGGTCCTTGCCAGTGTCGAGCTGGCTGGGGTCGGACAGCGCCTTGTAGCGGATCTTGTCCAAGGCATCGGAGGCGTTGGAGACAAGTTCTCGCAGGAAGATTTCCTTGTTGGAGTAGACGGTGTTGATGATGAGGGAGAGAAGCTGAGAGATCTCAGCCTGGAACTCGAAAGTTTCGGCCATGGTTGCGGGTATCAACGGAAATCTGTGAGTCTGAGGAGGGTTAGCTCCATGTCCAAGCTGATTTGAAGCTGCTGGTAGTGGTGAGAAGAGGGGGAAATGGATGAAGTAGGACAAGGGAAGCTGGGGTGAATCTCCAGTGCTTGACGGATTCTTCCTCTTCTCTTACGATTCCGCAAATTGCCAAAGCTTTGCGAGAACCGTTCAAAAAGAGGCAGAAGCTCGATCAAGCTCACGGCAAGGCTGCCGAGATCTGGGATCGTCCCCCAAAGTGCAAGCAATGGCGGGGTGATAGCGGGAAAAAAGCACGGTGCTAGAAAGGGAAAGTGGGATGATAAGATCGCTGACCTTTTGCTAGGAAAGGGAAAAAGAATGGGTGTTGATTCTCGATCACAGAGGGGGTATATTGTGAAGGAGATTTGAGTGTTCGTGAGGTTGTAAAGGAAAAGAGAAAACGCGCAAAGAGAAATACCTTTTGAGAAGAGAAGTATGAGGATGAAGAAGGAGAGAAGGAAGGGAAAGAAGAAGAGGAAGGGACGAGAGGCCCGTCTAAAAAAGGCTGCGCCTGGTGAGCTTTGCCAGAGATTCCATGGGATTCTATGGCCGCTGCCCGTCCACCAGCAGAGGCGCCCGGGCGTCTGATTGGCCGGCGCAGTCGCCTGGAGCCTTCTAGCATCTGCCCGCGCCTTGGAGATGCGCTTTCGCGGGAGGAATTGGATCAAAATGCCCATTTTCTTTGGTTTCTTTGTTTCTTCAGGCGGCACAAGGCAGCCGCCCAGCCCGCTTTTTGCAGGCAAGGGGAGGCGGATCACTGGGTTCCATGTTGGTTGCGGCTGTGACTGGGCATGTCAAGTGCTTCTGTATCGAAGCTTCAGTGGTGATGGTCCCTACTGGTGCTCCTCTACTCCCGCTACAACCACTATAGAATCCAATTCCAATCACCACCCATCGACTATCTGCATCTCTCTACAAACAAGCAGCAATCACACGCAAAGAAACACATATCAAACCCAATAACCCACAAACATCCGGCCTCACCTTTCAAGAATCTTCTGTCTTTCCCAGTCCCCATTCTCAAGTCACCCCATGTCTCACTTGATTCACCTCTTCCCGCCTCTCATGCTAGAATCTTCCACCCCCAGCCTCTCCCTCTCCCACTCTCCCCCTCCAACGAGGCTGACGATGAGGGGAACCCTACCAAAGCCGGAAACCAAGCCCAAAGAATAGTAAGAAGAAAAAAAAACAGCTGCAGCGCCCCGGTTCGCCTTCCCGCCCCTCCCTCTAGATGCGTCTGGGCGCCTCGAACAGGGGTAGAGCCACTCAATCTCGCTACTAAGCCATTTCAACGATGGGTATCTTATCGCGCTGGGACTAAACATCCCACCTTGGCGGAGACGTCGAAGGCAACAGAAGGGAGCTGAAGGCATCTGCCACTGTATCGTACCAAGCTGAAGCTGCTTCCATTCGTGACCAGACAACCCTCCAAGCAAGGCAAATCTGCCTTTTCTCTTCCGGCCGATCCATCAATGCCACCGCTTAGCGCCCGTCTGCCTCGTCCACCAAGGCAGCTGTAGCCCCCCGCTCTCGAAGCCCCTTGCATGCAATCTAAACCCCTTGTGAAACCTCTATATACATAGTTGTAGTACGCCGAAACCAAGTCTTTCGTAAGCTCTTCAAACATCCGAAGCCTTGCATGGGGCTCACGTATCTCATATCGTACAATTCTATCCATCCGCTTCTATACCATTCCTCACACAACCTCCGTTCCGTGATCCAGGCCCCTCAGTCCCGGGAAATCACCCTCCCAACCTGCCGGTACTTCCTATCCGCATACGCCAGCCCAAACTCCTTCCCACAGCTCCCCGGAATCATCTCCACCACCTCTCCAACAACAATAACGTGATCTCTCACCCTCATCACTCCCCCCGTCGGCTCATCCGGCAACAGCCTGCACCTGAGCGCATACATGACGCCTTCCCCTCTCAGCAGCGGCGCTCCGTCCGTCCCGCTCGTAGTAGCGTAGTCCAGCCCGTCAAAGACATCGTCCGTGTTGCCCCTCGTGAATCGATCGGCTACCTGCACGCCTAGCTCGTCTCCCGACATGATGTGAATGTTGAAGTGGCCGCTCTGGGTAATTGCGTCGAGGGTTCGGCTTGGCGTGGCGATGTTGAAGGATATCAGGGGCGTGGGGGAGAGCGTGAGGGATGTAAACGATGACATGGTCATTGCTCGTGGTGTTTGGTCGTGCGTTGAGGTGCAGACGACGACCGAGTGTGGCAGGAGGCGCATGATGGACCGTATTTGCTCTGAGAGGGCGGCAGGCGAGGTGGGATCTGCTGTCGGCGGTATGGGTGTTGAAGTATGCCATGAACCATGGCCCTGGCTCGACTTCGAGTCTTTCAATCTCGTCTCATTTGAATCTACTGCTTCAGGATGTTAGCCAGAGAACATCCTGGACGGCGTATCGGTGCACTTACATGTAGCATCTCGTGAAGCTACGCTGGAACTCCCCGTCCCCTGATGTGATCGCACGCCAGCCGCAGCCTCCCCCAAAGCCAACGCATGCCCAACCACATCATGAACACCCCTCAACAGCCTCAACCCCCAAAGCGCCCTCCTCTGCACCATCCAAGCATCCCCCAGCCCGCAACCCGCATTTCGCCTCGCGCCGCAGCACCCAAGCCGCGACACCTGTCGCGCCGCCCTAGCAGCCCTCATCAAATCCCATGCGGTCTATTTCTCTTCGTCGTTCTTGGAACAGACTTCGAGAATAAAACCCAACGCAACAGAGAAAAGGTCGGGAAAGTCAACAATGGCTGCAAATACGCAGCCTTGCTGTAGTTGTTGGTTTGACTTCTGGTAAACCTTGAAGTTGCGACGGCAAATGTTCTTATCGATAAGCTCGTGCTGCCACTCACAAGCCCAAGCGGGCCGGAAATTTTGCGACAACACCAACGAAAAGCGTCTGGCCATCGCCAAACAACTAACAAACCGGCATCTCCTCCAAATCCGCTCAATTGAAGCAATTCCTCACCACTCATCTCCCCCCAGCGAACACTCAATCAACAGCCAGCCGGTCAAATCAACAAATCGAACACAAAACAACCGCCACCATGGCGAAACTCTCCTCCTCAACGACGACCCTCCTCACAACCCCCCTCCGCCCAACACCATCCGCGCCCTCATCGTCCTCGTCAACATCCTCCTTCCTCCGCCACAGCCTCTCCGCGCCCGTCCGCCACGCGACCTTCATCCCCCGCCCCCGCCGCCCCTACACATTCACCCAGCTCGTCCAGCTCTCCGACGGCTCGACCTACACCGCCCGCACCACCTCTCCGCTGCCGCTCTACCGCGCCGCAAAGGACACCCGCAACACCCTTCTCTGGCAGCCCAGCGAGAAGAGCCTGCGCAACGTCGAGCTGGACGAGGCCGGCAAGCTGGCGGCCTTCAGAGAGAGGTTCGGGCGGGTGTTTGATGCTGCTGCTGCTCCTGCTGTAGGGGGCGAGGCGGCGCAGGCTGAGGGCGAGACTGCTGCTGCTGCTGCCGCTGAGGGCAAGGCGGAGGAGGCGGCTGTGCAGCAGGATGCGGGATTGAATTTCGAGGATCTGTTGGCGGAGTTTAAGCCCCAGGATACGGGCGCTTTGAAGGATTCTGGGCCGAAGAAGGCGCCTACACGGAGAAAATAAATCGACCGGTCGGGGAGTGTATGATACGAGGGAAATGACTTGTACGAGTGACATATTGCGGGGTGGCTCTGTATGAACCTGAAGGAGAAATATACAGGAGATACAATAGGATGGTGGGCAGAGGAGGAACGCATGGATTAGAGGATCGATCTGTTCACTATGTACAGCACTTTAAGCCCGGCGGCCTGTATGAATATAACAAGAGGATGCATCTCCGAGTTTTGGTTCGAATAAGAATAGTAGTAGCACACAATAATCTCTAGCTGCCCCTATGACACCTTTCGCTCACAGAGACTTCTGGGAAGAGCACAGTCAAGAAACACACCCCTTAGTCCGAATCCTCGTCTATCCTTGCCCTGGCGCGGTCAACGACAGTGTTGCCAGGAGGCTTCGGCTGGTAAACGGGCGGTCGGTAGAAAGCAGACTCGTCGTCCTGGGCATCCAGCTGCATCAGGAACGTCTCCCACTTCTCAATCAGCTATCACAACTGTTAGCATTCTCCTGGCTCATTGCAGCGATTGTGCGACCTACCTCCTTCTGGGCCTCAACAGCACCCTCGAGGAACGTCTCAACACCGCTCTTGAAGTCCTCCACCTTCTCCTTCTCGAAACGGTCCAGCTCGGCCCTCATCGAGCGGCCCATGTCCTCAAAGAGGAGTCGGGCCTGGTGGACCTTTCTCTCCGCCTCTTGCACCTCGGCGTTCATCTGGTTCAGCCGGTCCTGCTGGCTCTTCCCCTGACGGAGCAGCTTGTCCTGCGTCGCCTTCTTCTTCTGGAGCTCTGACTCGGCCGAATGCCAGGCGTAGAAGCCCTTCTGGCGCTGGCTAAACGCCAGCTTGATCGAGCCGATGAGGCGAATGTACTCATCGATGATGATGCCGAATGTGAGGACATCCTGCTGAGCCTGACGTTCATAGACATCGCGAATGGTGAGTTGGAGATCAGAGAGCGCGTCGAGCGGACCGGATAGTGACGGCGACAGCTCAACAGTAGACAGCGCGTGGAGAGAGGCCGAAAAGTCAGCCGCGGCCTCGGCCATCATCTTCCGCTGGCTGACCATGGTCTCCATCGCCTTGAGGAGCCCCTTGAGCTGGTTCTCCAAGGCGTCAAGGTACACCTTGCGGTCGTGGAACCAATCGTCCTGCTCTACAAACTTGCTGCCTCCGCCGACGTTGATGCCCAGAGATCCCAGCACTCCCTTGCTCTCGGAGGGCAGCGGCTCCCGTCTCTCCTTGTGCTTGATGTCGACGTTGAAGGCCTCGCTCTCGAGGAACAGCTTGAGATCGGCGTCGTGCTGGAGGACGGGGTGGGCGGCAATCTTGTTGAGCATCTTCTCCAGCGCAGCTCTCCTGCTCTCGACAAAGTTGCTGTCGAAGCGGCCAACAGCCTGCTTCTCGGGCGGCGGCGGCACCACGTATCCGGGGTTGTTGCCATGCAGGGTGTTGTAGAGCCAGAGGAAGTCTCGGTATCGACGCTTGACCTCGAATTCGGGCTGCTTGTAGGCTCTAGATGTGGTCTAGCAGAGGAAGGGAAGCTTGCGTTAGCTGGGACTTTGACTTCTTCACCATAAGGAGTAACACAAACCTTGGTCCGCACGGAGTAGACAATGTGCGAGCTCGTCAGGTCACCAATCTTGACGGGATCTCCAACAGTAATGTAAAACGTCGGCTTGGACGCCTCCTCGACGCTGACGCTCGGCTGCGTGCTGCTCCTCACGCTGCTGGGCCGCGCAGCATCCACAGGCGGGGGCATCCGCGGGCCTCGAGGACCGTCCAGGCCGTCGTCGTCCTCGACAAGATGCGGATCGCCGACAGAGCGTCTCGCCTGCTGCTGCGGCGCCATCGTCGTCCGGATCACCATCTGCTCCTTCTGCGGCGGCACCGGCGGGGCGTCGGACGCGGCATCGTTGCCCGGCCCGGCGCTCAGCGGCCCCAGCGGATCGTCGACGGCCTCGAGCTTCGTAGGTTGAGCGACGATGCGGCGGGGGGCGCGCGACGGGCGAGGCGCCGACGAGGTGGTCGTCGTCGAGGCCTGTGATGTCGCCGGCGGGGAAGCGGCGGGCTCGCTCTCGGCGGGCGGCTCAGGGGGGGTCTGGCTGGAATCAGCCCATGGCGACTCTTCGACGTCCATTTGGCGAGGCGGCGGTTCGTCCACGAGAGGCGGGCGGTTCGTGAGGGGCGGCAGGATTTGGGAGGTGGTGTGGAATGGATTGAGAGGCGGAACGGCGAGAGGCTCGAGGCAGCTGGGCAGCAGGTGCGCAATGTGCAGCGAGCTGCGGCGGGTTGGAGACACCGGTACCCGCTTTGGCAGCTGCTCAACGTCAGCGGTTGCGTACCTGTACCGGCGAGGCTGCCAGCGAATGACAGCACCCCACCTCACACTTCAGCCTCGGTGATGGTAGGGGGAGAATAAATACCTTGCAGCTGAGTAGAACAATGGAGAAGAAAGAGAAGAATGAAATGGATGGTTCTTGAACACTCACTTACCCAAGGGATAAGCAATCGCATCCAATGCTTAGTGACTTACTGCAAAAGCATTGGCTTAATACCGCATCTCGACACATTCATCAGCTCTGTGCTTCACTGGATGCTCAAGATAGCCACCCCCAACGCAGTCCGTTATTCAGTTGGCTATAATCAAGTATTACGAATATATTGATACCCGTTTCTATGTCCTTCCCTAACATGCTGCCCTTTGGCCATACTTAAAAGCACTAAACATCTCCTCGATGCCCTCTTCATCACGTCAATCTCGACTGGTGTCAAGGGGCACAGCTCACATTCGGCTGCAAACCATCAACAGCCTCAAGGTATTGAGGATTAAGCAACCCACCATTCATTCCCCTTATACTACGCTGATATTAACCCAACTCCTTCTAAGCACTGACCGTATCCTTATCGCTCAGGGTCGTAGCATCCACCGGCCATGACAAGGTTCATCCGAGTGAACTTGACATTGATCACAGGCGTCTTCTTTGTGGGGAAGCAAGAGATCTGATCAGGAGTAATCATCACCTCCTTGCTCTTCTTTTTGGCGCCCGTGGTTGTTCCCGTGCTGGTCGGCTGTCCCGAAGCCGTGTTCAACCTTGATGTTTCTCCGTTGGCGCCGGATATGGCCAATTCAGTGCCAGCAGCGGCAGCCTCGAGGCCATTTTGCTGAGCAGCCTTGTGAGGGTCCGCTGGCGACTCGACGTCCCACAACCGAACCGTGCCATCTTGGCCTCCAGAGGCAAGAATGTTTGACTCGACGCTGAAGCTGAGCGACCAGATGCCTCCCTTGCCGTGGCCGCGGGACCGCTTGATGCGAGTCCCCTTGACGAGGTCCCAGAAGAAAATGTTGCCAGCAATGTCTGCGCTGGCCAGAATCTTGCCGTTGGGGGCACATCGCAGTGCGCTGATGTGCTCGGTATGCCCTGTAAACACTCGGACGCAGGCTCCCGTCACAACCGACCACATGCGGACTGTCTTGTCTGTCTCGTCAGACGCCGAAAAGACGTACATGCCGTTGGGATGCCATGCGATAGCCGAGATGGATGTGTCGTGCCCGACCAGCAGCCGTTGGGGCGAGGCATGGTCCTGCATCCAAACCCGAACAACCTTGTCGTAGCCGCCGCTCAAGAAGTAATGCCCGTGGGGACTCCACTGTGCCCTGTAGACGGGTCCATCGTGCGACTTGTACACGCATAGACATGTCCAAGACTCGAGAGACCAGAGCCGGATCTGTCCATCCGCGGAACATGACAGCAGCAGCTTCGGCCGCCCGTCGATCGCCGGATTCTGCCGGCCTTCGTCACCAAACAGTTTCTGCGGAGGCCCGGAAGCTGAATCGGAAAACGAAATGTCGTATACGGGCCCAAAATGTCCGATCAGTTTCCGACTGTTGAACTTGGCGCCCTTCTCGTGAGCGTTTGAACTTGGCAGTGCAGAGCCATCTAGAGACCAGACGCGAATATAGGATTCAGTAGTGCCCACGGCAGCGAGCTGTCCATCGTCGGAGAACTCCAAGCAGGATACGCTGTTTCAAAGTCAGCGATTCGGTCCGGTTCGACAACCCAGGTGTAAAGTTTACTTACCTCCCAAGTGTGTTGTGAAAGGTAAACATGCAAGCGCTCACAGGCACGCCCACGCCACCAGTCCGTCCCTCGATCTTGAACCGGTCCCTATTTTCCCGCAACTTTTGCATCTCCAACATGATGTCTCGTGGGCGAGATGGCGGCAATGGTAAATCGGATCGACTTGGAGCGTCTGCGCTCTCCTCCCTCTTAATTTTCTGGTCAAGCTCCTCTATCAGGCTGGGGCCGCCCGGAGGATTCCGTCGCTCCTCGTCTTCAATTTCGGCTCGAAGGTCATCGCGAAGATCTGGGTCCATAGGCAGAGGGCCAAGGCTGAGAGGCGCAGCAGGGTCCAGAATGTCCTTGTTAGACAAGCCGATGTTGACACCCGGAATGCCTTCCTTTGCGTCCACATCCTCAAGTTCTAGATTCTTACTCCTCCTGAAGACGGCCTCAAAGCTAAAGGGCGTGATAGGTCCGCGAGCTGTGGAGTCAATCTGGCAATATGTGACCAGTAGCTGTCGGATGACAGATCCGCCTTGGTCAGACTCGCGCTCAAGAAAGTTGAAGAGGTCGCCGGTGGCGTGTTGGTTCAAGGGGATGCGGTATTTGTTCTCCTTGTACAGCTTGGTCACGGAGTTTTCGTTGACATGTTGCGGGAGCGTGATTAATGAGAACGTCTTCAGATCGTCTGCGTGCGTCGCTTGGAAATGCTGACCAATCTCCTTGAGAAATGACTTGCCCTCTTCCGTGTATCCATTTCCGACCAACTCGATGAAGGAGTAGACAAATGTCGGCCAGAGAAGCTTTGAGAGCTCAAACTAACACACAGCCTTGTTCAGCATAAATATAGCAAGTAGTCACGGAGGGATCACACACCTTGTAGATCTCGAGGTTGTTTTCGACCCAGTCCTTCAATAGTCGGAACGCTCTTGCGTACTTCTTCGGGCCCAGGATGGCTAGTTGCTGGACTGGCTTGCCGTCACTGCCCAGATGTTTCGATTCTTGACGGAAAACTTCTTCTGTCCTATTGAACCCTCTTTTGAGCAAGTAGTCCGTCACCTAAGCGTTGGAACGGTGTTAGCTGAGGCTATGCTATGGAATTGACGGCTTGAAAAGAGCTGTGTTGTTGATCAATGCTGTAATTCTGTGCCCTCATCTCATGAGCAATGAGAGGGATGACATAATCACAGAAGGGGTATGGGATATTGAATGAGAACAGCGCTGTGAAAAGCGGGCAAGTAAAGCGACAATGCTGGTGTTTCTGTAGCACGGTATGACATCCTTGATTGTGGTCAAGTGATAAAAGTACTGCAGCAAGAGGGAGGCTATATATGCCTAGGAGCCCGATAGGCTTGGGACCAGTAATCGTAGAGAGCAAACATGAGCGGGCCATGTGCGAACGATCCCAGTGTCACAGAAGAAACAAATGGACGAGCTAGAAGAATCAAGACGTACAATTTGGTTGAGGTTCTGATTCGACATTGCACCCCCAGTCGCGGTTGTTGCAGTCGTGGCGGCAGCAGGCGGACCGGCCGGTGACGTTGCTGGCTGCCCTGCATAAGAGCCAGCCGCGCCTGTGCCCTGGGCCGGCGCCTGATTCGACATGGTGATGAGAGAGTCGGCGCTGAGAGATATAGATGGCGAAGGTGGGTAGTTATGAGTGCTGAAGTCCCTTGGAATCGGCTGCTAGTCCCATAGCAGGTGCCCGTCCTGCGTGATGTGAGGCTAATGCAGCTCGTGCTGGGTTCCTTCAGTGAGGTTGAGTTGCGGCTGGATCTCAGTCTCTTGTCTGTGGCGGTATGGAGAGGGTGCTCTGCTGGGTATGGGCTCAAATAAGGCGCACTGTAATCCAGAGATTCGGTTTGAGATGACGGTATGCGATGCTGAGAGAGAGATTGAGGCGCGGCGGACGATGGACGAGGAGTTGTTTGATGGGCGACAAGGTTGGTTGATGTTGAAAGCTTAAGCTGAGGTGGCTTGGGAAATCGCGAGTCGCCTTACACTGCCGTAGCCGATGTTTAAGCGGCGCCTCTCACAAGCTGCTCACATCCAGCAATCAGCTTTGCGTTGAGTTTTCATGCCCTTCAGATGCAGTAATCACAGAAGTTTGAACAATAAGGGGAGTAAATAGAACAATAGCTATAGCATCTCTTTCATGATCATGTTTATCTCAAGGACAATCGAGTTGCGCGCACCTGATCTTTGGCACAGCGAGACATGCAAGCGCGCTATCTTATCAGGTTCGCGGCGCGTTGGCTGGACCCACAGCTGTTCAATGTCCTTTGACGGCACATGCGCTTGTCTGCTACACCATCACATCCAAGCTTGTGAACTGATACATAGTATCTCATCACTTGGACAAGTCGCCTCCACCTACTCAATTCATATAGAGAGACTACGCCTCAGCATTATTTTTGGGACAAGACTTTTCTGGTCTCGCCAACCTCTCCCCCGCAACCATGGCTTCCCCCCAGGATATCGTCATGGGCGACGAGAAAGAAGACACTCAGACTCAAGAGCCCTTTGTGCCATTCACTCTCGAAGAGAATATACAACAGCTCAATGACATTGATCGGTCCATTGTCCAGCTCATGACGCACACTGCCACTGCGCTCGGCGCCCTCACGACGCCAGTCTCATCCGACGACAGCAATCCCCTAGCATCAGTCGAGGCAGCGGCACAAACAGAGGCATTTCGGAGCGCTACCGATACGTTCCTGGAGACGCTGCATAGTATTGACGTGCGCATGAAGCGCCAGATCCTCGCGCTGGAAGAAGCAGGCATCGTCAATCTGTCTAGCGGACCTCGCCAGGGCCACAGCACGGCTGTCAAGGCATCTTTGAAGCCGAATGGCATGGGGGCCATCGGAAACCTGGACGTTGGGTGGCTCAATAGTCGCAGCACCAAGGTTGAGCGCGATATGGAGCTGGAACTGTGGAGAAGAGCGCAAGAGCTCCTTGAAAAGGACGCAGACAACACCAAGAAGGAGTGAATGCATCAATCTGTTGGCTTATTGACAAATTGGCAATGGGATTCCATCACTGCCACGTGTCCCAAAGTACGCCTTTCCATTTTGCTCATAACAGCAGCAATACTAACAACATTCTTAAGGCCGCTCTTTGCGTATAGCCAGCCTCTGGCAGTCTCATTCATCCGCGCAGGTTTAACCCAGGTGACTGGCATCTTGTCCTCAGACCTCAGTCAAATTATCGCAGAGTCTGTTATAGGCATGCGTAATCTTGAACAGCTCGTCTGGTGCTTGAGGCAGGATGTTCTCGGGCTGAATGCTAACCAGACGTCAGCCCAGGCGACCTTGGGCGGAGATGGCACACTTACAGGGCGTTGAAGAAGAAGCAAGAAAATTCCCCCTCGTCAGACGTTGAGTGTTTGGCTGGTAGATGGCGTCAGTATATGGGACGATACGCGGACGGTGTATCGGTTTGGTTAAATGGACGCCTACTCTGATATCCAACCCAAGAGACACACTTCTTTCTCGCATTGCAGGTGTACTGGCACCTATTCTCCGCCCAAGGGACCCAAGTAGTGCCCAGGGAGAAGTGCTGGATCTGTTGAGCAATCCATGGCTCTGGAAGAACGAAGAGGGGAAGCATACATCTGCATCACCGACATTTGGATGGCGCGCGACCCATGCTGGGTCGAGCACGAAGCGACTGGGGAATTGAGTTGGGGGCTTCACCTCGTGGTAGTGAATGGTCCACTGGTCATACTGTTTTGGGGTGCCGTACACACAGGCTCCTCTAGTCTGGTGTTGGTCGTCCGTGACGACCTCTTGGTTGGGGAGAGGAGAGGCTGTGGTGGCGGCGATCAAGAAGGCGGCCGCTGGGAAACAAATGAGAAGCATGATGAACTGCGGCCTTTTTTTTGGAGAAGCCAATTGGTGTATTTCGATAGATTAAGGGCACAAAATTAGTCGTCTCTGTCAAAGACGGTCAGAATTATGAGCGACTCTCAAAGAGAACAGCATCATCATCCCCGCGTTCTCTGCCTCCTCCAACTTGCAAATGGAGAAAGTAGTGAATTGAGCCACTGCCCTTTGCTTAATGCCTACCTTGTTGATATCCCATTGAGGAAAGTCAATGCCGAGCCTCTGGACTAATTCTTGGAAGGTTACTCTGATCGTGGCAGAATGCATCATGCACCCCATTCCATGTTACGCGCAAGCTATCCCAAGGTACCTTGACACTTGATGGACGTGACGGGATCAATGGTCGTCTACTACTAGGTACCTTCTACCTGGCTTGTGTTGTAAGCAAGGTAGTTCAGCTTACAAAGGTACTTATCTGGTGCCTTGTACGGGCAAGCAATTCTGCGCTTCGAGGCATCGCATGATATCTGCCACCTGGGATTTCCAAGGCCTTCTCTTCGTCATGCACTGAAGACGTCGCGACGACTTTGACGAGTTCGCGCCGCGTTAGCCGCTTTGGGATGACATGCAGTAGCGGAGAGTCTGCTTCCCATGTCGAGTGCTTTGCTCTCCGACGAGATACACGTGTGCGTTTGCTCGTACTCCGCACCTACTTGCCCATTGGGATCTCACCATAGGCATGTATCGATGTTGCGTTTCTCTGCTCTCGATACCGACAGCTTGAGCGTCCAGTTCAGCACCTGGTTCCTCTCTTCGATTCACTCATCCCTCGTCCCTCCCTCTGGTTCCCAAGACGCTCAGACCACTGAAGCTCCAGCAGTCGTTTGCGGGGCACATCCCGGCTTACTGCATGCGCTCCCGCCCAAGTCGCCGGTACTTGGTCGCCCAGCGTGCGTAATGCCGCAATGCAAGTCTCCTGGTTCGCCCCGGCAGAACGTCGGTGACGCGTTTCGATGCATGCCGTGGCTTTTCATCTCCGATCGAGCCGCTCCAACAAATGTTTCGTTTCGTTCTGAGAAGACACCCAAGCCGAGGATTTTCTGGCGTCCGTTCTCTAACGTGACTGGCGATACGACTCGGCTTTGGAGGTGACGAGAAGGGATTTGTTTTTCCTTCTTCTTTAGAATTCGCCCGTTGTTCAGTTCCTCGCATTACAACTGCAGCCAAGATGATGCAGCCGTCTCGGCAGGCGGCGATGGCGGCGCTGCTAGCGATCGCTTCGTTCGGGACGCTGGTGCAGGGCCACGACCACCACGAAGGCGGCGAGAGCCACATTCCCGAGGGCGAGGCGATTTCACTGGAACCCATCGTGAGTCGCTCTATCGAACAGCAACGAAGAGTACCAACAAAGCAACTAACACGGCTGTCAGGACTCAATCCTTTGGATCCACATCTTCATCCAGATGCTCGCATACGGCGTCATCTTCCCGGTGGGCATGGTCTTTGGTGTAAGAGCAGCCCTTTCCGCAGTACTCATCCAACCTTTACACGAGGACAGCGACTGACTTGATCCTGACTTGCAGATTACAAAGTCTCGATGGCACGTCCCGACGCAGATTCTAGGCTCCATCCTCGCTGTTGTCGGCTTCTTCCTCGGCCATGCGCATAAAGGGCGCGAGTTTGTCGGCAACAATGTGCACGCCGTCTTCGCCAACATTCTGCAGTTCCTGCTCGTCGGCCAGGTCGTGCTGGGCCTGTACTTGAAGCTTCACTGGGAGAAGGGCGCCCTCGGCTTGATTCGCAAGTTTGTTCGACCCTTGCACTCCGTGATTGGCAAGGCGATGCCTCTTCTCGCATGGGTGCAGATGATCTTTGGAGGCATTACCACCCTCGGCTTCTGCCAGGGCGACCACGTTGGCCAATGCGCAGCCCACTTCATCATGGGCGGTGCATTCATCGCCTACGGAATCATCCTGACCATCATCCTCCTCGCCGGACAAGTCTGGATCCGCCGCACCGGGCGATCGCAAGAGTTCTACGACAGCGCCGTCATTGCGGCTTGGGGCTGCGTCAACACCTTCACAGAACACCGCTGGGGTACCGACTGGGTCAAGAACGATTGGCAGCACACCACGATGGGCGTCATCTGGTGGTGCGCGGGTTTGGCGGGTATCTGGCTTAGCCGAGATCGCGACGGCAACCCGAAGCGCAACTTTATCCCCGGATTCGTCATCCTCATCACGGGCTGGGGCATGTCTGCGCACCCCCAGGAGCTCATGGTCAGCGCCATGACGCACACCATGTTCGGCTACACCCTGATGGCCGCGGGTGCTGCGCGCATCATTGAGATTGCCTTTATCCTCAAGGATGCTCAGTCGCTGTCCGACGACGGCCGCTCCTGGAACAGCTTCCAGTACATTCCGGTTTTTGTAAGTTGACATTCTTGAGCGTTGATGCACGTTGGCATCTAACTCTGGATAGCTCCTGTATGCGGCCGGCTTCCTCTTCATGGGCGCAACCGAACAGCAGATGGCCCTCATCGACAGCTCCAGCATGGACGTCATCTCGTACATCCTCATCCTGTACTCCCTCGCCTTCCTGGTCTTTTTGTTCGCCAACATGCTCATCCACCTGTACGACCGCCTGTCAAACCCGCCTTTGAACACAAAGGGATTCGCCAACGGCCATACGCATGTGAACGGGCGGGCTGTAGAAGATGGCCATATCCGCGCGGCAGAGGAGTTTGAGCTTGACGGATTGTCGACGGACGACGAGGACGACGAGAGGCAAGGGATGCTGGCAGGCGAGGGGGCTGCTCCCAAACGACCTGCTCCAGCCCAAACATGACCAAATACAAAGAGGTGCGGTGCGGGAGGTGTTATCGAGGGGGGCAAGCATTCTACTGAGAAGCTGTCTGTGTATGTTTAGCGCGTTTTGGAGTTTGTCTACGCATAATGCCTGTATACGATACTGAGGAGCAACATGACGGTGGTGACGGGTCATTTGGAAATAATGGTGCTGTAGAACATGCATTCACATCAATAAACATTGAATAAACTGGTCATGAAGCTGCAGGGCGTGCTCATGTGTGGAAATGCATCGACTCGGTACCTGCGTCCAAGGCCGGGCCAGAAACAGCTTAGTAGCTGCCCATGCTTATAACGCTCCCGTCTATCAAGGTCAGTGGGGCCAACTTTTTTTTCTCTTATCTGCTGCTATTTAGTATCACCACCAAAAGATCTCCAACATCCCATCTCAAACCAAACAAATCAAAACAACCAGCAAAACAACACACATCTCCCCGTTCACCGAAGAAAAGAAACACAAAGAAAAAAAAAAGCCACAATGGCCAACGTCAAGAATCCGAACCGCATCTCCAAGAACCGGCAGGCCGCGCGCGCCGCCAAGGCCCGCAAGGCGAACCTGAAGCGCACCAACCCGATGAACCAGGACAAGGTGCTCAAGGCGGACCGGACGCGGGGCGCGCGGCCGGGCCTGCTGCCGACGAGCGGGCCGCGGAAGCCGATTAGCAAGAAGAAGGCGCGGAAGCTGGAGAAGAAGATGGGGTATGAGCTGAGGAGGAGGATGGAGGCGGAAGGGGAGGCGGTTATGAAAGGTGCGTTTTCCTTCTGCCCGGAGAGTTTGGGGGGGAAATGGGAAATGTCGTGGGTGGGGTGTGATTTGGGAGATTTGTGCTGACTTTGGGAATAATAGATGCCCCGGTTGTTGAGGAGGAAAAGGTGCAGGAGGAAGCGGAGATGGAGATTCAGTGATTTTTGGGACATGGTGGGTAAGTCTTGCTGGGCAAACGTACGCCGTGGAAAGTTGCAAGCTAATTTGAACGGAAGGGTATTGGAAAAAGTTTCTTGTTTTGCTTGCTTAGCATTCTATGGTACAATGGGACACAACTACGGCGCAGGAACGGGGGACCTGGAAAAGCGACAATTGATAGATTTCGAACGGCTATGTGGTATACCTACGATGCGCTACTGAATATATCGCCTTGTTTTCTTATTCTTCATTTCTTCTCCGTTGCTACGAGATGGCGAAGGGGGTATCTGAACATCGTCTGCAACATTGCCACGAGGAGGACTCGCTTCCCGCTTCTTTTGTCGAAGACATCCGTTCTTGCTTCGCATAACCAAGATCTTTCTTCGACACATTCTCCGCCTGTACGGGCTCGGCATCGCTCATCCGGTCTCGAGAGCGCATGCTACTCTCCGTTCTCCTATACGAATCCGTCGTATACGAAGACAGCGAGGAAGGATACGGTGTTGAAGAGGAGTAGTCGCTTGACCACTCCGACGGAGGAGGCACTCTCGGGAGGCAGCAGTATTCCACACATGCGGTTAGCGACTCCCTGACGATGTTTGGTCTCTTGGGCGAACGCGTAGTAGGCTGGTAGGTGGTGTTGTCATCGTAGGGGAGGACGATGGTGCCGCTTGTGTGGATGGTGGTGAGGGCGGGGGGGAGGGGGTTGCGGACGAGGGTTTGGGAATGGTATGACGGAGGAGGGAAGCGGAGGGATGGGGTGGTTGTTGAAGAAGGGTTTGCGGTGGTGGTTGAGCTGGAGGCTGTTGGGTTGGCTTGGTGGGATGTGCTTGTGTTCATGCTGTTTGTGTTATTGGCCATGTTGGAGTTGGGGGGTCCGTGGGATCTGGGGACCTTGGTGATTTGTGCAACGGCTTGCTTTCGCGAAAGCAAGGAGAAAGGGGGGTTATATGTCGTTTCTCGCAGGGGGCATATTTGTGGCTGAGATGTGATTGAGAGAGTCACGCGTGCAAATTTGGCTCAAGGCTACAATCGAAGAGGTGATGCGTACATTCTGAATCACTCGAACAGGCTTGTGCGTTTGCAATGTAACGCAATAGCGCTCACGTTTGTGTCCATGGAGCACGAAGCAATGATGTGATGAGCTGTTGGGACGCTGAAGTCTGAAAGGTGGCTCAAGAGCACTGAACTAAGGTTGTAAGTAAGAGTACGGAAGAACGTATAGGGGACTATTTTCACAATTTGAGAAAGAAGGGTTCAAGACGACGATTAGTGATGGAGCCATGCCGAGTCATAGAGGTGAAGAGTCGAGTTGCTAGCAGGAGAAACCGGAGAAGTTAAGAGTACTAGGTTCACGATACCAAGGCCCAAGTGCCGAAGGTCTCTTAATCACCAAACCATGACAAGGTTCGACGACGATCTATCGACAACCCCCACCAAGGGATCCAGACCAGGAAGCCTTGCTTCAACTAATAGAAGATGGCGAAGTCAAAGAGAAGAAAACCCCCAGGAGAAAGTACAGTGTAGTAAAGCTCGTCTCATAGGTATAGGTATGGTTTCGTTACGTTACCATGTGCTCAACATTCGCATATAGGAACTATTGACAAGCTTCCATTCGTCGAATCATTTTTCAGAGCAGCCACAGTAAGAAGTAAACTGCGATGGAAACTCGCCTTGTGTCAGTATGTATTCGGCTTTCCTCAGTTGAACACATGCAGTTTGCAAGAACAAGCAAAATTCATTCGGACCGAATGCCGATCTCAAGAAAACAAGCTTCTCTTTATGGGTGGCGCTAAGAAAACGGAACCCCTATGCTGACGACCCCTGAGTTCGAAATCGATCATCGTCGATTTTTGCTTGATGGCATCGGAGTTTAAAAAAGAAAAAGCACGGCAACTCCACTCAGATTGGTCGTTTATAACTCCGTACTTGTCTAGAAGAGGAGAAAACGGAAGAACAGAACCGTTGTTTGTTTCTATCAGCTGAGCGAGTGAGCCACCGAAGGTTTCAATCTCTCTATAATAGACATCTAAGTCAACCACTTTGAACCGCAAGTTCTGCCTTGTGAACGTCGCAACAAACGCGTTTAATGGGTAGAACAACTGGCGTTGTTTCTCGGATACGACACATTCTTTCGAACTCGTAGTGCAAACAACATGCAAGTGCCCGGCGTTCCAAAACCTCGAGTTGCGGGCTGATTAGCCTTACGTAGATCCCTGTCTATACTTAAACAACTGCCAAAAGCAGCAACTCTGCATTGATTGCATCTCGTACTAGGTAGTCAGCTTACTTGCCGCAAGGCCCGGCTCTTCGCGATGGAAACACGCAGTGTAGGTATAAGTTGTGCTGTCGACCTTCTTCGCAACTCTACATTACCCTTCCGTAACCAACATTACCTCAGCCAGTCTCCCCTCACAAACCAGCAGATAAACCGCCAACAATGCATCTGAAAAGCTACTGCCTCCTGCTGGGCGTCTCCTCCTCCGCCGCCCTGGCCCAGCAGCACCCCCTCTCTCCCAACGGCCGCAAAGCCGGCGCCGCGGGCGACACCGCCCTGTCCTTCTGGAAAGACCACCTCAGCTGGTGGCACGACTGGACGCCCAGCCCGTCGTCCCCCAAGGGCGCCGGCCTCGTCCCCGTCTCGATGCTCTGGGGCGGCGGCAACAACGGGCCGCTCGACGCCCAGCGCCTCCAGCAATTCGAGCAGCTCACCGCCACGCCCGACTACGTCATGGGCTTCAACGAGCCCGACTGCTCCGGCGCGGACGTCTCCGCCGACATTGACGTGAGCCGCGGCGTCGACCTCTGGAACAGCCTCATCGCGCCCATGGGCGACAAGGGCGCCGTGCTGGGCAGCCCGGCCATGTGCCGCCAAAAGGACGAGTCCTGGCTCAAGCAGTTCAGCCAGCAGCCGCTGAACCGGAGCTGGGACTTTACCGCGATCCACATCTTCAAGCCGGACATGGCGGGCGTGCAGGCGGACATTGACTATTACTGGAACACGTACCAGAAGCCGCTGTGGGTGACGGAGTTTGCGTGCGTGTTTGACCAGAACAACTTCACGCCGTGCTCGGACCAGGGGCAGATTGATCAGTGGATTAGCGATGTGGTGGATTTGTTCGAGGCGAATGAGCATGTGCTTGCGTATGCGTACACGGATGGGCTGGGGCTGGGGACGGCGTGGCCGCCTGTGAAGAGCGATGGGAGTCTTTCGGAGTCGGGGCAGGCGTACTTGAATGCGATTAGCAAGTATTACTGAGAAGACTGATCGAGAAAGAGTTTTTCCTCTTTATAAAGAGATCGACTTTGTACATGATGATATGATATAGCACATATAAGGAATAGAGCATGGGTTAACGTAGCCAGGTTACCTGACCATTGAGAAGCGACACCAAGTACTTACATGAAGTCTCATCACCCTTGATATCTTTGCGCACTTGTATCGAAGAGGTTGGCCTACATGTCGATCTCTGGAGAATATTTGTGACATTTGCTGTCTAGCCACTTGCTCAATCCACGTACTCAACGTGAGCTGCGTCTGCTTAAACGAGCAGCAAGAGGGTATCATTGCGTAACCTGAACAGTATCCAAGATAGTCATACAGAGGCCCTGGGCCTATACTAGTCAGAAAACTCCTCGTTCGGAGGCTCTCTGCCAAAGGGGTGATTGAACTTAAGAAGTCCATTGAGTCCGCCCACCCACGGATCGTCGTCCTCTGTCCGTATCACGCACGGCACTCCGCCATGCCACTCCTCGCCCGGCCCTGCTCGCCCAACGAACTCGCCTTCGACGCGAATCTCGGACCCCGGCAGGACGCCGGCACACCGTTTGCCGTCGATGCTGAGGTCCAGCTCACGGCCCCTGTTCTTGGGGCTCATCCGGAGCGTCACTTTTGTATCCAGTGGCAGCACGAGGGACCGGAAACTGAGGCTGCAAGGGCTGATGGGCGTGATGAGCAGCGACTTCACCAGAGGATGCACGATGGGTCCTCCGGCGCTTAGGCTATAGGCGGTCGAGCCGGTTGGCGTGCTGATGAGAATGCCGTCAGCCGTCGTCTCCGTCAGGAAGTGGCCGTTTTGGTAAATGTCGATGATGGCCAAGTGCGGGTGCGAACCACGGTGGACCGATATCTCGTTGATGGCGCGCAGAGGAGGCGATATCTCCTTTGGGCTGGCAATGCCCGACTTTGGCTGGCTGGCCAAGGTGTTGGAGACCTGGTGGTTGATGTTGTTGCCGGCCCGGTCCAGGATGTCCGCCTTGATCCGATGCCGCAGCAGGACCCGCGACGCCCTGTTGATCCCCATGCTCTTGCCCTTGACGCGGTCCCAGCCCTCACCCGCAGTCCTGCTCGCGTCCACATTCTGGTCTCGTCCCCGCGGCACAGCAGCATTGCGCCCCGCACTGACGTCGCTCCCGCTCATGTACATCTCCCTCCACGCCTTCTTGTGCTCGGCAAAGTTCCATTCGCCCAGGAAGCCCAGTGTTCCCATGCTGAAGGACAAGATGGGAGGAACGGATCCGTGCAGCTTGAACAAGCTTGCGGCGCGCAAGACCGTGCCGTCGCCGCCAAACGTCGCAATGGCGTCAATCTTGTCGGCAATGTTGGTGCCGTTGTCGGCGACAAAGATGGGAAAGTCGAGCTCCTGCTGGATTGGAACGGCGACGCGGGCTTCAATGACGATGTTGACGTCGGGATAGTCGCTCCGGAGGTGTTTGGCGAACTGGACGACGGACTCGGTCACCTCGGGCGAGTAGAGCTTCTGCACCAGCAGCAGGTTGCGCGGCGGCCGCGGCCAGTTGAGCGACAGCAGAGACGACCCCGGCTTCGACGTCTGGAGATAGCGCGGGATGATTCGTTCCGGCAGCTCGGCGACACTTCGCGACTGGGCGAGTCTCAACGAGTGCGTCGTCGACAAGCTTCGCCGGCTAGAGGCAGAGGCCATGGCCGGCAGAGGCCGAGCTTGAGCAATGCGGCGCCATGGTCCGCGGAATGCTCGAAAGTAGGTAGACATGGCTTGGATCAAGCGGGATCTATCATGATTGCAGCAACAAGATGCGCCGCTTTTGGTGAACTCAGGGTCGTGGGCTCGGCTCTTTTGCAGCAACGCAGAGGTAGCAAGTCATGACGATGGAGCTCCTGTGGATGCACTTCTTAGCGTCCGATCTATCCAAGATTTGCAAATGGAAGCTCTTATTCAGATAAAGAGGGATATATCGCCATAGCGCGAATTACCCGAGTATCCGTTCCAGACTGACGACACTGCAGAGGTTGTTCTCCTCAGGTTCAGAATTTCTATCAGTGCTTGCTTTCATCAGTTCCCATGTCATATTCCGAGTGATGGAGTAACCTTACATGTCAGCCTACAGATGTGGCTGCGCGTTGTCCTTGAAATCAGCCTGATCAACGATTTGTTTGTTACCTGCGATTCCCGCCGCGTTATGCCCTACCTCAAAACATTGAACTGCATTCATGTTCATGGCTGACAACGTGTCGGTTTGATGAGTCTACATGCATATTAGCTGCTTAAGGGGCTTCATATATACTAGGTAGTAGAAGTGTAGGCTAGAGTGCCAATGCAGCCTGAGACTGATGCATTGTAAAGGAATGCAGCGTAAGCAACCGCTGAACGCATGAACGCCGTGTATCCCGCATACGATGGTGCGAGGTTAGTCTCCTCCCATTATTCGCCTGCCGGAGGACATCTCTCTTCGGCTTGATACGGATTCTTCAATCGTTTGCCACGGCTACCTGATCTGTTTACATCTCGGACCAGGCAACATTACGCCACGTGGTTCTATCCAGACTGCGTTTATCAGATATAAAGAAGCAAGATGCCTTAGTGTACTTTAAAGAGGACCACCAGCAGCTCAAGATTAACGTTTACAAAGTGCTTTTTGAGCACTGTAACTCCCTTCTTCATCAGATTCTAAGTCAGATAGATTCTAATAGTGTATATATATTTCTCAAAACTTCAATGCATTCCTCTGGCTCTACTACGTCCTCCGAATACGGAATAATCTTCTACTACTAATATTTCTCTACTACACACATGTCCATCTATGGCGCCATTTTTAATGACACAACAAGCTGAGCAACTCCCACCAGGAAACTCAACAACCCAAACAGAGCCGTGAGAAACAGACCAAGAATTGCAACCGTCAGCGCGTTTCTCTCTGAAGTATGCCTCTCGAACCACGAAATGATCTTGTTCGAGGGTGGCGGCTTGTCTACAACTGTCTGTAGAGCTCTTAGTCTCTTTGTCCAGTAGACGAATTTGAAGTTCCCCGGCAACGGGCGAATCAGTCCATCGTACACCACCAGATTGGGGTCAAAGATGGAATCGGAAGATCGGGACAAATCTGTGTCTCTCTTCGCTTGTGTAAGCTTCTTTGCAAATTTGGCTGATTTCTTGTTTGTGGCGATTGGGAAGAGTATATAATAGATCGAATAGAGAGTCTCGACTAGAAGCTGAGGAGGCAGAGTTCCGCTATAAATATTACATAGTCAATATACATATATATAACAGCAGCTAAGTAGCAGAAAGGGCAGTCTGACTTTGTGGAACTCATCTCTATGCTCTCTTCTAGACTTCTTTCCAATGTACGTCGAACCTGGCACTTGAGCCACTCTACTTGATGAAAAACAGCCAAGGTTTTCGTCGTAGGGTTATACACAAGATGTTCTGCCAGGTCGTTGGTCGGGCGGATCTGGATTCCTAGCCGCCGATTCAGCTTCCATGCCCTTAAGGTATGCTTTCTTATCGAGGAATGCCAGAATTCCATAGGGTCGGCAGGGAAGGCAGACTGGAAGAACTCGACAAACGTCTGGCTGGGCAGCCACTTAACGGGAAACACATGTTCGCTCTCGATCCCGTAGGCCATGGGGAAATCGTCTTTTGAGGAGGGGTCGATCATGAAGGCCAGCTGTACGGCGACTCTTGTTGTCCTGTCCTTGTCTCTGGGATGATAATCCGCAAATGCATCCTGCTGAAATTCTCCAAGGGTAAAGTTTTCACTACATTGAGACTTCAACTTGGATACAGATCGAAGAACAGCGGCGTGAGATGATGTGCCTGAAGGATTGATTGAGATTGTAATGTCGCCACTTGTAGCCCCCGTGGGAGCGTACGCAAGGCGCGTGATCTCATGATAAAACTGTCGAAAAGCATTGAATTTGGAATCAGAGGGCTCGCTGGTTTGTAAAAGAGCTTTGAGTACGTCGTTGATGTTTGTGACTTGAGGGGACAAAGAGGACAAACTAGAGTTGGGCATCGTTTCTCCGGATATGCTTCAGGGTGCTGATTGAACAAGGTATAGTATTGTAGATAGAAAGACAGAAGTACATTGATACTCTTATCTATAGATGTTTCCGGTATCCGTCTCTTATTTACCTACCAGTCTATTCCTCTGCGCAGTGTATCAAGAATCATATATATAATTTAGATTCACACTATTGATCAGGATGGATACTGCCTGTATGTCAAGATATTAATTTGGGCTGTTCCAAGTACCTAGGTATGTGCTCAGCCACTCTTTGTGAGTCCGCCTACAGACAGATTTAACAAGCATTCAGCCCAACCGCTGCATGGTTGGGCTGCTTGTTGACCAGCTCTAGATTCAGCCGTTGCATCTGATGGGTCTTATTGGTTCGATTTTTGCTGCAACAGCACGCGGATGGTAACTCCCCGCCGTCAGCCAGACACGATTGCTATATCTGAGCCAATAGAGGCGGTCCAAGTCATCCTTGCCGGAGGCCAATCATTTCACGACAAGCAGAGCCGCATCAATGCTGGGACGCGAAATTCACAGCCTCCTGCTTGCATTCGCGATGCCCACTCTTTCTGTTCTACTTTGCACATCTTGCTTCCGACCATCTCACCCTCTCACTCTCTCTCCCTATTGCCTGCCGCTGCCACCCAGACGAAACGGGAATCCCCTCTCCTCCAACAGCTCGCCTTCATGAGCCGATATGCCATCTGGCTACGAAGTCATAATGGGGCCCCAGGAGAGTACAGCGCCGAACAAACTGAAACAACCATTCAGTGGCCCAGCAAAGCTCTTTGGGTTCTTGTCGTCAAAACTCCAAAATATATCGAGTTCGCAACCAAAAAGCACAATACCGCCGGAGCAAAGTCCAGTGGCAGATCCTCTGAACATTATCAAGGAGGAAACTCTCAAGGAGGAGAAGGAGAAGTCGACAGACAAGTCGACAGACAAGTCGACAAACAAGTCGACAGACAAGTCGACAGACAAGTCGACAGAGAACTCGACAGAGGACTCGACAAACAAGTCGACAGAGAACTCGACAAACAAGTCGACAGAGAAGTCGAAAGCCGAGCAATCGACGGACTTCCGTGATCCTCTGAAGATACCCGGCGTCAAACCAGAAACTTTTGTTTATCCTCACGCTGATGAAAACATCAGCGCGGCTCATCGGGCGCGCTACCCTGTGATAATGGATATCTTCCAACAGAATCTCCAGCAAGACCGAAGGCTGTCTCTAAGACACCCCACGAAGACAGAATACAGACTCAAGATGTGTGGCACTGGCAGATATGATGCCAAGCCATCGATATTGGTCTCTCATCCATGGAACGATATGAAGACGGGTTTGTCCATCATGAAGATCTTGTCTGAACCGCAAGTACGCGAGCAATATGACTCCAGCCCCATGGAAGTGCGCTTCAAGATATATCTGTTCTTGGGGCCCTCGTTTAAATATCTCGGATGGCCGATAGAGTCTCTTGATATTCGACTGAAAGACAATTTCCTTTCTGGAGCTGTCCTGGTATCGGACGATGCCTGCAATGTGATAAGCACCATCACTTGTGGTGTCCGACATACCGGCCCGAGTCATCCCGTCTTCGCACTGACGCCTGCTCATGCCTTTGAACCATCTTATAAAGGAGACGGGGGTGTCGTGGAGAACGTAAAGGCAAATGCCGATGCGTCTGACCGCGATGGCGAAGGAGTGGAGGACGAAGCGGTGTGCGAGTTTGCTGATGTTGAGTACGACATAGCTGAGCTTCTGCAATATGAGAGTTCAAATGTACTCGAACCCAGACTCAGTGAGCCACCTACGGATCGCGCAAGGGACCAGGATCTCACAAAGTTCGGCACCAAAATATTGAAGCCGAAAGGCGTGTGGGGGAGGCCCAAACTGCCAGAATGGCCCGCATCGAGCGAACTACGAGACTGGCACAACCACCCCAATCTTGACTGGGCCTTGGTTGAGATTGAGAATTCTGATCAATGGTCGAGGCCAAACCTTGACTATGAGTTGAGGCCGGTGGACCACTTGAGCGAGGAAAAGGAACCAGTGGATATCATGACGTCTCGAGGATTGCTCCATGGTACCATTAGCAGCACTCCGACCTTTATTGCCAATGCTCGCCACTCCGGTTCTTTATGCGAAGTCTGGATTGTTTCTACCATGGATTCAAGTAAGGCAATCAGAATCTTGCTCGCGTAACGCCTGCTAATAACAACATGTATGTTTACATTTAGGCTTCGATGTAGGTGATAGCGGTGCTCTTGTGATTCGTCCAGGGTCCCAATCGGCTTATGGATATGTCATTGCAGTGAATCACTCCAGAGAGCTATACATTGTGCCACTACGAGCGGCGTTGAATCAAATCTGCCATGTACTCTCCATTGACACTCACTCACTACAAGCGTTCACACAATTCCCTCTGGAAGTAACCCGCCGCCTCGGGAAAGCCGTATCAAGAACAAACATATTCGAAAATAGGATCTATACGAGTCGCCTTATCCGATATTGGCCTTTAAGGGCCCGGGGAGCTTCAGAATCGTCCGGGCACTCCGCAAGAACTTGGAAGCCATGGACTGGCTTCGTGAATGGGAAGGGGAGGGGAATACTTAGTCGGTTGGTGACTCGCATGCCATTTCTTGCTAGTCGAGGATCTGGAAAGGCAACTGTCGCAGAGGAACCTAGAAAGGCAACTGTCGCAGAGGATCCTGGAAAGACAACTGCCCCAGGGGAATCTGAAAAGGCAACTGTCGCAGAGCCTAGAAGACCGCATAGACAACCCCCGGCTATGACTATGTTTTCCTCTGAACGGGAATTCCACTACAACCTAAATAATGACAATTCAAACTGGAGTGGCGATGGGACGAAGAGCACTAGATAGACGACTCATAGAGCTAGCTTTCATGACCGAGATGAAAGTGTTATAGTCCGCTTGAGAGAGGTCTAACGTCGTCAACGACTGTACGTAGCTGATATGAAAAGTATTTTACAGTCCTAAAGATCAGTCCGCAACTATCTACTTATGTGACTGCACAAGAACTCGACCCCTTCACCCCTCATTCATCATCATCGTTTCTTATCGGAGCTTCACGACATCATGCTCTGATTACCTAGCGTCACCGCCTACTGCTTCTGGCAGGCGGGGTTGTGTTGTAGCACTGCAAGGATGAGCTCCCGGCGGCTACGAAGCTTGGGTTATTGCTGGCATGTGATCATGTCACCTCTCAGCAGGTCTCACAGACAAGCAGAGCGGCAAGGGACGAGTGTCTGAACTATAGCACAATTGAGGAACAGCGCATGTTGCCTTTGTTGGGGATCCCAAAGTCATCTGCATGTCTCCGAATGACTGTCCATCATGGACCATTTGCCCGACTTTGTGCTGGATTCAGTCACCGCCCGGATTTAACCTCCACTATCCGTCTCCCGAAGATGCCATCCAATCCTTGTACATGTAGCCACTCTATTCTGGCACGACAACCAGCTCTGCTCTATGCACTGAAGCACAGCGTCTGACGGGCTCCGAGGCTCCCGCTAAGCCCAGCCCAGGGCTGAACGGATGGGCAGGCGCTGAGCCAATGGCGCTAACGGCATGACAGACAGCTGTCGAGGCGACCTGACCTTAGGCAGAAGCAGGGAGCGAATCAGCAGCCACGACACCTGCGTCATCATGTGCCTGCGCTCCGAGCTGGCCACAACCTTCACCTTCATCTTGCAAGTACACTGTCTGACCTCGAGCCTCTCGAAGCGGGCAAGCGGACACAAGCAGGAGACGAAACAGCGCCAGGTCGCGCGACCAAACCGTTGGGACTAGGCATTTGCCGTCTTTGGCGGCTGCTGCTTCACCTTGGCTGGCACCTGACAGCCTCGGGACGAGACTCGGCTGTTCTGCTCTGCAAGCAAGCCGGCATTTCGCATCTGGAGTCATCTCATATCAGGCACGGTGTTGCCTGACGGGCTGAGCTGCCAGGCATCTCCGACATCGTCCAATCGCTTCTCCGACGCTGGAATCACCACCAAGAAGCCGCACCACCACCTCCATTCAGCAGTTGCTTCATCTGCCTGCTGAACTAAGCTACATTGCGCATTCGTCGTCACTCCATGCTCGACCTTCTACCTCTATATATACAAACATAACCGACACAGAAACATCGAGGCGCTTATGGCAGTGGACAAGATTGCCGAGGGGTCCGACATCAACCTGCCCACTCTCGGGGTCGCCATGGGGCTCAAGCAGACGCCTGGAAAGGGCTCTGCGTACCCGGCCGATGCTCATCCATCGGGCAAGCTAGCACATGGCCGAGCAGTCCAGGTACTACGAGGGCTGGCTTTGGGAATCTACTTCTTTACATGTTGCGTAACGTACGTGCGATGCGCCTAAGCTGTGTGCTTCATTGGAATCAAGGCTCACGAGGATACAGTATCGTCATTTCGCAAGTCCTTGGCAGCTGGCTGTACTTTGTGAACCGAGACATCTACTATGACTACATGTCAATGACCAAGCGATGGTTTGCCGTGACGACGACCTTTGTGACGCAGGTTTGGGGTCCGACGACGATTCGAATCAGCGGCGATGAGTCTGTGGCGGGAGAGATCCGTCCTACGGAGGACGGCGGAGTGCAGTTTAACTTTCCCGAGCGTTTGGTCATGATAGCCAACCATCAGGTAAGGACTCGAGCGTCGGACGAGATGCATTCATTGATTTCCGAGTAAGCCGTTGCAAAACAGCTAACAACCGTGATAGATCTATACCGACTGGCTGTATCTCTGGTGGGTGGGCTACGTCAACAAGCCTGCGGCGCATGGCCACATCTACATCATTCTGAAGCAGTCACTGCAGTATATTCCCATCATCGGCTGGGGCATGAAGTTCTATGGGTTCATTTTCATGTCACGAAAGATGGCGACTGATCAGCCTCGAATGGCCTACCGGCTAGGCAAGCTCAAGCAGACCAAGACTGATCCCAGTGGGAAGCAGTACCGACCACCCATGTGGCTTCTGCTATTCCCTGAAGGCACCAACATTTCTGGAAACGGCCGCCGGAAATCTGCTGCTTGGGCGGAGAAGAATGGGTGGAAGGATCCCGAGCATGTGCTGCTACCCCGCAGCACCGGCAGCTTTTTCTGTCTCAACGAGCTCAAGGGAACGGTTGACTATGTTTACGACTGCACGGTGGCGTACGAGGGTGTCGAGTAAGTGCAATGATCGGACCGCCGAATTGAGAGAAACCTGTAAACAAGGGCTAACTGGCGTCATAGGCGAGGCAAGTATGGCGAGAACATCTTTACCCTCTCCAGCACCTACTTCCAAGGCCGATCGCCCAAGTCGGTCAACTTTTACTGGCGAAAATTCAAGGTCTCCGATATACCACTCGACGATGCCGGCAAGTTTGATGTATGGCTGCGCGAAGAGTGGTATAAGAAGGATGCTCTGATGGAGCAATACCTGACGACTGGACGCTTCCCTGCCATGGCTGGATCCAAGGTGGACTTTATCGAGACCAAGGTTCGGACCAAGTCCCCTCTTGAGGTGCTGCAGGTGTTTACCATTGTCGGCATCACTGGCCTTGTCTGGCGCAATGTACAGCGGTTTGGCGGAGTGGTAGCCAACAGGTTCGGTCTCTTTGTGTGAAGGGTTGGAGGCTTGTCAGGGATGGTGTTGCACTTGGCGAAAGCATTAGAATTCGTTTCCTCGGCATCACAACGTTGCGCACCCCCCTTAAGTAGGTTTGTCCCATGTGGTGCAGCAGATTTCATTAGCGTTTTCATGGCATACTTGGTTCGGCAAGGGTATATCCTCTTCTCTCTTCTTTTCCTTTTGCTCTTTTTTTTTTTTTTGGATACTTGGCAGTGGGTCAGGCGGGTGATCAGGTCGCGAATAGCACACTTGATAATGGCATCTAGCTGGTGCGGAGTTTGAGAAGGGTTTCTTTTCTTGGGTGACCAGATACCGTGGTATGATAGGCTTTGATGGGATTGGGCTTGATGAGTGGGATTTTATTAGTGACATTGATGTTCAATGAGACTTGTTTGACGAGTGTATTGCTCCTGTGCCGGTTGAAGAGCGCTCGAAGCGAAGCCCAGGATGAGGGAGATGAAAGGAGCGGATGGAAGACGCAGGAATGAGATGAAGTGAAGTGTCAAGCATAGATAAATGCAATCTGTTTCCGGAGAGGCAGGACTCTCTTTTCATCTTCCTTGGGGGGTTCGTATTGCATTCTTCTTTGGGCGGAAGCAATTCGGGGAACCTCCTGTTCGCCTTCTTGCTTCATGTTTGGCGGGATGCTGATTCCATCTTGGAACAGAGATCCGTCTAGGACTAGTGCGTAAGATCGGAGCTGTTGGTTCTGGAGAGACTTGGACGAATGGGCTGAGTTAGGTATCTACCTTGGGTACCTTAGATGTCGACGGGAGTTAAAAATGCTGTGCAAACGGCTTTTTTGAGGGTTTTGACTACGATGATTGGCCAGATGATCAAGGCATCCGAGGGAGTTAAAAATGCTGTGAAAGCAAAGTTGTTCCCATGCGAACCTCATTGGTTAAGGCATCCGGAGGAGTTCAGAATGCTGTGACTGTAACTACTCCTTCTCTTTTGGGGTCTTCTATGGCATTTGCGTATTTCTCAGCGCGGGCAAGGACCGGAAGATTTGGATATACGCCATGACCCTCTTCAACAGCACTACCATCAATGAACTTACTAGCATAAGGCGCTGGCCCCTTATCCTGTCCAGAAAGCCTCAAAATTTCCATCTGTGAAGTCGCAATGTCTCGTTGCGCCGCCCGTGCGCGTTTGCTTGCATCTGACATGTTCTACGGCTTGCCTCCCCCGGCGACACAAGTTCAGCCTTCGGGAGGGCCCGTCATCATAGATCAACTCGGTGCTCTCTGCCTCATATCGGCATTCCCACCACGGGGCTGGAGCCCGACAGCCGGCTGAGATGATTCCTTCTCTCGTCATTCGCGGGAGCGAGCTGCTATGTATATGCCGGCCGTGATGGCCATCAATGCAGGCGAATAACGTCCGCGGAACAGTGGAAGAGGGCATTTTTTGCAGCGTGAAGCTCGTCGGGTTTGGGCGGTCGGGGGGAACATTGCGGGGGTTTGTGTGTGTTCCGCGAGGAGGACGTCGCGACGGGGTATAAACCTGGATAATGAGAGGTGATTGCGTGCGCATTCTGGAATACCGTGTTGGCGGTGATGTGTGATTTAGAGCTGTGGAGGGTTGAATAAGAGGGCTAATGGGCAGGGGTCTCTTGCTTGAGGCTCACGATGTAAGTTGATGTGATTCATATTCTCAACTTGTGTAGTGGTGACGAGGTTTGCTGACCTCTTGAGGGTACACAGGAGGGATGCCAGTCCGGATCTCCGATACACGTATACAGTTGGGTTGGGGATATTGGGTGAATCAGGCTGTGTATATGACGAAACGGCAGGACATGTATCTTGCCATGATACAGGTACGATGTTGCCCCATGATTTGCAACAGTGATGGCGATACATGCCCATCACCTAACCACAATGTTGTATATCTTTCCTATGTAGACACTCAATCTCACCCAGCCATGTCCTCATCTCTCTCAGAAGCCATAACAAGACGAAAAGAAAAAAGAAAAAGAAAAAATCCAAAAGACAGGAAAGAAGCAGCACAAAAATGCTCCCAGACCACCTCTGGCCAGTCCTCTTCTGCCTCGCCCTCCTCCTCACCATCGTCATCTTCGCAACCCTCCTCTACACCGTCACGAGCATCCTCCTCGAGCGGCACAACGACGAAGCCCAGCGCGCGGCGAGAGAGTCTTCGCCTGACGAGGGATACCGCACCTTTGAGCGGTCTTTTGGCCCGGGAGAAGACGATGATGAGATTAGGCCTGCGGCGGCGAGGAGGAGCAACACCGGAGGGTCGCTGGTCATTCCGAATAGGTTCTTGAATCGCGAGGGCTTGAGGGGCGATGGCGGGCGGCGGTTGCGGCGGCATGGGCAGACGTTTGCCGAGAGGAGGGAGACGTTTGACGAGAGGAGGGTGTCGAGGCCGCCGTCGGCGGCGCAGAGGGCTTTGATGGGTGTGCGGGGGACGGCTATGGATGTGCGTGAGGGGGAGCGTGCGGATAGTCTCGTTCGCCCGCCGGCCAGGGAAAGAGATGGGAAGAATCCGGCGAGGTATGCGTATGCTGGGGCGGAAGAGCCCATGTTTGACATGTCGGTTTGAAGATGGTGGAAGTTATACATGACGAGGTCAAGGGGTGTCTATTGCGGAGCGAAAAGGACATGCCATTGATCAGTTGCTCAAAGGCTGTGAGGCTCTATATTCAAAGGCTTATTCGATCTATTCATACCTAAGAGGCAGTCAAGCTGAAAACACCTTTTGCGTCTTGTAGGTGCACTTTCCAAGCTTGACCACCCTCTTCTCAAGCGCATTCTTCAACGGCGTCTTTGCCTGGATGTACTCAACGAGAACCTCGTCCAACGTATCCAGCACGACGAAGTCAGTCCTCTTGGGTAGGATGTTATCCCCTCCCCCGGCAACGAAATCCACAGTGGCAATCACATACTCCTTCTCAGGGTCAATGCTCTGCCCCGAGATCCTGGCATCTGCAAGCATGTAGCCAGGCGGATTCGAGGGATTGTACGAAATGCGCAGGCTATGCGAGATCTGAACCCACGAAGACAGCTTCTGGTTCGTAAACTGGTTCACGCGCGAGACGCACCCTTCCAGGATCTTGAGCAAATCTTCGCCCGAGTAGTTGAGCACTGTCACGGCGTTGCCAAAGGGGAACGAAGTGATGACCTGTCCGCGCGTGATGTCGCCCGCATCAATGGTCGCCCGCACGCCGCCCGCATTGATGAGCGCAAAGACGGGCCTCTGGTCCTCGGGAGCGTCCGCGGTGAGGCTGTACGCATACTCAAAGGCGGCATCGGCCATGACCTCGCCCAGCAGGCAATCGCCACTCTGGCAGGCCGTCTGATCAAGCGTGTGTTCCGCCGTGCCCACGACCTCGTTGGCGTACTCTTCAAAGGGGCCTCTCCACGCCGTAATCTCCGCCTGGAGATGCGGCTCCAGCTCCGTCGTGTTGTCCATGTGGATCGGCGCGCCGCGATACGCAAGAGCCCTGCCGTCGTCGTCAAAGGTAAGCGAAATCTCGCCGAGGTATTCTCCCCAGCGGTAGCTCGTCACGACAAACACCTCGTTGCCGGCCAGGTCTCGCACAATGGTTGGGTACTTGCCCTGCGCGCCGTCCATGTCGCCCAGGAGAGTGTGGCTGTGGCCGCCGATGATGAGGGACAGGCCCTCTGTCCGGGCGGCGAGCTGCTCGTCCACGTCGTAGCCGATGTGTGTCAGGGCCACGATGCGTCGTATGTCCGTCGTGTTGCGAATCTCCCAGATGGCCTTTTGCACTTCCTCCACGGGATCGAGAAACGCCGTCAACGGCCCGACGTGCGAAATCGTCGGCGTCGTCGGCGTAGAAGCCCCGATGATGGCAAGCCCGTACTCCTCAAAGACGTGGTAGTTCTTGATCTTGTCCCTGAGATCGGGATACTCGCTCTTCACATTGCACGACACGATAGGAAACGTCAGGTTCTTCAAAAAGGCGCCCAGCTTCTCGTCTCCGCCATCCCACTCGTGGTTCCCCAGCGTCATGGCGTCGAACTTGAGCTCGTTCATCGTCTCGGCAATCTTCTCCCCGCCGTAGAACGAGTAAAACAGCGTGCCCTGGAACTCGTCGCCGGCGCTGAACCACAGATGGTCCGGGTGGGCGGAGCGCAGCTCGTCGACCTTGGTCTTGATGCGGGCGTAGCCGCCGAAGCAGCCCTTGGAGGCATCGAGACAGTCGGTGCCTGCTTTGACGAACTGGTCGAGATGGGCGTGGACGTCGTTGACGTGGAAGAAGGCTATAACGTGTGTGAGCCAGAGTACCGATATGAGGAAAACTGGTGAGAATGAAAGCCTTACACATGTTGAAGTGCCCTTGGTCGTCTATTGCCCGCTTGAGCAGGCGGCTGCTGTACAAGACATCGTCCGCAGCGACGCAGCCTGCAAGAGCCGCCAGCAGAAATGAAGCTTTCATCATGATCCGGCCCGTCCCCGCGTCTCTCCAGCCGCCAACTTCTTTCGTAAAACAACAGACCTCAACAGCCAACACGGAAGCTTGATGCGGAGAGGCCAAGGACAGCCGGGCACTCGCTTTGATAGATGCGCACAGCTGCAACTCGCCGCCTCTTCTCTTCTTCTTTCTCTTCGCCTATTAATGATTCTTCCGGCTATTACGCCGTAAGCAGATATAAGTCAAGTTGATATCCATCTTCATATCTGCCTCTCCTGAGAGACTTTCTGTCTCGGCCACGCCCGGCTGCCAAGGGACCACGTGGGTTGTGTCACGTCACGGTACGAACACACACTGTGTCAGCTTCACCCCGATAAGAGGCAAGATGGGGATCTCAATCTGTGCGCCTCGTTCTGCCTTGTTTCGCTAGTTCATCTCTGTGCTCCTCTGTAGAAGACCTTGAGATGCAATATATATTTGAGCCAACGATTGTCTGTGCGAGGGGCTTCAAATATTGAGAGCAGAGAATGGCACTGTGTCAGCCAAGATGATCTCGATGGCTTCAAGATGCTTACATTGAGGCCATTCAGACAATTACCTTCTCACAGCTAAGTATTCGGACAAGACCTGTTGTTTTATTGTCATTAGAGGCTGAACTACTCAGCGAGATAAGTACAGCTCTCATTCCAGCTATATGGCGATGTGCCAACCGAGGCAAGTTACAATATTTATTCTTCCATTACCTACCCAAAGCCATTTCATGTCTTCCAGTGTCCGACTATTTCATCATAATGCCACTCCGTCAGCAAATCCATCGCTCTAGTCTTTATCACTTATACCTTCTCTTCTCCTCGTTTCCAGAGTAAGCGGCATCATCCCCATCATTCCTGGCGACAACACATCGCCGTGGGTCTTGGCCAGACGCAAGGAATTCCCGGGAACTTGCAACTGCCATCGAGACGGCGTTGTAACCCGCTTCTTCTACGTCAAGACTCTGCCGCCTTCCTCTCAGGCCCACCGACCACAAGCTTCATCACGCCATTCTTGACTTCCTGACGGACTTCTGCCTTGACCTGTTGGAACAGCTGCCGGGCGATCTTCCGTACGCCACCACTGCTGTCGTATGCATCTTCCCTCACCCACTCCAGCTGCTTTGTTTCCTTTTGATCAAAGTGAAGCTTTATGAGGCGAATCAAGCTCTGAAGCTTCTGTCGACTGGCAGCGTGACCTAGGTTCGGATCATCCGACAGCTTCATCATATCCTCCAGAACCCCCCCGGCCGGCGTTTCTGTCCACTCGACCTGCTGGATATTCAACGATGCTGATTCTTCGGTCCACCGTAGAATCGTTGGCTGGTCCCTCTTTTTGGACCATTCTCCGAGAGCCGCTCTTATTTCTGGAGCCAAAACCATAATCATCTGCTTGGTCACCGTCGCTGCAAGTCGCTGGTGTACTTCATCGTTGCGCCATCCGCCAGAAGGAAGCCTTTCTAGCAAGGGGTGTACCACAGCTTCTGCCTGCTTCCTGGTCATTGTCTTGACCACTGGCGGCGTGGTAGGCTTGAAAACCAAGCCCTCGACGTGGTGAGCCTCTACCAGGAGCATCGTGGGGCTTAATCTCTCGTCTTTCTGATTGGGCATGGTTGCTGAATCCATCAGTTCGGATGCACGAGATGATGTTGGCTGCTAACGTGTAGAATAGCTGGTAGTATCCAACAGGTGGACAAGGCCAGAATGAGATGAAAGAAGCCGTTCAAAGAAACTGAGGGAATGACGATGAGAAAAGGGCAAAGAGAGGAAACAGAAAGAAGAGAAGAACAGAAAGTTGGAGCCTGTGAAAGATGGAAGTCAGCGGAACAAAGGAGGTAGAAAGGCCTGATATAGCGGCGTTGCAATGACGGGCATTCACGAAAAAATACTCGAGGCACTGGCTCATCCTTGACCTTGGCATGGTGTTTGTCTTTTGAGGCGTACTGTTGGACGTGTCAAACGGGCATAGGGATTGATTGGCCAAGAGATCTTCTTTCTTGATTTCATTTCATTCTGTCTTCACTATCCAGACAACGAACCGAGCTTCGCGTGTGTTGGACTGGACAGGTGTCGAGTGCCCATACCAGGGGCGCAGTTGAATCTTTTCCACTACAGGATGAAGGTGAAGCTCGTCTTATCGACATCACGAGACTCGGCAGGGCGATTACCAGATGCACCTTCCCACGATCTGCCCATATGGACTGCCAACTCCAAGGCCCGGAATATCCCAGTCTCCATCCTTCTTCTTCCCCTTCTTCATCTTTTCCCTCCTCCTTTTTCTTCTTCTGCTTCACCATCTCATCCGTACATACCCAGTCCCCTACAAATCAAGCATCCTACACACCAAAGAAATCCACCTACAACAGCAAATCTTCCAAGTCTTCAATCGTCAATCTTCAATCTCGCGATCAACAATGACGACCCGCGAAGTTGCCGCTCTCATCTCCCAATCGCATCCTGTTCCATCTTGCCCGGGCCCAGTCACAAGCGCGACAGAAGGTATATTCGCCTGTGTCAGTCACTTGTCTCTGCGTCTATGGAGAGAAAATGCATGCTCATGATCACTCTAGAGCCGCCGCAGAGCCTACTCGCGAAGCAACGCAATCTCACGCCGACGAGCACCGATCCGACGAACGAGCAGAACGCGGCGCCCGTGGAAGATGCAGACAAGGAGCTCCTTGTGGTGAGGAGAGGATACTTCTCGTCTTTCAGGAGAAACATGGCTGACCCTGTCGTAGGAAAGAGTTAACAACACGGGTGCTCAGACACCATCATCGCTCGCCGCACAGATTGAACGGGAACAACAACAAAAGTCTTCCACCTAAGATCACCATGACTCAGCACGATTAATGGACACCATGAACGAGGCAATGCGATAGCTCAAGATAGTCACCGTCCACATAATTTAAACGCCAGAGTTGATCCCTATCGTTGCTATCCTACAGTCAAATACCATGCTTCCATCTACATAAGAATTCCTAGAATCTGCGCTCGCATTTGAAGAAGACGGTATCAACCATGCGTTTGGCCGATAGAGCATTTTGGTTATAACGAGGCAGTGGCTTGGTCGTCGGGTTGCCGTTCTTGTCTACCACTTTGAAGTCGAACATGGCAAAGAAGATGGCCGTCGAAACAAAGAGTTCAAGTTTCGCAATCCTCATGCCCACTATTATCGTCCGTGGTCAGCTTGTGTTACTTCCTTTGCGAGACTGAGGGAAAGAAAGAATTGCTTACAACATGGGTGCAGTCCGGTTCCCCAGCCGATATATCCATGCTGTTTCTTCTTGTCTTCTGCTCTATCTGGAAGATATCGCGCCGGATCCCATTTCAGGGGATCTCGGTAGACGGCCTCGTCCATGTGTATGTCCGCCACACTGTAGACCTACGCAACGCCGTCAGTACTAATCTCAGTCTCGCCAACTCTACTCATGAACTCACCGCAAAAGCATCTTTCGGAACGACAACGCCAGTATCGCCAATCTCTATGTCCTTCCCCGACGTATTCTGGCGAATCGAGGCTCCCATGAGGTTCAATCGGATGCTATCCCGGACACCCAAATCAATGCAGGGGAACTCGGACTCCCAAGCCTCGAGAGAAAGACCTCGGAGGACATCTACTGGTGTCTGCTCTTCCGATGTCCGGTATTTGGCAACAACGGAGTCGACTTCCTCTCTGACCTTTGCGTACCAGATGGGATCGTAGGCGAGATAGCAGAGGATCCAGGCTGCTTGGACTGCAGTGTTGATCAAGCCCGCGAATAACGCGCCGATGATGAACTGTCAACCCATTACTTATCAGCGTAAGTGCACCACCAAAAATAAGCGTTTGCAGAGGTTCACAAGGACGTACAGCCGAAGTCAACAAGTCGCTCTCCCCCTTGTCCATGAGAATCTGCATCGTATCCTGCGCTTTCCTCCCCGTCCTCCTCCTATCCTTGATAATGTCCGCAAACAACATGTGCAGCTTCGCGCCCGCCCAGAGCTTGTACAACCTCGTCGGCGTCGGCAGCCAGGGGAACATGACCTGCAGGGCGGACGTCTTGTCCAGCTTCTCATAGTACCGGATCGTCTGCTCCTGGAGGGCGGGATCCTCTGCGACTTCGGTGCAGCCGACGGTGCGGTGGGTCATCTTGTAGAGGACGTTCCAGAGGACGACGAAGGGGTCCATGGGGGCGACGGAGGTGTCGATTGCGGAGTAGGCGGCCTCGGCGTCGTTGATGAGGCGGGGGAGGCAGCTGGCGAGGTGCTCCTTTGAGGTGAGGCGCTTGAAGAGGACGATGAAGTAGGCGCCGAGGTTGCGGCCGAGCATGTGGTCGATGTCGGGGCCGGCAGAGAAGAGCTTCCTGAATCTGTGGTCACCACGGTTAGCTTTTTGTTCTGAGCAAATCGAACTGCACAAATTACCCAGCATTCAGATCCAAGCCACGAGTGGTGAAGTAGGAAGCACGAGCGGCCTCTCCAGAGAGAGCAACGATGGGGTACGAGCCATAGTAAAAGTTAAAGTGGCCGTTGGGGCTCTTCTTGGAGCCCTCTCGTAGGAAGTCGGCTCTTTTGAGGAAGAAGTCGAACGAGCCGAAGAGCGGCAGGCCCTTTTCTGTCCAAGACGCGCCCGATGGGAGATTAGGCCGTCTCAACAGACGCATAAGGAGGACGATGACGGCGGCGGCTACCAGTATCAGAGCACTGGCGGGCCATTGCTGCGGCGAAGCAAGTGTAACCATTTTGAAGGACGCCATCCTTGAACGTTGCAGCGAAGGCGAAGCGAAGGATACCTAAGAAGCAGAAGAATGTATGTACATATCCCTTCAGCGTTCCCTCCCTCTCAAGGGAGACGGGAACAAGCCGTGATTTTATATGCCATTTCTCGCAACTCACGAATTATACTTTTTGGCTCCCCCGCAACACAATCCGAGTGCGTATCGCATCGCCCATGTATACGGTGATGACGCGGGTTGTTGTGTGATGATGATCCGGGCTAATGGCTGTTAAAAGACTCTGACATGTCAGACTATAGCTTCTTGCATCTAACTCTGAACGGAGAGACGGGACATTTGTTTGAACACGAACTTGGAGCGGCTCAGCTGTAGTTGTCTTGAATCATTGGGTGGCTATTTGTGTGGCTTGTGAGTCGTCGTGTTCGTTACACGTATTGCTGAGTTGCTGTATGCCGTGTCCCACCCGCTGGTGATGCTAATCTTTGAAAGGAGGAGGGGAGGGATATCGTGCAGATCCGCTTGGCTCGATTGCTCCGGGGAAAAGCAGTGCTGTGGAGGATTCAAGGGGCAATGAGTCAGCCCTTATTCTTCGTATATCAGTGGACATGGAATCCGTGTTCGTGGAGGAAGAGGGGCGAGTACGTGCATCGTGATGCAAGATATGGGCTGGCAGCTCCATCGACGAGACAACGATCTGGTATATTTCGATACACTGTGCGAGCGAGACTTTGGCAGTCAGTATCACAGCTTGAATCTCCTCGTAAACGCCTCATGGCGTAGCATAAAGATACTCGAGCCGAGAACGAAGCCATCACTAACACCATTCCATCCAGCGTCAACGCTCCCCGGAATCAACCACGACAAATCTCTCACGATCTACGACGATCTCCAACGATCATCTCCCCCGCCCTCTCCGCAACCGCGTACAGCGTCGCCGTAAGATGTCCGCTGACCTGCATCGGTAACACAGAGGCATCCACCACCCTCACGTTCCCCGCGCCATACACCCTCATCTGCGCGTCCACCACGCCACCCCATTCGCGCTTCATCATAGCCGCCGTCCCTAGCGAGTGAGAGTTCGAAATCAAGCTGCTCCTCGTGAAGCTCTCCCACTGAGCGTCTGTAGCGTTGTCTGGCGGGAGGATCGTGGAGTTGGGCTGGATTCTTGCCTCGATGATGGCGGATATGGGGGCCGTGGTCCAGAACTTTGTTGCGAGGCGGCCGATGGCGATTTGTACGGCTAGGTCAAAGTCGACGGATAGGAATCTCGGGTTGATTGCTGGCGTGTTGATGGCGTCGGCTGAGCTGAGGTGTACGCTCCCGCGGCTAAAAGGGAGAGTGCCCCAGTATGCTGATATGGCTGAGGTGCCGCTCGCGCTGGAAAGGATTTCTGCGATGGTTACCCCCTTTTTGAAGATGAGGTCGTGTTGGACCTGGAGTCGGTGCTCGATGGCCTCTGCGCTTATGGCTCCATTCGTTTCGTTGGCAATATGCTGTGCCCATATGGGCAGATTCTTCCTGGTTGAAGCAGCCACAGACTCGACACTATCGCCGAAGAGAGATGTGGCATTGACAAAGGTGGCATACGGTGCGTAGCCGGGGAACGAGTCCTTGGTCGAGTATGTCAGTGCCACGTTGGACTGATCGATCAGGTTCTCTCCCACCCCTGGGGAGTTGACAACCGTCTCGATGCCCAAACTGTTCAAGATGCTCGGGCTGCCAACGCCAGAGAGTTCCAGGATCAGCGGCGTACGCAGTGCCCCTGCGGATAAGATGACCTCTTTCCTGGCATTCACCGTCTTGATGCTCCCATCTGGGGCCAGGTATTCCACCCCCGAGGCTTCAGGCGCATTGGCCCCGTCTTTCTTCCACAGAATCTTGGAAACCGTGCCGTTGAGAAGCTTCAGGTTCAGTCTGTCTTTTATAGGCCAATAAAACGCCGTAGCAGAATCCCATCGCACGTTCTTGATCGGATCCAACGTCTGAGGCCAGACGTCGAATCCAGCCGTATCTCCGCTGCTCGCGTCTCGATTCAGATCCTGTCCCACAGCCGCCCAGGATGCTTTTACGTCGCCGTAGAAAGAGCCGTTGAGCAGGTCCGGATTGAAACCGACGTGAAGCCCACCGGAGAAGCCGTGATAGTCTTCCTCGTAATGGGCACCGGCGGTCTCTTGCCACGGCAGAGGGGGGAAGAAGTGCTCGACTTTCTTGAAGGCCTTGAGCATGGTTGTCCAGTTCCAGCCTGGGTTTCCGAGTTGCTCCCAGGCGTCGAATTGAGCCTTGTCGCCTCGGATGTATGTCATGCCTGGCAAGTCGACTCATTTATTAATCGCCTCTTGAAGCAGAAAAGCTCACATACCGTTTATCAGGCTGGTTCCCCCTATACCTTTACCACCATCGTACTCGAGCACCCTTCCCCCAAGGCTTTCCTGTGGTACACTCGAGTAGTTCCAGTACACCGACGTCCCGGTCAATCCCAGCCATCCGAGCGGATTCGTGACATTTGCGTTGTCTCGCTCATCGGCGCCGGGATCGATGACGGCAACGGTAAAGCTGGCATCTTGAGATAGGCGATTGGCCAAGAGCAGACCACATGTCCCGGCGCCAACAATGATGTAGTCGTAGGAACTGGTTGACGTGGCCAGCGCCTGAAGAGGCCAAGCAGCCGTCACCAGCACGAGGGCGCCAAAGCGAGATTTGAAAAGTGCCATGACGGCTCACCGTAGGAACCAGGCACAAGCCATGATTGATGTTCTGAGAGTCCGTCCAACTCTTATATGCCGAAATCCAGGCACATCATTTATATGTGATTGCTCTATTCCTTGTTTTTAAGAGGGAGCATGCCTCCGTTACTGGGACGGACGCTCTTCGACCCGTCCCGGCTAGGGTTTGCCATGGTTTCGGTCCGATGGTGACGCATTCTTCAATAAGTCCCGTCGGCAGTACAGCGGAAGGATCTGGGAGCGAAACGCGCGTGATCAGGAGCTGCGCATCAGTCAGTTCTTGAAGTGAACTATTCCCTGAGCATTATCGCCTCACCGTTCCTTTGACGGATCAAGCTGCAGAAACGGGACTATTGAATATCATGCCAAACGGCGCTTCAGCGCCTGTCGAGAATCCGAGGCCGCGGATTTCGATCCTACAAAAGAGGCATGATCCTTGTTCATGACAAAACTTTCTCCGCACGTCTGGGGGCTGAGGCGAGAAACTCGGGTTTTCTATGCCTGCCTTGACGGCTAAAATCTGTAAGGCATATGCTCCAGCCAGAGCTCCATTGAGTAGGAAGATGTACCTATGTAATCGCATAGGTAGAAAGGGGGCTAAGGAAATATGTTCCGACGCTTCACAACTCTCGTATCTGGGGAAGCGCCTCGACACTACATGTAGAGAGCTAGTAGGGGATCCAGAAGCGGCGGCGATACGTTTATGCCTAGCCTCGACTGTAATGAAACCTACCTTGCGCAAAATCAGTCAAATAAATGACAGGATTCTTGGATTTAGAAGATCTCGAGAGGTCGTTGTTCATGAACAGAACGAGACGCGATGATGTCGAATCGGGATGACCGATCTGGGGAAAAGCTATGTGGACAAAGAACCACAACATATTTGTGACAACTTGTCATCCGCGTGTCTATAGATAGAGATAGTCATGATACGATAACATGAATATATTTTTTGATCAATGTACTTGAGGCTCTATAAGCCATCCAGGACATGCTTAATGTAGCTGGGTAAGGTCTGGCACAATGCATGTGATGATGTGTTACCGTAGATCTTAGTCATCCCAAGTCATTGACCTCATCACTCAAGTCTCACCTCAACCTTCAACCTTCAATAAAGACTGGCCTGTACCAGCGAACCTAGGTATGCTATTGATTCGCAGAAATCGAATTTCTACTTCATTCCGCCATATCATCAGGTCCAACTCCAAGTCGATACCGTCAATCATGAAAGCAGACACCGTGACAACACCTCCTCCAAGACGCAGCCTGCGAATCAAGAGAGAGGCTATCGACATCAACACCAGCACCAAAGCCACGTCCACAACCCCCCCTCTCAAAGCCGAACCCAAACCACACAGACCAATATCCAGCATCCCCCCACAAGCCCTCAAACAAGACAAAGCCGCCCTCCTCCAAGCCCGCAAGCTCAAATCCTTCACCACCCACTCCCACTCCTCCCCGTTCCCAACCTTCCCCCATCCAACCCCCCAAGAGTGCTCCCTCGCCCACCGCATCCTCTCCTCCCTCCACGGCGAGCGAAAGCGCCCCGAGGCCGTCGTAGCGCCCACGTCCGTCGCTGGCTGCGGAAACTCGCCCTCCGTGCTGGACGCCCTCGTCCGCACGATCCTCTCGCAAAACACCAGCGACAGGAACAGCTCGCGCGCGAAACGGGCCATGGACGAGACGTACGGCGGTAGCGACAACTGGGCTTCCATCGTCCAGGGCGGTACGGAGAAGCTTCGGCGGACGATTCACTCGGGAGGCCTGAGCGTCGTCAAGAGCAGAGTCATCATGGACATTTTACACCAGACGATGGCCCGGTACGGCAAGTATTCGCTAGATCACCTGCTCGACGCCTCCGACGACGAGGCCATGCGCGAGCTCCTCTCTTTCCAGGGCGTCGGCCCCAAGACGGCGAGCTGCGTCCTCTTGTTCTGCCTGCGACGGGATAGCTTCGCGGTGGACACGCATGTATACAGAATCTCGTCCCTATTAGGCTGGATCCCTCCTTCTGCTACGAGGGAGCAGGCGCAGGCGCATCTGGAAGCGAGGGTGCCAGACGAGGACAAGTACGGGCTTCACATTCTCATGGTCACGCACGGGAAGACTTGTGCTGAGTGTAAGGCCAGAGGGAAGAATGCTGGGAAATGTGCTTTGCGGAGGGCGTTTCAAAGGAGAAAGGCGATTGGTGCCGAGGTGGTCATGAACGAGCTGAAGGAGGAGGAAGAATCGTAGAATATGTTGTCATTCATGTCATCAGCAATTCGCTCGTCTATATGTACTGTCAAGGTAAGCCGCGTCACTGCAGCACGATATACCTCTCCAACTCAGTATCCAGCCTCCATCCACGCTCCTCCATCCGGGTATCGTATGAAAAGAAAAACTCCAACCGGCCCCCAGCAGTCGAAGACGCGTCCACTCTCACGCCTCCCAATCCATCGGCTCAACCATCCATTCCCACCCATCGCCATCGTCAACGCCGCCCCCGTTCGCCGCCTGCTCATCCCCCTCCAGCCGCAGCTGCTCGATCCTCCCCGCCGCGATCCCGTACGACACCTCCAACCCGCCCAGGATCTGCCCCACGATCCACGTCAGGTCGTACATCTTGAGCGGCGGCGTCTCCCTGCCCTCGGCCGCGTCCTTCCACCGGTTGCGCAGCTCCTTGGCCTTCCACAGCGCGTGGTTGACGTCCCCGCCGCCCAGCGCGCCGTGCAGCGGGTTGTCCTCGTCGTCCAGCGCCTTGAGCACGTTGTGGTGGTAAGTGTGCGCCGCTTGGCTCCGCGGGCCGCCGGTGCCGCGAGGGACGGTGATGCCGAAGACGAGCAGGGCGAAGACGATGGCCTGCTCGATGCGAACGTAGAACTCGTGGAAGTCTACTTTGAAGTTGACTTCGGCGTCGTGCGGGGTGAAGCCGTAGTCTTGTGGGGACAGGGCGCGCTGGTAGGAGGTTTGGAGGTCGATGTATTTCCATCGCAGGCGCTGGCATGCCTGTTCGAATCTGTGGAAGGCCTGGATGGGCGATAGCGATGATGACGTGCCGTTGGACGAGGGCAAGACAGCCGAACTTGAGGCTGGTTGCGGTTGTGTCGGCAAGGCTGAGGCGGGTAATGAGGTTGGCGGTACGGATCGGGATCGCGAATCAAAGCGTTCGTAGGGCCGCCTTCGAGCAGACGCCCACATGGACGTTTCCAGGCCACTCGTTCCCATGGTGGGCGTCGTCGCAGCTGCGGATCGCGTGCGCAAAGGTCAGACAGGCATGCGCACTCTGCGCCCGGCGGTCGAGAGAGGGTGCACGTGACGTCTGATCGTTTGAATACAGAGAAATGATAGAATAGACAACGAGTGAATGCTTCTAACGGACTGCATGCGCCATTGGAGGTGCTTGGGGATTGCAGGTTGGCGCCGAAGGACGCGGAAACTGGAGGAGTATGTTGGGATTTCGGTGTTGTGCAAGACACTCTTAGCTTTGGTGGGGTTTGACGTGACCACTTGCATTTGACTTTAGCAGTGCGTCTTTCCGTGTAATCGGCCAGTGACTGACGGATGCTTCATCATGCCTTGTTCTGGCTCACCTGAACGCTTGGGAACGACCTACATGATGGAAGAAATCTTCTTCATGCTATGCGAGTAGATGGAATCACCTGGGATATCGCTTGAAGAGAGAACTGCCTTGGGATTTGATGGGCATTATGAGTAATACTTGCACATCTGATGAGTAGGAAGTTTACGGCATCGAAGCAGCAGTTGGCCTCTCATCAAACATGTTGCCGAGGACATAACAATGATCTTAATACCATTTCCTTGTAGTCTTCTAATCTCTTGGATCCAATGCTGAAATAAACATTGATTTAGCTATACTGTTCTCAAATTTGTGGTTTCTCATCGTAGTCTAGGGTAAGCAGATATTCCAACCGAAGCTCGATTTGTTCCGATCACTACTTCCTACTCGTACTGTCGTACAGTCATCCTCATACAATGCACGCCAACTGGAGACTCGAACATCATCTCTCCATCCGTCAAACGGGCCATCCCGTCGGTACCACCGAGTACACAAACCCTCAAGCGCCGCACATCACCCCCAAAAGTCCCCTCCAAGTCGCAAAACTTCGCCTCCGGCCAAGCCAGCTGATCGGCGCAGTGGGACCCCGATCCGGTCAGCCGGCCCCGAAGCAACAAGTCACGATGGATTCCGGTGGCTGCAGATGACTTCAGGCCGGCGTTCGCTAAGGCAGACGGTTGACTTGGCTGCATGTGGTGAGTGCGGAGAGCCGGCTGACCGTGTCTTCTATTGGTGTTTTGCGAGGGGATAAATGGGAAGCTCTGCCCATTGTTTGGCGGTCACCTCTATCCTTCTCCAACATCTACGTGTTACCTCGTAGTCACTGTTTGGTCGCCATTGACACAACACTCGCTCCGCGCAACAACGGCACAATCCAACATCACAGTTCAATCTTCAGATCCAGATTTCCAGCCGTGACAGCCGGCAGATCACGGCAATGGCGGAACTCGTCTACCACAACGGACATTACCACCACGTCTCCAGCCGCGATCGGCATCGTCCTCGGCGCAACGACGACTGGAGCCTCATGAAGTTTTGGGATGAGGTGCTCTACGAAATCGGCGATCTCTACTACAAAGTGCGCAGGCGATAATGACTTGTCTCGGGGGTCACCTTTGTGGCGCTGCATCTTATGCCCTCGCATTTTATGCCCTCTTGCTGTGGCTTCGAGATACGAGCAGAGGGCTAGTATTACCGTATTGCTACTGAGCAGTGTTACAGTCATTTCACTGAACACGAGCACCCATCCACATCACGTCTTCACTTGTTAAGCGAAAAGAGGAAAAAGCAAAGAACAAGGCGGAATAAGGCCGGGAGAAACAGCCAGGCCCCGGATAGTCGGCTCCTAGACGACCTGACTGTGCCGGCTCTCCGAGAAGGAAAAGGGAGAAAGTGGTTCATGAATCGCAAATCACTCGAAATAAGCCGGTTGATGGGCGCTCTCAATCCGAGTCCAAAAAGGGCCGCCACGGCACCGAGGACCCGAGGCAGGGAACGGAGAGGGTTGGGGATCGCCGGCTTACTGCATTCGTCGCATAATAGGAACAGGTAGGTCGATGGCAAAACGAATGGCGAGGGGGGATATTTCCCGACGAGGGATGACTTGCCCTGCTGCTCTCAGAATGTCAAACGAGGAGTGGACCGGTTGTTGTTCCTGGCTAGTGCTTTTCGAGGCGAAACAAGTCTGGGAGAGGAGACTGGAGGGCTCTTCGGCTGCGAGTGAAGTGGGTATTAGAGGAGGAGGAGGGCATCTGCGCTGGAATGGAGCGTCGATACTTGGTGGACGGGCCAACAATGGGAACCAGCAAACATGTGCCGGCAAGGCTGGCCAAGACAAGGCGAGCACGGGCTGTCGCATGTGAGGCGTTGGCTGGAAGCGATGCGATGCTGGAGCTTGAGAGGAAGAGAAGGATCAGATTCCGGGCCCCTGACGCGTCATATACAGGGAGGCTCTGCCGGAATACCAAGCAGGTTCGCAGAAACGCCAAGTATTCGTAGAAGCTCGTAAAGAATTCAATGAGCAAGTTGCAGTCCATCGCATGAGGTACTACTACTAGTCAATACCGTGTTCGCATGGAGACGAAGAGACGCCAACATTGGTCCGCCTTCTGCAGGCCAAGGGCTTCATTTCCATGCCCATTGATGCAAGGACCGCCGACAATGAAGATCCCTCTGCGGACAGAGTGACCAGTACGAAATGTCACTTGATTGCTTTATTTCGCCTAGGCGGGACCTGTAACGTGCCTCGCATCTTTTGCCTGCAAGTCAGGGGAAATTGGGGCCTGTGGAGAAGCAGAATGGGATGGACCCTTGCCCTCATCTTGTGTGTGTGTGCAAGTTGAGGCGCCGAGGTGGCATTTGATGGACTGGCTGTGCCCCTATTCCGTACCTGGTTTGCAGGCACAGGCACCGGTCCACACCTGCGCACACCTGAGCGCACAGTGCGTGGAACGCTTCCAGAAGGCTCATGCTTGGGTTATATAGTAGCGATAGCAGACGGTGACTGCGCATGAATCTGCTAACGAGAGACCATCGCGAGGCAGTGTCAATATTCGATCCGACCTGCACATGCACACCGTAAAGTCCCCTAGCGCAGCCAGACCGGCGCCAGGGGGTCGGCGGCCCCAGGTCCCCTGTAACGGGCCCCTGAACGGCGCCGCCATTGGCTGCGATGCTGCGCCTCCCAGTAGCGGCCAGTGGCTCGCGCAGCGCTTGGGCTGGAGCCAGTGCAGGGGCCCCCCTTGTCGCGAGACTTGGCCTGTCGCAGGCTTCAATTTCCCCGTCCCAGGGCTCGCGGCTCTCCTGGCGGGCGAACAAAACACTCGCCGTCCGCTCCAGGGCGCCGTCTGAAAGGAGCAGACCTCTTTTCGCATCTTTCCTTTTGCTTTTTGCAACTTAATTCATCAATCTTTCTTCTTGCTTTTTGAGGGCGCAGTTTGGCCTTTCAGTCACTCCTTAGACACAACCATCATCTTTTACATTCTATCGTTCCTTGACGCCTTTTGAATAACCTCGTCGCCCGACCGAGCAAGAGAACACGTCCAATCGCTACAGAAACAACTCAAAGAATCGTACATTTCACAGACTTCCTTCACCAGAACCGCCAAGATGAGCTTGTCCAAGCTCTCCGTCTCCCTGCTCGCCCTGGCAGGCAGCGCCATTGCTGCCGATCTGCCGTCCATCACGGCCAAGGTGAGCCACTTTTCGTCTCCAGATTTCTCCTCGTCTCAACGGGAGATCAGAGAGCTGTCAAAAACGATCGAACAGAGCGATCAACGAGCCAGATCAGCCCGCTAATCGATCATCTTTCTCCGACTTGTAGGGCTCCAAGTTCTTCTACCCCAACGGCACCCAGTTCTTCATCAAGGGTGTTGCGTACCAGCAGGATGTTGGCCAGGCCGGAACCACCGACTCCAGCAGCAACTCGACCTTCATCGACCCTCTGTCCAACGAGGCCAACTGCAAGCGTGACGTCCCTCTGCTGAAGCAGCTGGGCACCAACGTGATCCGAACCTACGCCATCGACCCCACGGCCGATCACTCCGCCTGCATGCAGCTGCTCAACGATGCCGGCATTTACGTCTTCTCCGACCTGGGCGAGCCTTCTCTGTCCATCAACCGTGACTCCCCCGCCTGGAACACCGAGCTGTTCGACCGCTACAAGGCCGTTGTCGACGAGCTGTCGCAGTACCCCAACGTCATCGGCTACTTCGCCGGTAACGAGGTGAGCAACGCCAAGAACAACACTGGCGCCTCCGCCTACGTCAAGGCCGCTGTCCGCGACACCAAGGCCTACATCAAGTCCAAGAAGTACCGCTGGCAGGGCGTCGGCTATGCCGCCAACGACGACGTCGACATTCGTGCTGAGATTGCCGACTACTTCAACTGCGGTGACCAGGATGAGGCTATCGACTTCTGGGGCTACAACATCTACTCGTGGTGTGGCCAGAGCTCCATGCAAAAGTCCGGCTACGACGAGCAGACCACCTTCTTCTCCAACTACTCTGTCCCCGTCTTCTTCGCCGAGTACGGCTGCAACCTGCCCAGCGGCGCCGCCGCCCGTATCTTCCAGGAGACTGCTGCTCTGTACTCTGACGACATGACCAAGGTCTTCAGCGGTGGTATTGTCTACATGTACTTTGAGGAGGACAACGACTATGGTAGGTGAACCTTCTTTCATCATCGGAATCGGCAGAGGTCGCTAACATCTATTCTAGGTCTCGTCAAGCTCAACGGCGATTCCGTCTCTAAGCTCAAGGACTTCAGCGCTCTCCAGACTCAGGTTGCCAAGGCCGACCCCAAGGGTGTTGACGCCGATGACTACAAGCCCACCAACAAGCCCGCCAGCTGCCCTGCCCTGACCGACGACTGGCAGGCCATCAACAGCCTCCCCCCCACCCCTGATGCCAGCCTTTGCTCCTGCATGCAGAAGTCTCTGTCTTGCGTCCGCTCCGACGGCCTTGCCACCAAGGACTTTGGCGACATCTTCGGCTTCATCTGCGGCAAGTCTCCCGAGGTCTGCGCTGGCATCAACGGTGACGCTTCCACTGGTGTCTACGGCGCCTACAGCATGTGCGACGACGGTGCCAAGCTCGACTACGTCCTCGACGCCTACTACCAGTCCCAGAACAAGGCCTCCACCGCCTGCGACTTCAACGGTCAGGCCCAGGTCGTCAGCGCCAAGCCCGCCTCCAGCTGCTCTGCCGCCCTGGCCTCTGCCAGCGCCATCAACAAGCAGGCCGCCACTGCCACCTCCCCCGTCGGCGCCGGCTCCACCTCTGGCAGCAAGGGCGCTGCCACCAGCACCAACGCTGCTGTTGCCGGCCGCCCTGTTGCTCACCTGCTCAGCATGGGCGAGATCTCCGTCGCTCTGTACATGGGTGTCGCCATGCTGGTCGGTGCTACCATGATTGTCCTGTAAAAAGGGGGTGGTCCGAGGGCCTGTTTTTTTGAACACATTTCTGCTGGGTTTTTTTGTATGTAGATTGGAGGTTCTTTATAGGAAAGTGAAATAATTCATTGTTTTGTCTTTTTGATTATTCTCCTGTATTCTATTGGTATCGATTCTTTCTGGGGGCCGCGAGATCCTTTTTTTGATTTTTCGGATTGCTGAAGGCATCTCTGGTGTTGCGTGTCATGCGGCTTGCGCTATTAGAAAGGATTGTCTTGATGGCAGTTATTGACTTTTTACGATTCTTTATACTTCTACTCTCTTGAACAACTTTCTGAAACTGCTCCGTGACGTTTGGTGTGCTTGTGATAGGGACTTGATGTGCAGATGAAATGGCGGGCTGCTGTAATGGCAGGTTGCTTTTGCTTCATTGAAGTTGAAGTTGGGAGTTTTCGGAGGTTGAGGTTGGTGTGCAGAAGCATTATGGCATGGAGTTGGGAGTCACGAAGACATCAAAGAAGTCTTCGTGGCGCAGTTGGCTAGCGCGTCAGTCTCATATCTGATCGATATGATTCGGATTAAGTTCCGGGCTATCTGAAGGTCGTGAGTTCGAGCCTCACCGAGGACATTCTTTTTTTTGGCCTTTTGACTCGTTTCTAACTCAATTCATTTGCTGATATGAGTTTGAGTCGGTTGGGTGCTTGTTTTTTTTCTTTGCTTCTCTTTATGTGTTTTTGGATCGGTTGTATTGTGGCTTGGCTGGTTGATGGATGGAATGGGAGGGATTACCTGTGTGAGGTGAGCTCAGTCTCTGTGGATGGACTTTGGGCTTGGAGGTGGAGAGTGGCCGAGTTCAGTTACGGCTGTTTGGTAGAGCTGGGCGTTGTTGAGACCAAGTCTTATAATAAGAACCAGTGTGTGGACATCTTGAGGAAAACCACCCGGATCAAGCATGAGAGATGAGCTCTATAATGATTGATTAAAGTGAGACAAGTCTTATCATAAGAATCAACCCCCGCCTTGAAAAGCACATGCAGCCTTGGACTCATAAGTTTACGCCCCGCTCCGGCCTCAGCGTCATCTCTCGTCTTACATAGTCGGCGATACTCCCTTCCACTCTGAGATTTCTCGTCTAGAATTATCCTATCCCTTCCACTCTGAGGACTCTTACTATTTTCTGTATCATCAAAGCCCACCATGGCTGAACCCGCCAAAGCAATCCACGCAACACTCATCCACTCCCTCTCCCCCACGCACCTCGAGATCCTCCCCAATGCCCTCCTCACCATCTCCTCCTCCGGCACGATCCTCTCTCTCCAGCCCAACGTCCCCCTTTCAGACGTCCCCAACATCCTCGCCCAGCAAAACATCCAACACATCCCCCTCGCAGGCCTCTCCCACGGCCAATTCCTCATCCCGGGCTTCATCGACACGCACAACCACGCGCCGCAATGGATGCAGCGCGGCCTCGGCCAGGGAATGCACATCCTCGACTGGCTCGACGGCATCACCTTCCCCAACGAGGCAAAGTTCGCGGACCCGGCTCACGCGGAAACGGTGTACGAGAAGCTCGTCAGGGGCATGCTCCGCCAGGGCGTCACGACGGCGTCGTACTACGGCTCTCTCCACGGGGAGGCGACCCGCGTGCTGGCGTCGACGTGCTTGAGGGCCGGGCAGAGGGCGCTGATAGGCAAGTGCAACATGGACCGGAATTCGCCATCGTTTTACTGCGAGGCGTCTGCTGAGGAGTCGGTTGCCGCGACGAGGGAGTGTATCCGGCACATCAAGAGCATTGATCCAGCGGGCGATTGTATAAGACCCGTGTTGACGCCTCGGTTTGCGATATCCTGCACTGGGGAGCTGCTCAAGTCGTTGGGGGACATGGCGCGCGAAGACGATTCGTTGGCTATACAGACGCACTTCAACGAGGCTGCGCAGGAAATCAACGCGACGCTATCTCTCTTTCCCGACTTTTCCAACGAGGCGGATCTGTATTCCTCCTTTGGGCTCCTCACGCGAAGGAGCATCCTGGCGCATTGTACAATCATGACGGAGTATGAGGTGCAGAAGCTGCGCGAGCTGGGATGCGGCATTGCGCATTGTCCGACGGCGAACATGACTGTTGGGGGGGGCTTCATGGCTGCGCCCGTGAAGGAGTTTCTGCGGAGGGGGATGAGTGTGGGCTTGGGGACGGATTCTGGGGGCGGGTATAGCTCGAGCATGGTGAATGCCATGAGGCATGCTCTTGTTACTTCCTATGCCCGAGACGCGCTGTATCCAAAGTTCGAAGGGGCCTCCTCCACCGATCGGGATGGTGGTAGCAGCAGCAAGAAGGCGGGGGAGGCGCTGAGTTTGGAGGAGGTGTTTTACATGGCGACGAGGGGCGGCGCGAAGGTCGTTGGTTTCGAGGAGCGAGTGGGCCGGTTTGGGGTGGGCTTGGAGTTTGACGCTTTGGTGGTTGATTTGAGGGACGAGCGTGGTGGTGTTAATGTTCCGCTGGATGGGGGGGATGCGCCGGAGAGGATGTTGGAGAAGTTTGTCATGACGGGGGATGACAGGAATATTGCGAGGGTGTATGTGAAGGGGAGGGTTGTCCATGGGGAGGAGTAGGGAGTTTGTTGTGTCTGATGGTCATGTCGTGTGTGTGTCTGATTTTGGGGGGCAGGGCGTAGAAGCGCGTTTGATGATAGTAGAGGATGGGGGGTTTAACGAGGCTACGACAAAGACAGGCCTTTACTTTGAAGGACATTGGTGTTGATGGTTCACGTAGCTACGCATTGCATGAGCAAAGTATTCATCGAGATGTAGAATGTATTATTGTCAGATTCAACGCAGATGAACCCAGATGATTCCTTCAACAGTTCTCGTATACCAGCACCCTTTTCCTTTCTATTCCAGACGTCCCAACCCAAACTCATCGAAGCTCCTCAGGAGGCTCACTTCATGCCAAATACCGGAGCTTGGTGATGCCCTTGAGCTGTAGATTTTGGGTCAACCGCTGTTGTTGGGCGATGATGGACAGCGAATTCGTGAGAGAAGGGGAGCGGCAGCCGATGAGAAGAGAAAACGCAGATGAGAGAAGAGGAAGCGCAGGGGGTTAAGAAAACGAAGCCGATGGGGTCTGGGCGATGGATGTGCCTGGGCCACCAGATGTGTCCCTCTCCACCTGAGTATCAATCAGTAAAGTTGTACCTTGATCAGAGACAGCTTGCAGGACTTACCACAGTCGTCCACCAATCATGCCCACGATCGAGCCCTCTGCCAGTCTCGTACCAGCAGAGGACCCGAATCCTCCAACGCCCAACGGCACGGAACTGCAGAGGAGCGAGTTGGAACTCGGCGTCGAGGGGCAAAGGTCCGAAACCCCCAACCCACTGCCGCTCGTGACAGCCAAGAAATCCGAGGATCGAGATGTCGGACGGTGGTCTGCCAGTCTGGTACCAGCAGGAAGACCGACGCAACGGTTGCGCCCAGCGTGAGCCATGCTGTTGCTGAGAAGCTTGAAAGTCGAAGGCGTTGTTCAAGAGCCGACCCTGGTGTCTGCCAGTCTGAGTACCAGCACGACAACCAGGCCGCTTGAACTGGTAATCGAAATGCGCGTCGAGTTTTCGCAGGCAGGCAGATGCGTCACAAACAGGCTGGGTGCCGTGCCAGTCTTGTACCAGCACGACAACTCCTTCGCCTCTTTGGCCACGATGCCTCGGGCCCGCCTCCTCAATCACCACCATGTGCTGCAGTAGCAGCCGCCCATCCGTCCCCGCGGCTCCGCTTCCCAGCACCGTCTCGGCAGACATACGAAGCTGCAACGCCGTGATGGCAGCCTCGTACATTATGACAACATCCACGTCCCGGGCTATGGTGTGGAGGTCGTGCCAGTCTAGTACCAGCACGACTACCACGGCCCCGCGTCATCATCGTCCGCTTGAGAACCGAAGAGTATCTGTGGCAGCTGACTGTCGGCCAGTCTAGTACCAGCCGACAGACCAGTCCCACGGGCCAGAGCTTGTACGTTTCAAATGGGATGAGAAGCGGCCCTGCCAGTCTCGCACCAGCAGGGATATCCCCTTTGGAGGTCGTCCTGGGTTTCGTCAGCATTGTTCAGCGTGAAAGAGTTTCAGTCCCTGGAAACTCACCGTGCACAAAGAGAGACATGGTGGCCTGAGTTCCGCGGCCTGCCAGTCTAGTACCAGCAGGGAAGCCAGCCAAATGGCAGGGAATGGTGGGCGGTCACGTTGAACTTGACCTTTTGCCAGTCTGGTACCAGCACAAAGGCCAAGCTCACTCGTGGTCATGAGCCGTCATCACTCTAAAGGGTTCGCCATTGAGGGAGTCGCCTAAGCAAGTGGGACAGATGAGTGTCGGTGGTAGCGCTGGGTGATGGAACAGAGCCAAACTGGAAGCGAGGTCAGCGAGGGGGGGAGTGGATGAAGAAAGTCAGGTAGGGCTTACGAGTCAGTTTGACTTGCAATCGTTGTATGTGAAGCTTGTGACCATCGCCGACGATGTTGATATAATGGGGGCAGCGATGAAGGGTGCTCTTGTTCCAACAGCAGACAATAGAAGAGAGGAAGGATGATCTCTAGATGATGAAATATCTGGAGAGTTGATGCATGGATGGAAGATGGGTAGGAAGATGTCCATGGCCGTGATGGAAGAATGTTGATGAAGTTGGAGAGGAGAAGGGAGAAGGAGTGGGAGAGGAAATGCCCAAAAGTGAGAAGAGGCAGGCAGAAGGTGGGAAACGCTGGGGCTCAAGCCCTGGCGGGTGACTCTGAGGAGATGGGAAGCAACACCATTGGCCCGGGGACTTTTTGCTACTGATGAGCAGCGGAGTGTAAAGCGTTTGTGCGTGACCGTAGGACTGGCCTTCGGGGACTTTGAGCCATCTGCAGCTGGCTTGCTGCTGATTGATAGGCGGGCTGTTGGTTTAGGGGGGGGCCCAGGTTGCTGGTCTGTTGCTATGGCTGCCTATGGGGGAATCTGTGGATGTGGGGATGTAAATAGATGAGTGAATGCTGTGGTTATATAGACTTGACAGCTTCAATAGCTTCTGGTTCGATTGCTGATTGTTTGTTCGTTCAGAGGCGGCTGGGTGAGGAAGTGTACGGAGTCGGAGCCCGGGGGCAAGAGAGCCCTGGTGCTGTAGACGAGTTTGGAGAAGAAGTAAAAGTTGAGACTCTCAATACAGCTCAAAGCTTTTCAAATGGCATGCTAGATGGTTTGATGATGGAAATTACGCCGAGATCAAGAATACTTCCACAAGACACACCCCGAGGTCAGGGGTTATCCCAAAGCAACGAGGTTCAACAAGCAGTAGCTAAGACTCAGACGTAATACGCTGCCCAAGATTGAAGCGAACAAAGGAAAATCTGAGATTAGAGATCATGATACCTAAGAACAGTTATTCTACAGAGAAGACCCCTCGACAGAGGGAGGGCCCTTGTTACATTTACTGCGCGCTCTCGGCCGTGTCCCATGCAAAGCAGCGCCCAAGGACTTTATATCGATGCTTAATCCGTCTACCTGTTCCACTCAGATCTCTTGATCTTCTTGGGAAACTGTATGTGTAAGCTTTCTTATGCAAGGGTACATCTTGAGCCACCCGGTCAAGTTGGTGCCTGGGGGCTTCGTCACCGTGCTCCCCATGAAGCCGCCAGCAGAAACTAGGTACCAGACTTGAATCATCACATCGCACCAATGCTGGGAAGTCCGCGAAATGGTTACAGAAATCAAAGTTTCATTTTTGAGCTGATCTTTAGAAAGAGCGAATTTACTGCCAGTTCCAGCCTGTCAGCATCTATCTAGATATGTGTCCCGAAATTCACCTCGAATCCCTCCAAATCCAACTCGAGATCCAGCTCGCGTAGCCTCAGACATCCACCTCAACACCCATTCGCGAATCAACCCCCGACTGCTTCCCGATATCCATCTCACGCAGTCTGAACAATCTTCGGGATCCAGAAAATGGCGGCGCTGAGAAAGCTCTCCACAGACTCAATCACCACCACAACCATGGTCGCGATGCAGTACGGAGCGTTCTCACTGTCGCCATTGGCACGGAACCGATCAAGCCACCTCCAGACAACAGCAAACAGAACGCCATTGATTAGAGAAGTGACAATTCGGAAAACAATCAGGTAGCGGGCCGCACGGCACAGGTGCCCAGCCTCCTTCGCGACGCCATACACCCGAGCCTTGCCCTGCACCCGACCGGCCTGCTCGACGTCCACCTCGCAGGCGGTGATCCAGGAGAAGTTGGGGAAGACGGCGGCGATGTGGAAGAAGGTGTAGGCGAGGAAGAAGATAGACATGACGACGGCCTGGGTCTTGGTGTTGGGCAGGGCGCGGAACTTGTCGTCAAAGGTGTGGAAGGCGCCTTTGAGGGACCAGACGGAGAAGAAGACGAAGCCGGCAGCGAAGAGGGCGTGCCAGAGCCAGGAGAAGAGGAGGAGGGAGTAGCCGAGGGCCTTTTGGCGGAGAAGAGGAGTGGTTGTGGCCATGGTGGATGTTTTGTGAGAGATGTGTTGAGGTTGTATTTGGCAAACGCAGCCGGAAAGCAGCAAAGTGATTGCTGTAGTAGTTGTAGATTGATGAAGAGTAAAGTGAGTGATGAGTTGAGTCAAGGGGGGAGGAGACAAACGGGCTGCAGGAGGGGATATTTATGCCTCGATGTGTCGTCGAGATGCAGGTACCCGACAGTTTGCGTGGATAGACACATTGGCGGAGGCTTTGTTCAATTCCCTCATGGTGTGAATCTTGTTCGAGTTCTTGGTGTTCGAGGGTGGTATAGTGGCGAGAGGAAGTCGTTGGTATGGCTTGGATATCGCAGGGTGGATCTGGAGCTGCGATGAAACAGCACACTGAACGGACGTTGAAAGGACCAGGAGAACAACGTCTGTATGACTTGTGCTTGTGGAGCATAGACTGCGGGTCGTTTGCCCTGCACTTGGAAACTGAATGAAGCTACGGGGATGGAGATTGGTATCTCATCTCGAATGAAGCATGTTGTCTGGTTGTAACGAGGCTACTACGTTATGCGGAGGTGGAACGAATCTACCCAAAGGCACCTATAATGGCCGAGGTTATTCTGTAAAAGCATGGCACCCTGATTAAACACGATTGTCTATGTGGACTACATGTTCGAGATGTTTAGACTTGTCGACTGAACAGAGCTGCCTCACTTACAAATAGGTCGAGACGAAAGCCGGTAGAGTCAACCGGCGAACCACCAGTGCACAAGACCAGTAGAGTTCTTTGAACTCTCTCTATGCATTGCAGTAGGCATGGGAGAAGTTCTGGCCATCAAGGTAGGCAGAGACAGGGTCTTGAAAGGAAAAACCCATCCATCGAAGCTTTGTTCATGCTTCCACAGCGACAAGAGCATGCATACCATACCACAGCCTGAAACGGCATCCACTGCCTGTACAAAGACGCATTCGTTTTGAATACCCACTCAGACAAAAGCAAGAGGTCCTCAGGCTTAGCGATTGAATCATCAAAGTAGATGCTTGTTCTTTTGTTGTTCAACTTGGATTCTGCGAGTGTTCTGGAAATTGCCGTGAACATCAAACAATGAACAAGAAGACCGTTGAATGCCGAGCTCAGCTTGAAGCTTTGGCCTCTGGATCAATGACGGACAAACAAGGCAATCAGCCTCTGATACCGCCAAAGGCTCGTTTCTGTCTCATTCTGATCTGGGTTGTAGACATGCGAGTCCTTGATGATGGTAAGGCGGATTAGATACTCGTCGCTCTCCAGTTTGCACTCCAAACGAGGCACCTGTGATGCTACATGTAGGCACGTGTCATGAAGTTGCACGTTATCCTGACTGATGCCCAAAGTCCTTGTCGAAATGCCCAACCTGCAGGGCCACTGCCTTGGGCTCCTTACTTGTACGAACTACTCATCAATCTCACTGATGACGATGGATGCAGGGAGGGAAGAGACAGAGAGAGACACACACAGAGAGAGCTGTAGTACAAAACTCTTCAGGGGGCATGCAGATGGCGATCCGGGGACGCCGCGGACTGTGGCGGTGCAGCGAGGAAGCCTGGCGGTTCGATGGCGGTGCACATTGACTCTGTGTGAGCGTGATGCCCATTTGATGTCAGCGTGCTCAGCCAAACCAACAGATCCTTGTCCCTCATCTCATCATTCATTCATTCATTCATTCATCCATCCTCCTCGTCTGCATGCCTTTGACTCAGGACACCGTCGAGGTCACCTTACATACTACTACTAGTACACCAATGCACTCTAGGTTAGCAGCCTAACAGCCCCAGGGCAACTGGCGCCCTCAACACCGATAGCTCGCAAACCACAACCCAACAGGAAAACCTCGCCTTGCCTCGTATCCACCACCAGCCACCTCATCAGCAGCATATCCACGATGGCCTGCATGCAGGCAGGGTCCCCCTCCCCCCAACCTGCTCTGCAAGGTTCCGCTTAGGCAAAAGCCATGGGGAGGCAGCAGACGGGGGGGACCCTCGTGCCACCAACCATTTGCCGCCAGGTGAACGAGCGAGTCGGCGCTTGCCAGGGGGGTTCGTCGCCGGCGGGTGAATCAGTGCTCACCACGCAGCCTTTTTCGCCTTTGCCTTTGCCGGGAGTTGTTGGCTTGCTGCGAACTTTTTGCTTTTCGCTTAAACGCGTTGATGCCCTGGGCGAGAAGAAAACGAACAGCAAAGAGTTTTGACGAGGGGTGTGGGAAACGTGTCTCGCGGATCGCCTGATTTGCATCATAGGGCAGCAGCTGCGCGGCAAACGGCAGCCGATATTACTTAAAAGGACGAGAACAAGACCAACGGACCTGGGACACTCTTCTCTTCGACAACAAAAGAGAGACAAGGGAAAACATACGCAGAGAAAACACCACGGCATCATCCCCCCTTTCACGATGCCCTCCTTCTCCGGCACCACGCCCGAGGCCTTGCTCGCCCGCAACGACTCGCTCAACCCCGAAGCAACATGCCGTGGCATCACCTCCAACGGCCGGCCCTGCCGCCGCCCCCTCAACAGCAGCCCATCCGGCGGCAACCTTTCGCAGAAGCAGCAGCAGTCCCGCAAGAACGCAAAGCTCGCGCCCTCCCCTGGCGGTGGTGACACCGACTCCGAGGACTCGTACTGCTGGCAGCACAAGGACCAGGCCGGCCGCTCCCGCAAGTCGAGCCCCGGCCCGCGTCCCTCGGCGCAGCAGCAGCACGCCGGCGGCGGCGGCATCGTCGAGGAGCGCTCGAGCCTCGACACGCTGGCGGACCGCCTGGGGCTGGTCGACATCAATGCCCGCCCCAACGGGCGGTACGACCCGGAGAAGCTCGGCGACCACCACCAGCAGCGGCCCGGCAAGCCCAAATCCAGCATGTTCTGCTTCTGCTTCAGCATCCCGGAAGAAGCAGACTTTGACGACGCACCGCGGCCTCACCAGCCCCGGCCGCAGCCGCATCCCGTCCAGCCGCAATACGCCAGCCGCCCGTCCACCTCCTCGGCCGCCCGCCCCCCGCAGCATCTGCACCCCCATTCGCAGGGCAACAATCACTCGCACTCCCGCCCGTCCAGCTCCTCGGCCCCGACGGCGTACCACCTCAAGTCCCTCATCCCCGACTCTCTCGACGCCGTCACCACGTCCGCCCTCATGACCGAGGTCTCCAAGCCGCCCTCGGACGCCGACGAGCCGGGCTACATCTACATGTTCTGGCTCACCCCCGAGTCCGCTTCCGAGCCGGCCCCCGTCGACGCCGCAAGGGACCTCCTCGCGCCTCCGCCCCGCGGCGCCGGCGGAGCGGCCAGCAGGCGGCCCAGCGACGTCGTCTCCGCCTTTGCGAACCAGGGCAAGAAGACCAACAGCCGGGACCCCAAGCCCAAGACGATGCTCCTCAAGATCGGCCGCGCGGCAAACGTCCAGCGCCGCATGAACCAATGGTCCCGCCAATGCGGCCACTCGATCCAGCTCCTCCGCTTCTACCCATACATCTCATCCTCCTCCAACCCCAACTCCTTCGACGCCACCACGTCCGCGCAGCATTCTGGTGGCAGAGGCGCAGCGGCGGGCCGATCCCCGTCTCCGGCGAGCGCCGCGTCGCCTCATCCCACGCCGCACGTGAAGAAGGTCGAGCGGCTGATCCACATTGAACTCACGGGCATGGGGCTGCGCGCGGAGCTGGGCGCGTGCGCGACCTGCGGGCGGGAGCACAAGGAGTGGTTCGAGGTGGAGGCTTCGAGGGACGGGGTGAGGACTGTGGATGATATCATTCGGAGGTGGGTTGGGTGGGACGATGGACATGGACGGTGAATGTGAAGACCATCATGACTTGGATGAAACTTGTTTGGAATGGTATTGATAGATGGCATTGTATGAGACGTTGAGTTGGGCTTGTTTGTGTTTTGATGGATGTTCTATATGGTTTAGATTGGCATGGCACGGCGTTTGCTTTTCATGAGTGAGACTACGGGGCTACAGAGTTCAGAGATACAGAGACTATGAGCATATTTGGACAGATAGTGCATAGCGGTTATACATAGAATGAGAATCTCTAGCATATGCCTTGCAATTGGCTGAGTGAGTACATGGATCTTTCGTGATGAGTTTACTTCCTTCTAGAGGCTTTGATGAGGAGATGCAAAATCGTCAAGTCCCAGCTTAGTCATATCACACTCTTTTGGTGGACGACAGTCCTTCTGCTGATCGCCTTCATGTCAATATGATTAGTACTTCTATTCATCGCATGATGGCACCAAGATGATTGACTAATTGCAAACGTGATTCATTGGTATAGACTATTAAACATTTGCATATCTGGCAACGCCAGCACCTTCCAGCAGGGTATCAACAAAATCACACCCCCTTACATTATGACGGCATCTTCCAGACACCTTGAAATCCAGCGTCCCATCTACTGGGGAGGGGGGGTGCCGGCCTTTTCCTCCTCGTGAGTGTGGAGCGCAGGCTTCTCCGTGTCGTGGGCAATCTTGGCCTCGATGTCGCCGTGCTCGGCACGCTCTGTGAGGCTGGTGGCCACCTTGGTCTTCCAGGCGGGCGTGCCCAGGTACTTGATGCCGTTGGGGTCCTCGAACATGGCCTCGGTCTCCTCAAGCGTCTTGCCGGCCGTCTCGGGGAACATGAAGAAGACGTGGAAGAAGGCGACGGTGTTGAAGACGGCAAAGATGAGGTACGACTTCCACCTGATGTTGGCAAAGGCCACCGGGGTGAAGAGACCCAGCGCGGTGTTGAAGGCCCAGTTTCCGGACGTTGCCATGGCCACACCCTTGCCTCGGAGGCGCAGGGGGAACAGCTCCGGGGGGTAGGTCCACGAGACGGGACCCCAGGTGGGAGCGAACGACGCCACAAACAGGTACGTGCAGGCAATGAGACCCTTGGCGGGGGCGCCGGTGACACGCATCGACTGGGCGGCAACGTGGTCGATGCCGCCGGGGACGATTTCGCCATAGGTGGCGAGGATACCCGCGTTGGCGTACATCCAGAGCGCCATGAGGACGGAACCGATGAGAAGCGTGGGACGGCGACCCCATTTGTCGACCCAGAGCAGGGCAGGGATGGTCATGATCACGTTGATGATGTACTGGATGGACGAGGCGAGCAGGTTGGCGTTGCCGCTGTAGCCGGCCATGGAGAAGATGTTGGCAATGTAGTACACTGAGAATGAAGTCAGCTTTGCTCAGCCCAAGGGAGAGTTGGGACACTCACTCATGACGTTCATGCCCGTCAGCTGGGACCAGATCTGGGTAAAGAGACCAATGAAGGTGCGGTTGATCATGTTGGGCTTGAACAGGTCGATGTAGGTGACATCGGCATGGCGGCGCTCAAACTCGCACATGTCCTTGATGTCCTGCAGTTCGTAGGCGACAAAGGGGTGGTTGGGATCGCCCTTGCCGTGGACGAGGGTGAGCACGGCGCGGCAGTCCTCCCAGCGGTCCTTGCGGGCGAGCCAGCGAGGAGACTCGGGAAGCAGCATCATCATGAAGAAGAGGAAGAAGGCGGGGACCATCTGCAGGCCCCATGGGATGCGCCACGAGGCGGTGTTGTACTCGAGGGGGTTCTGCTTGCCAATGAAGGAGCAGCCGTAGGAGATGTAGTACATGATGAGGATGCCCCAGGTGATGGCCCACTGCTGCATGCCGATGAAGCGGCCACGCTTGGAGGGGGGCGAGATCTCGGCAATGTAGACGGGGACCTGAGCAGACTCGATACCGACGGACAGACCGTTGATGATACGGGCGACGATGAGCATGCCAATGTTTTGCGAAGCGCAGGAGAGGGTGGAGCCAATGACCCTGAGATTTGTTAGCAATGGTGATCCTCTCCCTCTCTTCCTGTTCTCAGAATCTGCTTCACTCACCAGATGATACATCCGACCATGATGGAGTACTTGCGGCCCAGGCGATCAGAGAGGGGACCCGAGATCAGGGCGCCCAGCCAGGAGCCAGCAGCCATGGAGGCCGTGATACCGCCCTGGACGAGGGACCGCGGGCCACCGCAGGTGCCGTCGACGGTGGTGGGCGGGTTCTCATCCTGGTTGAAGTAGCAGAGATACGACTGCTCGGCCAGCTGGGCCGACACAGACGAGATGTCGAAGCCGAACAACGCGCCGCCAACGACGGACACGCCGGCGATCACGTAGATGTTGCCGATAGCCATGGCTCACTCTTGTTGTCTAGCTGGCAGAGGGGCCTTGACCATGAACGATGGATGACGGGGGGGAGGACAAGAGGAAGGGGGGTCAAGAGAAGCAAGAGCGGGATGGGGGAGGAGAGGAAGGGAGATGGGCTATATATGTGTGCTCGGGTGGTTGTTACGCCGGAAGTTGTGCCAATCGATAATAATGGCGGGCAGCTGGCCGGCTGGCTTCGAGCAGAGCAGAGCAGGACAGAGCAGAGCAGAGCAAAACAAGCTGCTGCCAGGCATGTGGGAACCATGAAGTGGGCAGAGCAACAACGAGACCGGATTCACTTGGCCCCAATCCCTGTCTGTGCTCATCCTCCCCAACTCTGCTTCTCCAGGCTGTTGGCCCCGGACGGGCATGGCCTGGCGAGCGAGACCTGGAGATTTCCCCATGGAACTCCATCAGGAGAGATGCTCGGGGCAAGCAAGCCACGGCGTCTGCAGGATCCGGGGTATCGAGTACATGGCCGCCGCGGTGGCAGGTACTGACGCTTCCGGGATGCGCTGCTGCAACGGTACAAGCACGCGCAGGGATCTTGTCCGTGAGAAGGAGCGCTTGCGTGTAAGTCGCATGTGGGATGGGCAGAGACGGTGGAGGAAGACAAAGCCTCAAGCCAAATCGGCGCCTCTGCCTCGTCGTCGCCTTGCATGAGCCGCGCCTTTAGTCCAAGTACATTGTATGTGCAGCGCCGAGTACTGCCCCATCCGGCAGTTTGTACCTTGGACACGCCTCAACCCACCCCTGACCCCCAAGAATTGAATTCCCCAAACAAGCTCGCCTGCTGCTCCCCCGCCTCCTCCCCTCCAACTTTTTTCTTTTCTGGGTGTGTGTATCCCCAGGGATCGGACTGGGGAAGGACCTTGGATATTGGATCAATAGTGTGGGTGTCTGGGGTTGGATGGATGCAACAAGTACGAAGTACGAGTACATACGTGCAATAGTATGGGGTTGATGACCGACAAGAGAATTGCGGTGGAATGATTGTGCTAACATCAATGACAGTTGGCTGGAGTTGACCTCTCGCTTGGGCCTCAGGATCAGGATCATCCAAATCGTCCAACATCCAAAAGCCTTTGCACATGATACGATCCTGCAAGCTCAATTGATGCAGCAGCTGGCCGTGTTACGTACAACAGCATCACGACTCGTCGTCTTCTCGACTAACAGTAGCAAAAGCATCAGCTCCGCCCTCCATGGTGCCATTGCGAGCACTCAATTCCATCTTGTACGAGCACGAGCACAAGCAAGGTAGCATCAGGACCGGTAACACCACCCGCCGTCACACGGCCGAAATCTTGCCATTTTCTGAATCCTTGGGCCCGGTTAGTGACTTTTCCAGCTCTGACTCCTCACGCGTATCACGCATGCTTCTCCCGCTTCTATTGCTACCTCCTACCAATAAAGAGACGCGAAAGACAGATGTACGTACACGTAGAATGCAGTTCAACGTCTGTTACAAGGCGCGAGACTGCAAAAGCTCGTGCTAATCCGGAGCCGAACTAATAGAGGCCCCCTGCTCGAGGATCGCCGGCTGGTCCATTTGGGCCATTGCAAGCGTCCCCCGGAGTCATCTGGGGGGTTGCATGTCGCCGAGAGTCTGCCCGTTAGGGGGGAGGGGGGTGCGTGAGACTGGGGGGGGGGGGGGGGGGTGGGGGGGGGGGGGGGGGGGGAGGAGAGGCGACGACTCGATTCGTCTAGATGGCCGCTAGAAGCTGGCCGACTGAAGGCGAGGATGCCTCCTCATGTTGACTGCCAAGCTGCTTGCTGCGAAGGACTGCTTTGGCGGTCGGCAGCAAGTTGCCGATACGTTGGAGTCCAGCCAGGACTTTTACAGAGCATTGGACTTCAGGATAGCACCCATTGACATGCATATATATTGTGGCGTCTGGTGTTTGTGGTGCTTCTGGGGGCGCTTTTGCGCATCCTTGCCTGTCCTCCATACTGGCGTTTCAATGCGCAATGCGTCCATGGAATCGGATGCCCAGCAGCACTCTGTTTCTGGTAGTACATGCTTGATGTTGCAGTGACGGTACCTAATTGCCCGTAGTACACATACGAGTATTTCTTCTACACACCCAAGAGCAGCCGTAATATTCATCGAACCCCAATATGTATTGCTCATACCAGTCCGGCTACCCATCCTCATTCTCCTGGATGTCCAAAAGATGGAGGTTCATGCTCGCCCAAGGCCGCCCTTGTCCGCTCGCGGCCTAGCTCCCGACGCCCAGGGCTTTTTAGGCCTCGGCGCCACTGAAGAAGCGCCTGTGGGCTCTCCACTTTCCCCGGCTTTGGCCAAATGACGTCTGCCCTGGCGCAAATTATCCTCCGCCGGCTTTGGCACGGCAATGCAGACGAGCGGCAGTCGTTGGCAGTGGCAGTTGTTTGAGCGGCATGTTGAGAACCGGACTGGTCGTTTTCGTCAGTAGAAGCGTGGATTTGGAGGCGTCTTCATAGGCGGGTTCCTGAGCTGTCTTGACTCTAGGGTCCTGTCTTGCCTGTGAAACCCCAGAAAAAAAGAAGACAAAAGCAGGCACAAAAGCTCCATTGAAAGAATCGGCGTCATTCGTCAAAACCACTCGCAAACCCCCAGGCTGCAGCCCCGCAGCAAATACGGCGAGCCTCTTTCCCTCTGTCCATCGCCGACTCAGAACGGCAGTGATCGGCTTCGAAGAGGTTGTTATACAGTGTCATTCTCATGCTAGGGGCACAGTATCGCGCATCAAACGGCAGGCACATGCACATGACCAGGCACAGACTCGCTCCAGCAACGTCCAGCACGATTCTTCTCTCCTCTTTCACGCATCCGCCGTCGCCAGCCAACCATCCAGCCATAGACTCGATGTTCAACCCTTGTCTCATCCTGTTCTGTATGTCTGTATCTACATACTACATGCTTGTTGCTAGTAGTATACAGTATAACCTCGCTCTCGGCCGTTGTTTGTCACACCAGTTGCTCCAGCTCCGCAGTGCTGATTCGACCGTCCGACTCTCCTCCGCTCCGCCTGTCCTTGCTCCAGCCTGCCGATCCGCTCCCGCTCTCGAGCTCTGCTCTTCTTCGCCCTCATCAGGCCAGCCATCAGGGGAGCAGAATCAGCCTCCCCTTGCCGTTCTGACTCCAATTCAGCTCTCTCCACCGCGATGGTCCGATGCAACACCAGATTGCACAGTCTGGCACGACTTCTGACAAGTCAATCTCATGGTTGGAGACGTCGCACATGGCTTGAATGCGATGCTTGCATGTGAGGACAGTTTGGCCGACACGGTGCCCGCAGCGATCAAAGCTCTGCAGGTTCCCCAGGCCTAGGAATGCGTCTGCGTCGCCAATCGGCCATCGTGTTTGTCAATTTTGCTAACCAACAACTTCGAAAAAACGATGTCTCTCGACATACTGTACATGTATGATTATACGATTTGACTTCAATCCGTCACTTGACATGTTCAACCAACCTCAACTCACTAATAACTTCTCGCTCTTCGGACTTATGACGTCGCTAACACCAGCCTCGACCTGGACGCCTTTCTACCAAAATCGCAAAGGCACCAGCCGTCGGCAATCAACCACTGCCTCACCTCGCCTAAAATCCTTCTCACGGCAATCAGCATGTTTCCGAGCGGCCAATCACCTCCCGCAGCAGCTCTCTCGCTTCTCTATAGAGTTATACCTCCGCGGGCTCTAATCCTTTGGCTGCACATACCCTGGCTAGCCTACCAGGGGGCCTCTCTCCGTCGTCAAAATTCATGCACAGTGCTGGTCTGCCGCGATACGTGTACTTGGCTAGCTACGGTGCGGTCCAAAGGGCCGTCGGCTAACTTGCACGAGCGAGAGCCGCACCAGCATTCCCTTTCGACTATTCCTCCTGAATAGGTCATCTACCAGCAGCTTTTCGAGCTGCAACTGAGCGAACACGAGGGCGAGGCAAACCGCACCCTGGCTTACCCGGCCTCATCTCATTGGAGCGGTTCGTCAGGCCTTGGTCTCCACTGCTGGCATCTGTCTTTGTTTCCTGACTTGCTGGAGTGCGTGAGGTTTTCCGGTGATGTTTCCGTCTTGTCTTCCGGATGATGCTGACAGCTTGACTGATTTCACCTGAAGGCAATGGATCAGCAATTCTAGTGACCAAGCATTTCACAGACGGAAAACCGAAACAAAGCCCCTCTGCCAGAGACACCAGCAGCGCGTCAAGATGTGTGAGTAGCCGCGCCGCTTGTATTCCCAGTCGATGCTTGAACTTTGATTTGCAATAGCTGGTACCGTACAACGTTGTATCGCGCCCTTAAGCTTGCTTCCGAGTCCTAAAATCGCGTGGCCAAATCAGCCCGTGATCGGGACACGGCCAATGGTGACCATCCTGTGACCCTTCTCTCGAACCGTCTCCGCACATTGACTTGCAGCGCGAGCGCGGCCTTGGGCTGCCTGAATCATACCATGGATCTCAAGGGATGTCTGCGCTAGATGGGACCAACAGATTCTCTGGATCAACCCCCTTCTACTTGATACAAAGTCTATCTCCAAAGTCGCAGTACACAGTATTCTTACAGCAACCGATCTTGCAGCATAACATGGACATCTCGCTTCCCCGCTCGCTGTGACCTCAAAGATCTCGAGGAAATCAGATCCTGTAACATCGTCAGGCTCGGGCTCAATCACACGCTCTTGAACGTCACGGCCCAAGCAACAAATGGCGCCGTTCATTTGGTCTCGGAGATAAAGGAGCGCCACACCAAGCCACCAGCCCGATGCATCTCCTGTTTGAGCATCGCTCGCAAGCGGCAAGCCACGGCCTGATCTGGTGGCCCACGACGTTGGCTGACTTGCCCGCATCGAGTAGCGCAAGCGATGCCCTACAGCATCCCTCCCTCATACGAGTACTACTATTACATACCGCCAGAGTGACGCCGCACCACGATACGAGAAGCCGCTGATCCTCGGCACGGCGCCTCCTTGGTCGGAACCGGGCCCTGGGGCTGACCGGCGTCTTTGCTCGGTGTTTGGCCATCTGCCTGTACGAATATGTACGTAAACAGGGCCCTGGTCTCGGTGCAAAGCGCCACGAGCTCCATGGCCAAGTCGGCTGGACGGCGAGGGATGGGCACCACAATCGGGCCTGTCCAGGGATTTATCCTGCTAGCTCAGCTTGCTGCCGTGCCATGTGGCCAACGGTGGGTTCCCAGAGATTTGCCTTTTGAGGCTTCACTCACTTACACGGTCAAGGTGCGCGTACACGTCTTTTCACAATGAGTACTTCATTCCTCGTACAGTCTCAAGATGAAGGGGTGATACCCCGACACGTGGCAAACAATGGTCCTGGTTCTTGTGCCATTGTCTTATTCCGAGACCCTGCGTTTTCGGGTCTCATGCACCTTGATTTTGTCATCTTCTGATGAGCTGTTGATTCGCTGCTGCTCGGCCTAGTCTATTTGTAACTGGCAACCGATCTCGAGAGATATGCCACGTCTTGGCCTTTCAAATTTTCTCTTTGAACTAGGCCATCGAGACCAAACCATGGAACAACGGCGCAGATACTGTCGATTGTACAGATTTGCAGACTTTTGCTCAGCCCCAGCCTCATCAGATTAATGGCATATTCTCCAGCACTACCCACAGGAGCTATCTCACCGAGAAGATGCACGGAGTCGGCAGTGTAGACTACATGTAGGACTACGTGCGACGTTGACCGGCATTGCCTCATCACAGCGGCTTTTCGCGGTCAGGCTCAAGCCTTGGTTCAAAGGTGTCTGCAGTGGTAACCATCGGCTCAGCCTTTCGATCTTTTCACCGGGGGACCAGAGTTTTGCTGCTCTCGACAGCAAATACGATGAGTCTGATGACCTGTATCGTGTCGTTGCCCGCGGACGCTCCCCGGTTGCATTATTCGAGCATGAGAACGCATAGGATCGGGCCGAGAGGCCCATGGTGACTTGATACCCGCTGCCCTCTTTGGGCGTGTGCAGATGCCCCTTTGCTAAGCTATGCAGCGGATTCCTTTGTCTGACTTCTGTTGTGATCCTTCCTCCTTCGCCCCGGCGGCCTGAATGCAGATGCAGCGTGACATGTGATTAGCAACTGAGTTCAGGAGAGATCAATGTTCATGCACGCCCCAGCGGTGAATGAGGGATCGATGGGGATAGACTGAAAGTAGTAACAGCATCCTACAGCCTGGACCCGTAAATAGGCCGATTGGAGATGCTGTGATGCTTAATAGCGGAGTTGCATTGAAGGGAGATTACTGTGTGGAATCTCCCCAGACTTCTCTTGAATCAAGCGGCAGGATGAGAGGCATCTCCGATGTCATCAGCCTCGCCATCGTTACTGGTGAAAGCACCTGCTCGATGGCGATATCGCGGTTCAGTAGCATGTACTCGACTTTGCGATGTTGCGTTGATGGGTGATTGGGGGGTCGACTCTACCTCAGAAAGCTTAAGGGGGGACAAATCCTTTTGGCTGATTTTGAAAGAATAGAAGACGTCAGTTTAGATGGTGATGCTGTGAAGATGAATGGGAAAGCTGAGTGCTATTTCTTATGTCTGCTTGCATGAAGGGCTTTTGGGTTTCGGGACTTGTTTCTTTCTTGCCACCTGGTCTGCTTTTCATTCTCCCGAGAGCAGTGATGTAGCTATAGTTGGGGGGGAAGGGGTGATAGATGGAACTAGGGAGAGAGCTCTATAGCCTTTCTTTTGACTATTCGGTTCACTAGGAGTTTCATGACTCTACCGGCTGCTGTTTGACGAGAGAGAGAGAGACTATATTTATACATGACAACTGCTTACTTATTGCCATACGATTTATACTTTCCAAATACATCACATGTCACGGTGCCTTTTTCTTCAGGCACCCCAACTTATAAGCTAGGTACTGCTATAGTCGTGGAGTTGTGCCAGAGAAACCGCCCGCTTCAGATTACATTGCAAAGTAAAGGGTCTTTTGAATAACCTAGCCTGTTGTTTGGTGTGTAATTGAGTTGTTTAAAAAAGGAGCAGTTGGCTTCATTTGAGCATTCAGACTCCTTCCTAGAGGACGACTATGAGGTAACATCACTGTTAGAGAAGCTTTATTTGAGATTCAAAGAGTGGTATGGTTGTTTGTTTGAGTGTGTGCTTTATGAAAGGCCGTGTCTTTGCCTGGAGGCTTGCAAGTATCAGCTTCCTTAGCCATGACATTTTGGGGGGGGCTGTAGTTGCGTGTGAGAGTTTGGGTATCTCAACTACCCTCTTGCTCAATCTATGGCATGTCCCCTCTCTCTAAGATCACAGAATAACATCTTCATTGTGTTGGGAAAAAGCCCTGCGTGTAACGACCTGACTTGGGCAACGACTCTGCCCACTCCACTTCGTTCCAGTCTCGGTACTGAAACTTGCGTTTGCCTTGACAGCAGCCCGGTTGGGGGGGGGGGGGGCGACAGTAGGTCTTCGAACAGGCGGCATGGGCGTTGAAGCAGTTGATGGAGGGAAGGTTTGCCGAGGGAAGTGCAAAGATGGAAACTCTTTCCCACTGGTTCAAACCGCCATTCTTAGGCTAAACGACGAAACTTGTCTCAACGACGACAACTCGTTAGCTCCCCCAAGTACACACCAGCATTGAAGCAATCTCATTCACAAACTTGCATCTCCTTTACAGATATATATTTCAATATACATGCCTCCGCGGGAAAGAAGCCCGCTTCTACTTGGTGGGGCAGCACGGCGTCTCTCCCCTTTTTTTTGCCTCAAGGCCTCATCGTCCGCTGCAAACCCCCAAGTAAGTCTGGGAAGTGTTTCTCTGGGCATGAACAGTTCTCAATCACCTGGGTAGAGATGACAAACTGTGGAGGATAGACATTTGTGATTTGAGCGTCCATGCCGATCAATCTACGTTAAACCGTCTATAGGTGATGATGGTAGCATTGAATATAGCTCTCGGTGCGTCTATAACGCTTGAAAAGTGAGACCTCATTCTCTATACATCATATCCAAGCGCATGGTCATGACACAATAGATTGAGCTGGACGAAGAGGTAACGTTGATCAAACAGAGAGGTAATGTTGTTCAGACAGATCAATTCAAGACGCTACATGATCCGATCCAGTTCGTATATACCCAAAACCTCATATCGCCAAACAAACCCAATCTCAAACCCCAGACATGCTTATTCAAATCATACACCCAAACCCCAAATATACACCATGCCCATTCCCATATATAACAAAAAGAAAGAAGCACCACGAGCACTCCCCCTACTCATCCCTCCACGACCCCGTAAACAAATGCCGCATCATGGCCGCCTCTGGAACACTCCCGTCATTCGTGCTCTGCGAGTGATCCTGCCCCATGCCGAACCCATCAATCGGCAGGATCAAGATATCCCCAATCAGCGTTGGCTCCTCCATAAACGACAGGTCCTGCGTGTCGTTGAGCAGCGGGTTGTACTCCTGCAGCTGCTCAAACACGACGTCGGTCCAGGCCGCCGGCCCCGTCGAGTTCATCACCTCGAAGCTCTCCGGATGCAGCTGGCCGACCGGCAGGCCGTGCGCCGCCGACAAGTCGTCCAGCGAGCGCAGCACCCGGTCCACCATCTTGCTGAAGACGGGGTGCCCGGGCGCGGCGGCAATGGTCCACTGGCAAAACTGCAGCCAGTGCGGGATGTCGGCCCAGGGCCCGCCGTCGCGGCGGTCGAACTCGATGCCGACGACGAGGCGGGCGCGAGAGCGGGCGGCCGCCGGGATCCAGGCGTCGACGGGCTTGAGGGCGACGGTGTCGGTGTCGGTGTAGACGCCGCCCTGGACGCCGAGGACGAGGTAGCGCAGCAGGTCCGACTTCATGCCCACGTTGGTGAGGTTGTGGTAGACCTGGGCGATGCGGGAGTGGGCCCCGAAGTGGCCGTTGACGAAGTCGTCGCCTCCTTTTTGGCCGATGAGGGTGCTTTAAATACCATTAGCAAAGTATTTAAGACAGAAGGGGGGAACGTGAGATGAGGAGTTATCACGTACTACTGCCAGTCGGGGTTCATGGCCAGCCACGACGCCGTGTTCTCGAGCTGCCGGGGGTCGATGCGGACGTGCTTCAGGTCCCACCGGTAGGGCTGCGTCTTGGGCAGCACAATCTGCCAGATGCTGGGCGGGATCAGATGCCTTCCCTGAGCGGCACCGACCCTGCCCTGCTGCTGCTGCTGCCCCGGCGAGCCGCCGCCGGCAAAGGAGTAGCCGCTGCCGTCGTGCCACGTCTGCCGGTACGGGTAGTGCATCGTCGTCAGGCGGCCGCTGAGCCAGACCATGGACAGCAGCAGGAGGGCGACGGCGACGGCGGCGTAGTTTCGGTAGCGGCGCTGCGAGACGTGGTGCAGGAGCTGCCGCAGCGGCGAGAAGGCGTCTTGCTTTTCGTGGAGATACATGGTGGGTTTGGATGGACGACGATGCTATCCTTCTTCTTCTTCTTCTTCTTCTTCTTCTTCTTCTTCTTTCACTTCTACCTCAACTTCACTCGCGGCCAAGACACGACAACCACAACGACAACAACGAAAAGGGCTCACGATGACAAGAAGGAAGAGAAGAAGAGTGGGTGACAGACAGACAGACGGGCAGACGGACAGAGAGAAAACACCAAGTCAGGCAAGTCGAAAACCCCCGGCCCGGAGCTAGAGGGTCAAACCAACAAAAGGGCAACGGCGGCAGCGGCCTACACGGCTTTTACATAGTACTGGATCCAGGCTCATGTAGGGAGGCGTGCAAGTGAGATTAAGCTGTCTTGAAGTCCCGTCGAGCTAGCGAGTTGCCCTGCGCCGGCGTGGGCTTCTGTGCTTGTCCTAGCCAGCCAGCCAAGCATATCGTGTCGTTTTATCATCAGTCGAGCTGCCCATCCATCCAGCCAGCCGTGTCTTAGACGGGGGGGCACGGGCTGGAGAGTAAGGGGAATACGCTGTACTCAGGCTGGCGGGCAAAATGGACGAATCCCTCGCATGACAGGCAGAAGACGCGGCGATGGTGGTGTAGCATCTGTGTCTGATGAAAAAGGGGGGGGTTGAGGCGGCCCTGCTCGAGTACTGGTTCACGCCAGCTTCAACGTATACAATCTGGCTAAAAGAATAACTCTGAATTTAAGCCTCTTGAGTGTCGAACTCTTGCTCTGCTCTCCCCCTCTGGATGGATGTCCGGCGGTGGGCCCTTGCAGAGGAGCATGAGACCCTGCGCATGAATTTGTTAGTCGTTCGTCTAAATGTGGCCTCAGCCGCGTCTAGAACCGCCCATAAGCTGACGTGCCCAATAGCTTAAAAAGCGATCACGCTGGTAAATTGGCCGGCTAACGGATAAAGGGTTCACATCGACAGGGGGGGCGGTCTAGTTAGTATACGATGTAGTAGTAGTCTGGAGACGGCGGAGTTTTGGAGACTTGGCTCTGCAAACTCTTGCGGTTCCAGGGGTCCGACTTCTATTTCCTTCTCTTCTCTGCCTCTGTTCCATTTTTCTCTCTCTTTGTTCCTTTACTGATTCTCATAGAGCTGCAACAAGATGGAAACACTGGAAATGCGACTTGAGCTGAATACGAGGAGAGCAACTCGTACGATAGGATTCACCAAAAGTCCCCCGTCAGAGAGGATCCAAAGGGCAGCCATGAACTAGAGAACCGGCCACTGCCGCTTGCAGTTAGACGCCAGGTACAACGAACCCGTTGGCGCAGCGCTAAATACTAAGCCTTTTCACATCAAGTACGGATGTCACGAGAAGACGGGTTATTATCCGTAGTTGTATGGCTTATCACAGGTCGTCCATGTCCAGCTGCTGCAAGGAGGACAGGATTACTACTGCTATGCTCGTACATACACACAATCTGCTGTACAAGTGGCACCTGTCTTGTATCAACCTGTCTCGTCTCAATTTGACTGTGTCTCACCTACGCTTGTCTTGACCACCGCAACAAAGCAACTACTACGTAGTACTACCTCCTATGTACTTCCCTGTTGTTATCCACCAAAGGGCGCCACTATTCACATCAAGCTCTGGTACAAACTGGTAATGGTATCGCGATTCAAACATCTTTGTCCTCCATTGTGCTCTCATACACCTATACATACCTACACACTTGAAGCCTTGTAGTAGCATCAACGTAAAAGCACACGTGCGACCAATACAGGCGACGCTGGCTAAACCGGCTTTTCAGCATTGGTCAGTCCTTCAACAGAGCATCCTTGAACACTAATAGTACCTATATATGACGGCAAAGTGCCAGAAAAGGCATGTGTCAATCCCAGACACGACTCCGCACTCCCATCGCTACCTTGCGGTAAATGTAATTCCAGGTTATGCTTATAGCACAAGGTAAGCAAAGAAGGTAAATCATTCCGTAGAGATCGACATGATGGAAAGAGAAATGATCTGATAAGCTTAAGCAGCGTGAGCCCTACGAGAATATAGTCTGTTTTCATTTATCTGTGCATTTCTTTCTTTCTTCCCCCCGTTGACATAGGGCTTTAGTAACTCTACAAGTTCATGACAATCCTCACCTCTACCAGTTCATCAAACGAACGAATACAACAACCCTCACTCGCTCACAGCCCACCTCAACCCGCCACACCACAGTCATCCCAAATCCCGTACTACTACAAGTCTACCTTACCCTCGAGAAAACTACAACACTCGCCACAACGTATAACAGCCCCATCATTCCCCTCTCTCACTATACATCGCCATGCACTGGCCCTTCAAAGCCAAGCCGGCTCATCCGGCATCCTTCATTCTGCCTACAAACACGCACTACATATATGCTTCGAAAGTGCAGAGGCAGACAGGCGCACGGCACTTCTTTTCGGTCCTCCTCCTCCTCCTCACCCTCATTCCCTAGTCCGGCAACATCTTCTCATCAGTGCACCACCTTCTTCGCGGGGAACACTCCTCCCCGTCGGTTAAATGGCAACCTCTCCCCCCTCCACCATGCCATCTCATTAATTGCTTGCATGCGGGGTTGTACATTTGTTTGGCCAGGGCGCAAGCAAACGAGGTAGTACTGCTTATGTACTATATTGAACATGCAAGCTACAAGAGAGGCCTTATAAACCACCCTCTCGGTTTCTCACTCATCCAAACCAGCATCTCACCGTCAAATCTCAGAGAATGGAAGTCAAGGCATGTATTCGTAGCTAATACAGTAGAGCCAAGGTATAGTATGCAATGCTCCTACAGCAAGTAAATGAACACATTCACCTCACCCAGCCATGCTCCCAGACACCAGGTATCATTGAACAACTTCCTGTACAATTTCTCCTCTTTCTGCTCCGCGTAAAACTCCACCGTATACTTTGTATGGCATCAAACAAAGCGCACCTCGTTGAACAGGCCCGCCCTGACTTGCATCAAGCTGGCCAGCTCCATTAAAAACGCCTGGAATATCAGCACATTGGTAATGACGTGCGACACCGACACCATGTTCTCCTGCTGCGTCGGGCTCGTCGGCTCGGCATTGTCCGTCGTCTCCGTCACCACGGTCGGCTCGGTCGCGACCTCGCTTCGGTCCGCGCTGCTGTCGTACCCGTCCAGGCTGGCCAGCTCGTCTGCTAACGGCTCGGGAGCATCCTGCCGCTTACTCTCCGCGTCCACCGGGATTGGCTTGGCCGGCTCGGTCGGTAGGGCTACCCGCCGGGCCAGGATGCTTTGGTCCACGGCTGCAAAGTCGGCCGGCTGGGCTACCACGGAGCCTTGCCTACTGCCTCGGTACTGTCTGCCGGCCTCCGACTGAGCACTTGCGGGCGACAGATTTCGGCTTAGAGCATTCTTGTTGGGGTCGGGCAGCGGTTTGGACGTGTCGGGCATGGGGCTAGGAGAGAGGAGATCCGACACGTTGTAGCCTGGTGTCGACGACCCAGACGCCCGAGTGCTATTCTTGCGTCCTCTGGGTGTCATGGAGCGACTTGGGGTCCCAAGCTCAGAAAGCAGCCGCTGAGCGAAGCCCTCGAGGCCAGTCGGACGCGACGGAGACACGGACCGGATCATCTCATCGAGGCTGGAGCTGGGCCGTTCCGGCGTCCGTTGCTGAACGGGGGCCGGGGGATTGTCCAGAATCGAGTCCGCAGTCTGGAAGGCCTCACGTCGCTGTTGGAGAAGCTCGTCAAACCGAGGCACTGTCTGCTTGAAGGCCTCGACTTGGTCGCAGAGGCGCTTGAGCACGACGAGGATTCGCGGCAAGGATTCCTGCGTCCATTTGGGCCGACGCCTGCACTTTTCCATCGATTCCAGCCGGTCCGCCTCCGTGTCGTCGGAAAATGTAGAGAAGCCGCCCTCCGAATGGTCGTCGTCCTGCGAGTTGAGCTCGTCGGCCAGCGACCGATTGCCGGTTTCCGCCTCGGCGTCTGCTCCCGTCTGTGTCCCCGTCTCCGTCGCTTCCTCGCCCTCACCCTCCTCTTGCTGCGGTTTGGTTCCCTTGTTTTCGTCCGATTTTTGCTGCTGCTCGTCCTCAGCGTAGACGTAGCTCTTGGGGTTCCGGGCCAGCCAGCCCTCGATGCTCATGTAGCCGCAGATTGCCATGTCAACAATGGTCTCAGTAACCGACAAGTTCGTCTCCACTGGGTTCATGAAGAAGTTCTCCATCAGGTCGAGGATGGCGTTGAGCAAGAGATCGTCGTGGCGAAGCGTGTGTTCCCGCACGTCCTTGGGCGCACCCGGCAGACTGTCTGGGATGGTGGGCAGCTTGTGATTATGCTGAGACAGCCTGGGGGCGACGAGCCTGAGGGAGCACGGGTGGCTCTCGAGCCGGGCCATGGTATCTTTCAGGATGCTCTCGTACGTCTCGTTAAAGTCGTCTCGACCGCCAATGGTCTCCGCCAGAGCCATCAGGTACTCAATCTCTTGCTCGTGGGCGCCCACCGTCCGGTTGATGTTATTGCTCGGGAACGAGTCGGTCCGGAGGAGGGTGAGGACTGCGTAACGATGGTGCCTCTTGACGATTGCTGAAACCAGCTGAAGGGTGACGTAGATGGTTTGCTGGTTGCGCGACCTGAGACAGGCCAGAATCAGATCAACCAGGTTGAAGAGCAGCGGAGTCGCCGTCGTGTCAGGTTTCTCCGCCATCATGGTAGCGAGGTCCATGGACTTGCGCTGCCGGGCGGCGCTTATTGCCGTCTCTGAAGGGGGGCTGTTGGAGATGACGGCATCGGGCAAGGCCAGGAGGTAGTGAAGAATGAGGTTGATCATGTCGGGGTGGTCGAGGGATTCGATGATGCGGCGGAGGTAGGTCAGGACGGCCACGGACGAGCCTCCGTCTATATCGGAAGACTCTAGCAATGATGGGTATCTAAACATGGTGAGCGCAAACACACGAACGGCAGGGCATTACCAACTTACAAGAGCTGCTGTAAGAAAATCACCTGAAAGTGCTCGAGGAGCGTCGACTTGACCTCGACTGACTTGCAGTGGTTCAAGACATCCTGCCAAAACAAAAGGTGCGATAAGAACGTCTCGAGGTGGGACTGGAACTCGGCCGAGCAGGAGCTCACGATTTCGTAGTTGGAGGTGGGGTGTTCATAGTCGGAGAGCGCGAGGATGGGCGGCAGGTTATTGGGCAAATGATCAATGACGAGCTTGCGACTGAGCTGGCTGTACAGGGCTCCCAGCCCGGTGGCCATGAGCGTCGACAGGTCGCTCTCGACGATCCACTGCTCCAGAGACTCGGAGCTCGAGGCGGCCTCGATGATGTACAGCAAGCCTGTGCGCGCAAAGTCGCCCACCTTGCCCTCGTGGTGGATGTAGTCCATCAGGATGTAGAAGAGGGGAAAGTCGGCCCTCTTAGTTCGGCCAGCGAACTTGTCACGAACACTCGCCGCCCGGTCGCTCGGCCGGTTGACGTCCTGCTGCGTCTTGAACCAGGCCGGGAGGATGTCGGGGTCGAGGCGGATCTTGGTGGTGATGTTGAAGGCCAGCTCGACAACGCGCGACTCGGTATCCAGCCCGAGGCGCGCGCTGTTGACGCCGGTGATGCGCACCAGCAGGTTGGTCAAGCTGGCGGAAAAGGTGTGGTTCTCGACAAAGGCCTCCTCCTCGCTCTCGATGAGGGTCGCGAAGAAGAGGACGGCCTCCTTGATGATCCATTCGTTGTACGACGAGGTGGCAATCTTGCCGATGGGCACGTATATCTGCTTGATGGAGGCATACTGGATGCAGGGGTGCGGCAGCGGGCGGCGGCTCTCGTCGCTGAGGATGTTGGTGAGCTCCTGGAGCCTGATCTCGACGGTCTCGGCGGCGTCAATGTCCTGGGACAGGTTGGTGGATTTGCGCCAGATGGACTGGATGATGAGCACGGATTTGTCAGCGCAGGCCACGGAGAGAAGGAGGAGGAGGAGGAGGAGGGCCCAACAAAGCGACTCACCAACAAGCCTGCGTACTCCTTCTCGAAGCGATGAAGACGCTTGGCAGGGTCCTTTGCCTGGTCCTGACGAGAGCTCCCGGAGGAGAGGGGGCTTAACAAGCGCGACCACTGCACGTACAAGGATGGTTAGAACTCTTTTCCTTCTTCTTCTTCTTCTTTTTTTTTCTTCTTTTTTCTCTTTCTTTCTTCTTCCTTTTTCTCTTTCTTTCTTCTTCTTGTCCTCCCAGCCTCGTCGTCCTGCTATTTCCCTCGTCACGTCGGGTTCGAACTGGGGATGCTCACGAAATCCATGGCTCTGGCCGAGTCATGTCTGGCTGACGCTTCTCTCTGGCTGCGGCGGGTTCCAACAGATGCCAAATGCCTCGCAGCTCGTCTGAGGCGCGGGGAGGGTCCGATCACAGGCGGGGAGACGCAGAAGGTGGACGGACAGACAAGGGACAAGCGATTAAGCACAGGTCGTCGATGCGGCGCGAGCCTTGTGATGAGGCCTGGCGAATGGCAGGCGGTGAAACCGGTGGGGTAGCCGGGACTGCTGGTCTGCGCGTGTGGCGGCGGACGGCGAGGTACCGGGTACTTTTGCCAGGGGCGGCTTGGACGGTCCGTCTTTAGGGCCCGAGCGGGAAACCAGCCAACATGCGGATTGATGTAGGGTAGGCTCTGGTTTACCTGAGATGTACTGGAGAGACTGGACTGACCAACCCCGTCGACGGCATGGATCGGATCTCGCCGGTGGGTCGATGCATGCGAGATAGATTGACGGGGACTTGGGCATATGTACGTGAGTCCTCCCTCTGGTGACTTGCAGAATAAGCCGGCAGGACAAGGAAACAGTGGACGAGCATGTCAAGGGCCGTGTGTGGATGCTGCGGCTGAGTGCAAGAACCTGGCATGGGCCGATGCAGGCAAACAATGACATGCCTCAAGGACGAAGCACAGCCTTGCTCACGCAATGCTCCTACTTACATACCTAGACAGACATGAACAGTTGATCTCACAAAGCACCAGAGGAGCAAAATGTCCCGACTATTCGGCTGCCGGCATGAGACTACATCTGGACCCAGCAAGCAGCACGTACATGTTACTTGAAACTTATCAAAAGCAGACAAACAATTCGAACGGAAAGACGCATTTCGTCGATTGTCTCCAATGAAAGCCGCTGGTGGCCCTTTCGAGTGGGAACGGAGGGCTCCTGCAAGGGCCAAATGTGATAGAAAGAGACATGCACTCACGAGCGCAGTAATGCAGGCAGGATGACCAGAATGCCCTTGTACCGCTTCTCACTTGTATAAATACCACATGTAGGTGGTCTTGTCCAGAGATATCAGACGCCATCCTTCAGAATTCATGTCCACGGCATCCCATATTTTGGCCAGACAACAGCACTAACAGCACTCTTTGCGCCCTCATCATGAAGCCTCAGTGGGCGTTATACATCTTGGCTGCCGCCAGCAGCGGCACGGCACAGTCTTCCTGGCAAGGCGCCTCCAAGAGGCTCTCCAAGGCCTTCAGCCATCGTCCCGAGGCCCGACAAGCCCAGGCACCAAAGGAGAGGGCATCGACTACACTCCCTTTGCTACCGACGACGCGCTTCCTTACTGAAGCCACCCAGAGTATGTTTCCCTTGCTGATACTGCTGCGTTGACTGATGACGGGCAGAGTTTGCCGTGAATGGCAGCACCATCCCCGATGTCTTGTTTGACATTGGCGAGTCGTACGCGGGCCTTTTGCCCTTCAGCAACAACACTGATGACAAGAGGAGCCTCTTCTACTGGTTCTTCCCCACGGCCAATCCAGAGCACCAAGCAAAAGAGGAGGTTACCATCTGGCTCAACGGCGGCGTATGTCCATGTCCCCCTGCACCCCTCTCCCCAATTCTTTACTGACATCGATAGCCCGGCTGCTCGTCTCTTCTCGGCCTCCTGAAAGAAAACGGCCCCTTCTTGTGGCAATCTGGCACGCCCGGCCCCCAGCCCAACCCCTGGAGCTGGCACCTTCTCACCAACATTGTCTACGTCGAGCAGCCCGTTGGCGTCGGCTTTTCCCAGGGCATGCCGAGCATCACCAACGAAGACGAGTTGGCCGCCCAGTTCATGGGCTTCTGGCGCAATTTTGTAGACCTCTTTGGCCTGCACGGCTGGAAGGTGTACATCGTGGCCGAGTCTTACGGCGGGTTCTATGGCCCCTACATTGCGAGCAACTTTATCGATGCCAACGATACGGACCATTTCAACGTGGCAGGCCTCATGGTCTACGACGGAATCTTCTTCGATGACAACCTGCAGATGAACATCCCTGCGCAGTCGTACATCGACCGCTACAAGGAGCTGTTTGCGTTGGACGATGCCGTCAGGGCCCGCGTGGACAGCGTCGCCAACGAGTGCGGCTTTACGTACTACTACAACCAGTATCTCATGTTTCCTCCCGCTGGGCCGCAGCCCTACTTCACTCCTGGCGTATCAATGCTGCCTGATGGTACTGTGGTCGTCAACGAAACGTGCTACGACTTGTGGGACTACATCACAGATGAGGTGTACATCAAGAACCCCTGCTTCAACATCTACAGCATTACCGACCACTGTCCCACGCCCTTGAACCCCCTTGGATACATGCCGTACTTCAACCGCGACGACGTGAAGAAAGCCATCAATGCCCCCGATGCAGTCACTTGGAAACTGTGCAACCAGCAGGTGTTCAATACGACCGATGGCCATGATACCTCTCCTCCATCAGGGCTGAAGGAGCTTCCGCATGTCATTGACAAGACACAGAATGTCATTCTCGCCCAGGGCTCCCTAGATTGGATCCTCGTCACAGAGGGCGTCCTTTTGGGGATCCAGAACATGACCTGGGGCGGGCAGATGGGCTTCCAGAACCAGCCCCATCTTTTACGTGCCCCTCTACGGCTTCTATCCCTACGATATTGGCTACTGGGGCCACAACCTGCCGTCGGGATCGGGAGTCCAGGGAACGGTGCATACGGAGCGAGGACTCACGCTTGTGGCAATGCAGTTGGCGGGTCATGAAGGGCCACAGTATCTCGGCGCCGCGGCGTTTCGACAGCTCGAGAAGCTGTTGGGGAGAGTACAGGCTCTGAACAGCACGGAGCCGTTTACGCTGCCTGCTTTGCGGGACATTCCGCAGCTGCAAGAGCCGCTGGGAAAGGGAATTGTGGCTATCTTTTGAACGCGGAGTGATGGGAGCATACGAGAGCAGTAGAGGTTGGACATCTCATGCCGCAGGAGAGCAGTATGTCTTGGACAGGCTTATGCAGCATGCTAGAGTCAATGAATACACATGATGCGTGTTGTCTGCAGTGCTATCGGGAAAACAGTCGCCTCAACAGATGCCTCAGAACAACATTTCCTCCATTGTACCCCCTCAGTTGCTCTTGTTCAAAAATCTTGTGAGACTTGTAAGTGTAATCCTTGAGTTCTTGGACAGACTTGAACACTTTTGGAGGTTTGTTATCCTCAGCTTCTTCGCCCCCATTTCTTCCCCAGTGAATCAAGTCAACTATGTTGACATGTGTGTTTCGAAGAATCTGGTGTCTACATCAGCAACGTTGCTCTAAGCTAAGGATGAGACCCAATGTAACGGAAACATCAAACGTACAGCTTCACATTTCTTAATCTCTTCAGGCGCATCACGTCGTCCCACAGCCCGACAAAGCGTTCTCCAAGCCCTGGGATCCTTTTCGTGGCCGAAATACAGTTCGAGTTCCTTGGCGAGGGCCTTTTGGTACCGATCCCAGGCATCACGACCGGGGGCGTCCTTTTTAGGCCTGGGCTGCCAGCCTCGGGAGGACGCCACCTGCTTCCAGGATTCGATTGGAGATCTGCCGGGTTTGTATCGGAAGGACTGGAATGAGGAGAAGAATTCGTCGAGGGGGGTTTCTGGTCTGGGCTTGGATTTGAGGAGGTGGGAGGTCACTCGGAAAGCCATCGTGGACAACCTCACGCCTGGTCAACGTCGGCAAGCAGAAAAGGCAGAGTCATAGAGGGAGAGCAAGGTGAAGTATGAGGAAGATTATGAAAAAGAAGAAGTAGAAGAAGAATAGATAAGAAGAGAAGTATAGGTAAAGTAAAGGTAAAGTGAAGGTAAGTAAAATGGCAAACATGCAATTAAAGCTTTCTGCCTCCTTTTATCCTTTCATCTCAGGCAGCAAATGTACCTAACGCAGATGACCTGGCACATAGGTAGGTATACCCCTCGAGGGGCGGCTGTGAGGGGGGGGAAACGGTGAGCTGGTTTCGTGTTTTGGTTGGTTATTTGTGTAACTCGTACATGCAAGAACACGTCGAGTTAGTGTACACGTCAAAGGATATCTGCGGTACCTTACTTGCCAAGATGTCGTTGATGATCTATCTGAGGAAATACGGATCAATATTATCATGTAAAGCAGCCTCAAGTTGAAGCTCACATACACATTCATCGGGATTAGTACAAGGCTTTCAAGCTCACGGATGCAAGCATTCATTCGCGACATAACGCGCACACCCCAAATCTACAAAATATGTGCAGTTGTAAAATTTCGCCTCTTGATAAAGACCTCTATCAAAATATCTGCCTCAGCAAGAACTTCAACACTATATTTCGTCCCTCAGAGTTCTTCGTCTGGCTCTTTGGGAAAATCTTGTTGGTACTCCGAGTGTACTCGCTCAGCTGTGCCATGGACCTGAACACTTTGACTTTCTTGCCGCTTTCTTCGCCCCCCCTTTTAGCCCAGTCGACCAAGTCCACAATGTTGACGTGAGTCTTTTTCAGGATCTGTTGTCACATCAGCTTCCCCATCTCACTTACCCTTCCAAACAAATCATCCATCATCTGAGCAAAAGGAGAAGGGGGGGAAAGGGTATAGGCAAAAACATACGGCCTTGCATTTCGAAATCTCATCAGGCGGATCCTCACACCCCACAGCCCTACAAACCGTCTTCCAAGCAGCAATATCGTCGATATCGCCAAAGTAGAGCTGGACTTCTTTGACGAGGGCCTGTTGGTACCTCTTCCATGCCTTTTTCATGGGCGGGTGGTCTTTGGGCTGCTTGTTCCAGGACTTGAACGCGCAGAGGGCCTTCCACGAGTTGACGGGCGACTTGGCGGGGTTGTGGACGAAGCCCTGGGGGGCGAAGGAGAAGAAGAAGGTGTCGAGGGGTCCATTTTCTTTGGAAGAGGATTCTGGAGGGGGGGCCATGGAGGTGGTAAATTGGATGGGTTGAATGATGGGCTTGATAGTTTGATGAGGATTGAGGAGAGAAGGTGATGTTTGGTGGGGACAAGGTTGATGGATGGGGGTTGATGGGATATTCTAGGGGTAAGGTTCGAGGAGATTTGAGGCTACCTTACGCTGAATCTTTCCGAGAGATGTAGCAGTAGGATGATGAGTGGAACATCAATGTGGTCTTAAAACAAACATAAACTGAGAAGAGGAAAAGAAGAAAAAAAAGAGATGGCCATGGATGCAGTTACGACATGAAATAAATAGCGATTCGCCTCATCCTCGTCTTCTCATCAGGCAGCAAAGCCACCATAAACATAAACACCCAAAGGCACGCACACACAACACCACGACCAAACATCCAATAATATCACAGGCTTGCTCAATCACCCAATAAGTACGTAACAAGTCTGACCCCATGTCCCAATGGTTCATACATGACAGCCTTGTCAACAGCCCTGACGCGCGGAAAGATGCGGCTTTTCACCGCCGACGGGGATTGGTTCATCTATTTTGATGAGGGAGGGGGGAAAGTGTTGTGTGACTTTCCTTCATGCAAGACCGTGTGTATACTTGGCTTTCATGTTTGTACTTCTACCGCCTTTGAAGCCAAACGAGTGATTGGCTTCGGTGGTTCAACTCTGGATGAGGTATTCATATGAACGGCTTGAAGGATCCATCTACCTAGATGGAGATTGATATATCAAGGTTACTCCTGACGACGGTGGCATCTACATTCACAGTCTCATTCGGCATGACTTTTCGTCCAAGACAAGTACACTCGTATGCGGGAGGCCTACAAAAACATTTGCATCTATACAAGGAGGCATACGCCCACGGAGAAGCATCAAGGCCATTGCAGGGAGACCTACAGCATGATGGAAGCATTCACGTCATTCAGCACGGGACATTCACATGATAGTATAAGAATTACCGGACAACTTTCTGCAAAGCACTTCATTCAACCAAGCCACTATGCCAAACTACATAACCCCCAACCAGTCTGTCCAGACCGCCGCCCATTCCAAGCACCAATCATCAGGTAATCAAGCAGGACTGGCTGGATCTCCCATACTGCCACTTCCGCCGCTGCCACTGCCAGTGCTCCGTCGACTATCGTGCATGCCGAACCGCTTCGTGTACAGGGGCCTTCGCGACATGTTCATGCCGACGGGAGACCGCGGCTCCTCGTCGCTCGGCTGGGTGAAACCGCTGACGTCGCTGAGCATGCTAGAACTGCGGCCGCGCGATTTGGCGCCGCGCAGCTCAAACGAGGTCATCGGCGGCGATTGCCACGCGGCAAGCCCAGGGGGCGCGTGGGACAGAGGCGTCGACGAGTGGTTGTTGTCGGCGGCTCCCCAGTAGTTTACGCTCGACGGAAAGTGCGCGGGGGCGGCCGGGTTGGGGTTCCAAGGAGTCTGCGGTTGCATTTGCTGCTGCTGCTGGGGCTGCGGAGAGTGAAAGGGAACGTGGACGGGAGCGGAATCGAGCATGCCCATGTCGGACAGGCCAGCGGCCTGGCTCATGTAGCTGCGAAGGGCCTGCACGTCCGCTTGGAGACTGCGGAGATGCTCGGCCTTCATGTTGTTGGACGCATACGCCTGCGCCAGCTGGTCATTGTACGTCTTGTCCTGGTTGACAACCTGCTCCTGCCAGCCGGCACGCTCACGCTTCCGCCGCTCCACCTCATTCAGCCCCCGATTGTTTGCATCCGTAATGTTGGCGAGCTCGTTCTCCACCTTGGCAATGCGAGTGGCAATCTTGTTCCGCTTGGTATTGAGGTTGCTCTTCTCGTTGTCCTTGGACTTGACCTCGCTCTCCAGCTTCGCCTTGTACTCGCGGAAACTCTTCTGAGCCGCGTCATAGAGCTTCTTCTCAGTCGAGTACGACCGCTCCGTCTTCTTCTTGTTCTCGAGAAGCTCCGGCGACGCGTCAAACTTCTTGAGCTGCTCCGCGAGGGCTGCCGTCTCGCGCTCGGCCTGGGCCTTTTGTGTTTCCTGCTGGCGAATCTTTTGCCGATACTTGTCGTCGCTGTGGCCGGCCGAGGCTAGCTGATTGTCCGTGAGCTCGTTTTCCTTCTTGATGGCGTTGATCCTTGACTTCCACTCCTTGCGCCACGTCTTGAGGCGGTTTTTTTCGTCGTTGAGCTTGACTTCGGCGGCGGCGATCGAGATGCGTAGGGTGGTGGCGGGGGAGTCGGGCTGCAGCGACTGCTGCGAGCCAGACACGGTGACGGGGGCATTGTTGTTCTCGGGCGTGGGTTCTTTGATGGTCCGGATGCTCGTGGTGAAGATGACCTTGTCAGTTTGCGTGTCCACAAACTCACAGACGTACTTGGACAGCGGGCGAAGGCCGTAAATGTCTCCCGTCCAACGGGTGCCACCTCGACCACCATCGTCCGCTTCGACAACAGGAAAGATGCGCGTGGGCTGCCAGAATGCGTTATTCAGTTTGACGTAGAAGGGCTTGGACGTGTCGACGCCGGCCGGCCGTGTCGAGGCGGAACCGTTGGCGTTGGATGATTGCTCGTCGTCGAAATCGGGAAAGTGACTGGTGTTAAAGCATACTTCGTCGCTACCGATATACGATATCCATATCTGCCTGGGCTGGGTGTTGAACGGCGCGTTTCCGAGGTTGTGAATGTCCGTCGTATTGACGCCGAGCGATTTCGACGGCACGTGGGACGACTCGTATTCCTTCATGACGACAATCTTGGTGCTGGCGAGCGCGGCCCAAAGCGGCTGCTGCAGCCTGACCTGGGTGCTTTGCTTTCTTCTCTTCTTGTTCGTGGAGGCGGGGGGCGGGGGCAGCGGAGGGGATCCAGCCTCCGGGTCCGGAGTGTTGAAGCCGGTGTCGTGGGCAATCTCGCCGTTGATGGAGATGGTGGCCACGGGTTTGCCTGCCTCGGGGTCGTGCTGGCCGGCCGCTGCGTTGGCCTTCTCCCGTCTCAGGTACCACTCACGGATGTACCGAACGAGCCCCTGGGTGAGGATGTGAATGGCCAGCCCGCTTCGCACCCACGCAAACGCACTTCTCTTATCGTGCGAGACGGACGTCGACTCAAAGGTGCTGCTGATGGCGGATGGCACCTGCCAGTCCTCGGGAATGTGTCTCGCGAGACGGGACCAGTGGGTTCGCGTGCTGCGGATGAGGTGGTTGGCGACGATCCAGACGAAGCAGGTGGTGAGGCCGCGGGAGCCGCCGTTCCGGTACGTGGTGCCGCCGCCGAGGGTGATGGCAATGATGGGCTTGGCGAGGTCGAGGATGGCATCCTGAATCGGCTGCCACAGGAACAGCCAGATGAGGAGGAAGAAGAAGTCCATGCAGAGCACGGTGACGAGGGACGGCATGGTGGAGTGGCCGTCGAAGATTTCGGCAAAGTTGAGGTTGATGCCCGAGCTGGTGGTGACGGGGGGCACAAAGGTCAGACAGGTAAAGATGCCGTAGATGATGGAGAGTGAAAGGGTCGGCAGCTGCATGAGGATGATGAGGATGGCGAGCGTGTCCTGCATGGGCAGCGTCTTGAGGACGGTGGCGACCATGTCGATGGGCCCCGAGTCGCGGTGGACATCGGCGTTCTTGAGGGCGTTGACATCGATCTGGCGGTGGCCGGCGTCGGCGGCGGCGGCATTGGGACCAGAGCCCAGGTGGGAGGTGCACGATTCCGACGTCGACGTCTCCGAGTAGTTGCCGACAGAGGCCCTACGCCCATCGGCCGGGCGGTCGTGGAAGTCGATGGCGGCCTTGGACACGCCGTTGGGCAGCACAAACTGCGGCCCTGCGTGGCCGGCGCCATGGTCGGCCGGCCTCGCAGGGCCCTCGGCGTGGTTGAGGCCCTTCCTGCCAGTGACTCGTTTCGCCGGGGCTACGAGCCCATTCTCCTTGGTGTCGCGATGACCGGCGCCAGACTGTCGCTTGCTCGATCCCGATGCGCGAGGCATGCGCGGCTGCTCTTCTCTCCCCCCACTGACTGCCGGGCAACCCTGGGGACCTGTCTCGAGGCCAGGGCTAGCAGCAGCCGGGAAGGCGGTTTGACTCTTCTGCTTCCTTTCTCCTCGCTCTCTTCTTCTCTCTCTCTCTCTCTCTCTGCTCAATTTGCGCGTGCGGTTCTGCGGTCTATGGCGGATGCAGGAGGACTTCGTTTGCGTGGGTGGGGGGAAATGCGAAGTCGTTGACGAAAAGGGATTCCCTCAGTGCTTCTTCTTCCGGGATGCGGTCGTCATTCGGCCGTGCGTTATCGGTCTGCGGCTCGAAAAGCGAACGGAAACCACTCTACACGGCAACAACAACGTGCCGCTCGTATTGGCGCTGATCGAAAAGGCTGATCGTCCTGGCGGCTTGTTGCGAGGATGTTCGGGGCTGAAGGAGTGAGATTTCGACCCCCCAAAACAGAAGCTGCTGGAAGTGGTGAAGGAGGCGAAGGGGGAAAAAAAAAAATCCTGAGCGAGTCTCGCCCGCGGGCCGGGGAATATCAGAGCGTGCTAGAGGGGGGCGGGTGCCGTTTTGCAGGGCTTGCAGCGCCAGAGCTCCAGGGCCTCTGGACGGGCTTCCAGGGCACAGCAGCGCTAGGGCGGGCCCTGGATCTACCGTCTACAGCGCGCTAACGGGGCTCTGTGGGGATGGAATGGAGTTCAGAAGCGTCACATGTACTTTATACTTGATGCGCTTGGGCAAACGGCAGAAGCAGCTTTTTGCCTCTTCCTCCTATTCCGCAGGCGATATGCCGGAAGGCAATGGGGCGATGGCGATGGGATCAAGGTTAACTGGACGATACAGCGGATTTTCTCATCGCTTCTGCGCTGACGCAATCCTCCAAGGCCAGAGCCGCGACGCAGACGCCCGGGGATTGTCGTGCATCGATTAGCATCTGATGGAGGTACTTTTTGCCGGAGTATTGCTGCTAGCACGGCTTGGAGACTTGCCAGCTGCTTAGGGCCGGCGAATGCGTACAATCCGGGTCAAGGGGTACCAGGAGGCAAAGTACCGAGGCTACACGCGCCTCTGGCGACGCCTCGTCGTTTTCTGACACATGGTGAAGACTAAACTCACAGCAACAGCTGACAACTCACGTATCGCTGGAGAATGGCAGAGCTCATACAAGTGACAGTATACCTTGGTGCCTAGGACGAAGTATATGCCGACTACTAATTCACATGTTGGCCGCGGCACAATGGCCAGCAGTCGCTGCAAGCGCGGCAGCTAACGTAGTAGACAGGGGAGGGTGATGGTTGTCTACAGTAGTCTCTCCCTGCAGCATTTCGGCATCGCAGCCACCTCCGTGGGCCGTCTCTGCGTCTCCGTCATGCCGTGGCACAAGCACGAGTACATACGAGCAATGCTGAAGATCTTCGAACATGTAGATAGCAGCAATCCGAGACTCAACCATCAGTTTCAGCACCAGCTCCAACGCTCAACTCCCCGGAGTTGCCGGATCCGCAGCTCACAGCAACAAACAACAACTAGTAGTAACAAGCGATTGGAACTCAGGTCCCTTTCAAATTCTCACCGGGCGTCTTAGCGCAGCAGCTGAGGTCTCATGTCCTGGCAATTGGCCACGTCGGGACTTGCGTTGAGGCTGTCGGCTGTTGGAGCCCGGAAAAACTGTCGATTGGCTGCCGCGGAGGCTAGAGAAGGTTAAGCTTTTTGCCAGGCGGTACTTGGGCGACTGCTACCGGGTACGTACCGCAGAAAGGAGGGCCAGCGGCAAGGGATCTGACGTCGTGCCAGCCCCTGCCGAGGGACCCCAGTCAGCATCTGCTGTTGGGCGGGCAAATATGAACTTAGCTGTAGTAGTTGTAAGTGAAGACAACACAGACACTTGCTGCTTCGTCTGTTGCGCTTGTTCAAACTGTACGATGAGCACTCAAAGTTCAGTCAAGTGCAAAAGGCAATATGAGAGATATACTATCTCCTGGCCATAAGCATCAATTCGCTCATCATCTCATGCTGCCAGCCAGAACATCAAGCCAATCACCATCGCTCACACGAAAAGGGCTGATGGGCACGCGCTCTGTTTCGGACGCTGCAAGCGCCAGGGCCATACTGTAGATGTACTCGGTACTTTTGATACCCGTACACCATCTCGCTTCAACTCCCGTTTGCATGTGCAGAATCGTCTCTTTCATCTCCCCGCTTTCAGATGCTTGTCTCGGGAGTCTCAGACCTCATCCTGTCCAAAGAATGGCAACTTAGGAGAATACACAACCGGCTAATATTTCCCTCGCCCTACCACAGCTACTCAAAGCTGGTTTTCTCGCCTTCCAAACGCTAACAAGAAGAGAAAAAATGCGGCCGCGATGGAGCCTCTAATTTCCCTGGCACCAAGCCTTTTGGCGGCCTTTCGCAGCGATCACACCAGAAGTGGGGGTTCCAGCAATCGGAAACACACCGACGACGACGAACAAAGTCCGTCTTTTACGTACGAGTGCTGTATCTACAGTACATGCGGACATCCCTGGAATGCCTGACCGCGGTGGGAAAAAAGGGAGTCGAGTCACGAGTGCAGCCTCCCCTTGCCATGCACTTTTCCACTTCTGACCGCTCCTCTGCTTGTTGTCGTTGGCTGCTTTGTTCTTGAACGACAAGGCGGCTAACGTAATCGGCGATCGATACAAGTCCAAGAAGAAGCTCAGTTCAGCCTCTCAGCCGCCAAACACTACACCAAATGATTACAGAGTCATCGCCAATCTTCTCTGCCTGAAACGTACACAAGAGAGGCAGAGACAGAGAGACAACGCCGCACCCTCCACAACACCAGCACAAACGGACATCGGCTACCCGCCGCATGCTCATTAATTCATCCGGCAGCACGCAATCATGATGATACGGAACACCTCTTTTGACATGCCGGAGCGAAGGATGCTGTGTCACCACACCCGTTGCTTACAGCAGAGCAGGGTTATGTACTGTATGAGGCTGCCTGCCCCTCCCTTCGGCTCTCAATACCCCGCGATAGTATCCAAAACTGATCATCGTCGACTATTGCCCAATCCTTACGTCGAATCCCTTTTTTCAGAAAACGCCGGACGAGCGGCTCGTGACACTTTGTAGTCGATTTTTCTTTTCGTTCATCGTGGTCTTTGCGTGAAAGTGGTGTCATTTGCGATTGAACCGGTTAGACGACGGCATTAAGATTGCGGCTCCGATGAGACTAATATCATGCTTTTTTATTCCCGCGATATTCGCCCAAATTCAGAAACTCAATGCTACGGCCCTCAGGACTCAATGCTACGACTATCTTGTAACCACCCAGATCGATACATGCATCGAAATCGAACACAAACCGACATCCTTTTTCCCCCCGGGTGATTATTCGAGCTCGGCAGTTCGTATCCTGCTACTTCGTGTGGTGGTACAGAATACTACTCCCCTTCTCCGCATATCGCTCTCCCATCTGCCGTCGGCCAATGGGCCTGCTGGCCATGATTCTACATAGGCGGCAGATGAGGGGTCTTGCATTGCAACACACGGACTGATCGGTCTGCAGCTGCACGGGCTGAGTTGCGAGGGGTGCACAAGTGCGAAAAGTGACAGCGCGGTAATTTGATGCGGGTGGCTGCTTTTCGTCTGCCGGCACGCGGTGTCTACACCGTCGCGCTTCGTTATCGCGGAAGCTCATCTCTTATGCCAATTGATGTTTCCTCCCCTAGGTAGTTACTGTCCAGCACGAATTCCTCTCACATCGGTCATACTCACAATAACCCAGCATGTATACTTGTATCATTTCCTCGATTCTTCGTTGCAGGCACTTAGACAGTACCAGTAGTACTCGGCCTCGTCTTCTTCCTCTCCCCCCAATTCCTCTTCTCCTTATCCTCAAGCCTCTTGGCCTCCAACTCCGCCGCCCTGTCCGCCCAAGCACTCCGCTCGATATCCCACAGCGGCTGCATCACCCTGCTCACCACGTCCTCGAATATCGCGCCCTGCGCCTCGTCGCTGGCTCTCCTCCGCTGCTTGAGCTTTCCGTTGCCCCAGTACGGCGTTACACCAACCTCTTCTTTCGTGTCCTTTGCATCGTTTGAGTCGTCGTTTTTGGTGTGCTTTAGAATCAGGTAGTCTACTCTTGCTCCTCCCACGTAATTACTCGATCCAACGGTGAAGAAGCGTGTCTCGCCGATGGTTAGCCCGCTGATGCGGTTTACGCCGATGGTTGTAAAGGACTCAATGGGCAGGTGCCGTGGTCCATCGACGGTTTTCTGTATTTCAACATGAGCTGTAGTCCTTAACCAAGAGTGTGAGAGCTTGAGAGTGTCAGGTAATCGTACGCTGATGATTCCGCGTGGAGGTGGTGACCCCGGAACGATAATTTGTGTTTCCCGCATATCAATGTCCTTTGCGGTCTTGAGCTCCGGTATTCTCTCTGTGAGGATCTCTTCGAAGCGTGTCGTTGCAAGTCGTAGTATCGCCGAAGGCTTGATATTCCCAGTCTGTTTCCCCCCTCACATCAGCCTTTCGTCCACACCCGATTCACCATTCCAACCTTTCACGACAGATGCGCCAAGTCAAAAAGGCAAACTCACCCTCTTCTCATCCAAAGCCTTATATAAATCCCCATGCATCAATTCTGGTTCTCTCCGCCTGATAACCTCCCCCTCCCACGCATCCAGCCTCGCGACCAATCCGCCCTGTCCTCCCCAAGCAACAACCTGTTTCAGGACATCCCCTATCCTGCGGACCTGGTCGACGGAGCAGCCCACCCAAACGAGCACCCCGAGGTCGTGGTAGAGGTGGATGGCGCTCTGCTGGAGGGCCTTGGCGGAGATCTGGGGCGTCGAGGGCCCGCCGATGGGGATCTCGGCGAGGCGGCGCGGGCGCAGGGCGAAGCGGGTTAGGGTTGGGAAGACTTGGAGTGCTGGGGGGAGGTTTGGCATTTTTCTGTTTTTCTGTTCTTTTCTTCTTCCTTTTTTCTCTCCTTCAAAGATGTCTGAGAGGGTGGATCGATACGTCGACGATGAGGAATTGCGAAGTTGAGGGGAGAGGCGGTATATACGAGAGCGCAATTGGGGTTTACTGTTCGTGGAGGATATATGGAGGGTCAGAATGAAAGATGTTGAAATGGCGGCGAAATCGCAACGTTCGATGCGTGGAAGTGAAAGTGGCGCTTTGAGCATTGTTCAGCCTTGCATGTATGCGCTGTGATAGGCTGAAGCTGCTTTAGCTTCGTAGAGGTTTGGGCGGGGCGGTGATGACATTGTTTTCCGTTGTCGAGCTTGGATAGCTCAACTTGCAACTTCCTGGTGTGCTTGTAATAGCGAATACCTCTCTACCTACCTACAAGCATCGATGAGGGACGCAGCACGATGAGTGTGAACCATGAAATGAGGAGGCAGGTCATTGCCATATACAAAGGTCCGTAAAACCACATCTATGCTCCTCTACTCTGGCAATATGTTTTGGTATCTCATTCTATCGAGTCTTCATCGTCATAAACTTGCCGAGGCTATCTTCATCCTCTTCATCATAGCCTCACCACCAGAACCTCAGACACCAAACCAAAACCTCAAACCGCGCACACGATTTGATGCACAAGCCTATATATAACAACTCACAGGCCCATTTTAAAGTTCATGGCTGAAATGATTTTGTGTCCAGAACTCCTTTACTTGGGCCGCGAATACCCTTTGGGATACGGCTACTTCCGTCCCCGCCTCCACAAGGCATTCATGTCCCGCGCCGGGGAAACAGACGAGGATAAGATTCGGACAGGCATTAAGCAAGCCGAATACGTAAAGAAAGGTACCATAGTGGTTATTCAGCCAGTCCCAACATACCATGTCCAGCGTTGAAACAACGTGTATTGACAATATTGCAGAAATAGAAGCTTTGTAAGAATCCCCCATCGTCACGACGAACTCATTGGGATCCAGACCATGAAGTCACATACATGATTATAACAAGAGGGCAAAGCGGCTCACGAAAGAAAACCCAATCACATCCACAACACCAAAAGTTTTGAATTTAAAGAAAAAGTTGGGATAATGGCAAACTCAATCTCCAGCGGCTAACTCTCGCCGGGATTATAGGTACTACTTGAAGCGGTATCGCACACTGCGCAAACGATATGACAGCGACGCCTGAGTTCGTGGAGAAAAATAAATACGTATACATCTCTCTTGGACTGAGAAATAAGGAGGAGTTGTAACGGATAATAAGGGTTTGAAGCTGCCGGGACAGATGTAATAAAAACAAGAGAATCCCTCCCCGCTAAACTCGCGGCCAATAGATGCACACAATGTAGAGAATCATATATCCAAAAGTGTTCTTTTCCTCCGCCAGAAGCAATAAACAAAAAAAAGGAAAAATGTCAAACTTGTTGGCCCAAAATGGTTGCTCCGCATAGATCAATCGGCTGCCATCTTGTTCCCTTCTCTTACCCACTCGCCTTCTTCTTCTTCGCATACCAAGCCCCAAATTCGAGACACTCCCCCAGCGCCGTACCGCTCTCGTCCATCAGGTCGCTCATCATCTTGGTCAGCCACATGTCCCACTCGTCCTGGCTCTTGCCGCTGACCTCGCGCAGGATGGGCTCCAGAGCCTGAATCTCCTGCACCTGGGTCAGCAAGGCCGTCTGGCGCAGCGCAATCTGCCCCGGCGTCAGCGTCTTCTTCTCCACCCTCGGCGTCGGCGGCTCCTTGCCCTTGGACTCGGGCTTGGCGTCGGTGGTGACGACACCGCCGATGCCCTCCTTTTCCCAGCGGAACTCGCTCAGAGGCAGGGCTATTCTTCGCGAGCGGACGTCGCCCAGGGTCTCGTACTCCTGCAGCAGCGTCGGCCCAATGACCGTGCACGGCAGAGGGTTGATGTCGAGCCGCTCCAGCGCGCGCGACAGCCACGAGTTGTATTCGGCAATGTAGTTGTTGGAGGGGACGGAAAGCGGCGTCTGCGGGTTGATGACGTAGGCGCCGAGGCTGGCGGCGGCGGCCTGCTCCTCGGCGTCCTCGACCGAGACGGTGGACGTGGGCACATGGGGCCGCAGGCTTCGGATGGCGTGGTCCGACTCCCACACCTCGAGGGTTCCGCCCGGCTTGACCATGCGCACGCACTCTTCGATAAAGGACGGCATCATCTTGTTGGTCACGGCGTAGCTGACGTCCTTGACCATGACGAGGTCGAATTCGTCCGAGGCCACGGGCCAGGGCATCTGGCGCAGGTCGTGCTGGATAAACCGCCACTGCATGTCGGCGCCGGGCTTCATGGCGTCGTTGGAGGTGCTGGAGCTGTTGTCGGGGGCGAGCGGCGCGATGTCAATGCCGGTGAAGGAGATGCCGCCGTGGCCGCGGCTCTTAAAGTACTGATGGCACATGGTGCTCCAGAAGCCCGATCCGCAGCCAATCTCCAGGACGCGCTGGGGCGGCTTCTTAATCAGGCCGGGCGACAGCACGGGGGCGCCAATGACCTGGATCAGCAGCAGCGTACGCAGGACCTGCCTGTGGAGCTCGGTGAGGTCGGAGGGCAGCGGGTAGGCCAGCGTGTGGTCGTTGAGAAAGGTGCGGCCATTGCGCTGGACAAAGGGCCTCGCGAGGAGCAGGCCCTCGGTGGCGGAGGGGTCTGTCGAGAGGATGGTGCGCGACGACGTCGACGTCTGGCCGCTGGCGGACGAGATGGACTCGGCGCGGCTGGTGGGAAAGCCCGTCATTTGTCTGAGGGCGGAGGACGACTTGTTGGGGTCCTGGTCTGGCAGCGACGCCGCGTTTGCATTTCTTCCCGCGGCTGCGACTGCGGCATCGACGACGGCAGAGGCGCTGCCGCTGAGCCTGGCGCGATGCAGGCGGGAGAGAGTCCTCGAGGCTCTGCTGCTGGACTGGGTCGGGGTCTGCGCGACGGCGGGAGAAGAGGGAGGAGGGAAGTGGGAGGAGGAGGAGGAGGCGGCGGCGGCAGAGGCTGAAGCTGCTGGCGCTGGTGCTGATGATGATGATGGTGGTGATGAGCTGGCGCCAACGCTGGTGCTGATTTTGCCGACGCTGGGCTTGGTGGTGGTGGTAGCGTTGATGGTCCCTGCAGCGCTGGTGTTGGCGGTAGTAGCAGTGCTGGTCGCAGCGGTGTTGGCGCCGGAGCTGGTCGCTGAGGTCGCTGGACTGAGCCGCGGGCTGGCGCTGTCGAGCCCCACGGAGGCGCTGGCGGCGGGGCCGTGGGCGCTGGAGCTGGAGCTGGACAGCTGCGAGTGGCTGCTGGAGCTGCGCGAGTGTCGCTGCGAGCTGGAGCTGGGCAGCGTGGGAGCGTCCGACGTCGAGTTGGGGCGCCGGGCGTGCTTCTCTCGCCGCGCGGTCCTCGAGGCTCTGTTGTCGAGGGGCACGGGCGCGCCCACCTTGCTGGAGTAGAGGTAGAGGGCGGCGTACGTGTAGTCGGACATGGTGGGCGGTGGGCCCAGGTGGTCACCTCACCTCACACGTTGACTGACAGCGGTTCGGGGGGCCTGTCGTGTCGTATCCCGTCGTGTCCTGGGCTGTGTCGCAGGTGGCATCAAGCGACAAACGGGGGGCGGCACAGGCCTCTGGAGCACTGGGCAGACGAGGATGTCGGTCCGTCGTACGGTATCCTCGTACGGTGCTCGGGGGGGGAGCTCAGTGCTTCCGCAACCGCTTCGCAAAAAAAGGCGACTCGTCACGACTCGATGCCGGCCAAGGTGCCCGCAATTTGCACCCCTGGGCTTGCTGCTGCAGTCCAAAGGGGTTTTCGCCCGCTGTGGCGCCAGTCCTGTCTTCAATATCTCCGGTCGTGTCCAGGGGCGCACAGCAAACGCAGGTTTCCTGCTTCTTGGCAAGAAAAATGAAAACAAGAAAAAAATGACCGGCCGGGGCTGTCAAGCACTTTCAACAAGCGACTACAGCCAGCGGCAGGGTTCGGCGCGTATCCTCCCGACTTGTCGCCGCGTTTCGAGTCGTCTGTCAAGTTCAATCTCTCAACTCCAATTCTCTTTGATTGCCCGGACTGCCTCTCCCATGCATGCAGACTCCGCTCACGGCCTTGCCGGGTTGCTGCGCGGGCCAATCAGCGCCGCCTGCTGGTTGGGCGAGGCTCACCAACGCCGGCGATGCCCTCTAGGGGACGCTGATCCGGCCTTCTAGAACGATTCTGAGACCGCGGAAACAAGGGCAGTCGGTTCCGGCGCACAAGCGGAAGACTTGCTCTCTGTTTGGGCCGACAAGCGCCCGGTCAACCAAATGGGCCAGGTCGAAGTTGTCCTCTGTCCTTTGTCCTTCTTTGTCTGTTGCTGTTGGTGCCCTGTGATGCTGTTATTCCCTGCCCCTCGAGCCTGTCCCGTCGGACAGCAAATTGCCTCGCTGGGCCTGTCGCTCTGAAACGGCCGGTGTGGACGCCCTTCTTGCTGTGCGTGATGGGCTTGCAATGGGCGACCTGACTTGGCGCTCGATCGTCTGTGCAGACGCGATCACGACCTGATGTGGTGGCAGTGATGTGCGCAAAAGGCCTGGATTTGGCAGCTGCCCGTAAGCAGAACCGACACCTTTGCGCAAGTTCCTTTTGGCGGCCTGGTATTCTGCCGCGATGGCGAGAAACGTGGTCGTTCCCTTGCTGTTTTCGTCTATGAAGTTGCCACGCGCTGTCCGGGTTCGTGTCCGGTATCCCTTGTCGTTCGCTTCTCTCAGGAAATCCCCGGTTTGAGGGCCCTGGCGCGGTGCTAGCAGTATGTAGCCGTAGAGTGTACGATGTTGTCGCTCCAGCCAACGCAATTGCTGTATCAACACGTCCTATGTATGGTAACGGTTCGACAAGACGTATCCAGGAACCAACCGAGTCTGAAGAATGCTCGCCAAAGTAGATGTCGCAGGGTAAACCGAGCTTCTCCGCGTTTCAACCTGCTGCAAGCTGTCGGCGTCACACCCCAAGCTCTCGGTCGTGTGCCAGACGGCGCGTAAGATTGCCGTTTGTCTTGAGCAGCGCTGCAGCACTCGCTCCATCACCGTGATGCAACGGCCAACATGGATCCCCAGCCGCGCGTCGGATTGGCAGCCAAATCGCACAAACTCCCGTCAGAAGCTTAACGGCGCAAGACTGGAGAAACCAGAGGGTCAGACGTGGTGCCAGTCGTGCACGGTGGTGTGCGCGTCGATACAACCGACGATGCAACGATCGATGCAACGATCCAGCGATGCCGATGCCGGGACGCAACGAGGTCCGTGGTGGAGGGACTCGGTGTCCTTCTTTGGCGTGTTAATAAGGCCTGTGCCGTCTTTGTTCGGCCCGTCACCTCGCAGCAGTGGTGGTCTGCTGTTCCTGGCCCGTCGACTCTGGGGATGCCGTATGCTTTAAGCGTCCGGGCAATCCTTCGCTTTCGATGGTCTCTGTTGCTGCTGCAAGGCTGCGCGGGAATTTCCTGGCTCTGGCTCTGGCTGACCGGCCTCTGTGTGGAGACGATTCGTATCTGTGCCGTTAGCGAGCCTGCCGCATCTGATCGACAAGTCGTTCTTATGCACTCGAGTCAGCGCGGCAGATGATTTGGAGATGGCGACTTCATGCGTATAAAAGCGACATGAGCAGAGCGCAAGATGGGGGCTGCTGGTGAGGCGAGGGAGAGGAAGAACTGAGAGGTGGAATGGGCTTGGTTTTGGGGGGACACATAGAAGACTGGAGGCGGCCAAACAAGTTCCGAAGTGAGCTCCAGCTCCAGCTCACGCCCGCCTCCAGCTCCAGCACTTCCACTTGCACCTATTTCTCTCTCATCAATCGCAAGTCCACCAGACGTCACACCGTTCTTTCGCCGCTCCGGAGCAAAGGACATGCCAAAGACGAAAAAAGATCCCTCCCGATTCCGCGCTGGATTCAATGCAATTTGGCAATCTGGTCCGGGGCCGCGGCTGGCCTGCCAGTGCTTATCTCGGCGTGTTGCTCTTCAGCCCATCCATCTCCATCGACCAGCCCCGTCCGGATCCCGCCACCGTTTATGCAGCTTCTGCTTTGTATCGATCTGGTGCAGCCACTTCGCCATCTCATCAAAAGTGCATTGAGAGTCATTTCTCTGCCTCCCTCTCCTATATCTTAAGGAAATGTCTCCTGCTATTTCTGGCTCTCTGCCTTGCTGGGTTTCGCCACTGCACCTCCTTTGCCAGCGACTCTGCTTCCAGCTGTTTCTCTCCGCTACAACTAACACAGTTGGTTCGCCATCCCTCCCACAAGTGCACCTGCAAACCGCCGGGGATTGTGTGGAGCAGACCGCACGCGTTTCCCCGCGTTCGTCGAGCTCTCTGGCCCTTTGTCTCCTCCATGCCTCCCGGTCTGTCTCCCTCGGCCAAATCGCTCTCGCGGCTAGCAAAATGGTCCAAATTGAGGGCCCGTGCAGAAGGTCGCTTCACCGTTTTGGTTGGCTGCAGCTCTAGTGAGTTCATCCAGGCTCTTGGCTCTTCCCGCCTGGATCCGCCCGTCATCCAAGCTGATTCCAAGCCTCGACCAATGAATACCCGACCAGTAGAGATTCAAGCAGAGAACATGCTGTCAGCAATCGATGCCTACGCTGGGCGAGCCATTGTATTCTTCTGGGACGAGTCCTGGTTTGTATGTCAAAACGCATTCATGATCAACTCGTCAGGCGAACGGATGAGGAGACCAGCTTCAGCATGCCGCGTTTCCGCACAGCTGGCCGCTACTCCAAGCACAAACCACCTCGACCATGTCATGAACCTAGCAGTCGTCGGTGCTACCATTGCGGTTCAATGGATCTGCGGCTCACCGAGCAGGTAGCCTCGTGACAATCCGGGGTCTCTCACCGTGGCCGATAAGACCCTCCTTTCTCGCAGCCAACCACGGCACACCTGTCCATGTCCTGTTGGGTTGACGTTTTATCCTTAGCCGATCAGTTCCCTCTATCGCCCTCGGACATGTTCCAGGAAAAGGCAGGCGAGCGGTAGAGGCGGATAGCTAGCTGATGATCACATGTGCATGCCGGCAAGAGACATGACGGGCCTGTCTTTGAGATCCAAGCCAACTTGCCGAGCCGTCACCGACTATCTGATTACTGAGACAACATATATGTGTATGCTCAATGTCCTTGGAGATATGATTGCGGAGTGTTGCGACGGACTTGACATTGTTTTACATAAGAGCTTTCGTCTGTAATGGCCGCTTTATGGAGGGGTTGGGGAGGTGAGAAGGAAGCGAACGGACAACGCATACAAGTAGAGCGTGCATCGCGACAAAAGTCTCGGAACCGGAGCCGAATGTGGAAGAACGCCCGTCGCCGGCATCCTCACCGTTGAGCTTCTTCCACAGCACACATTCCCATGTGAAAGAGACCCTGAGTGCTGAGGGCAATGTCTGTCAATGAACCACTGCGGGTTCAGATGTCGTGCTGGCTGCAGCTATTATGCAATGAATCAATGCTCGGGTGTGGCCCACCAGTTCATGGTTTCACGGCAACTTGCCTTACATGTGCTCAAAGAAATATGCCCGTGCTTTCATATCTGTTTACTTCACCATTCTTTCAACGAAGCGTTGGCTCAACCAACTGCCCAGAACATATCCAAAAACGGAGGAGCTGGAGGTTTTCGGCCATAGATGCAACTGAAAATGCCAGCGGCCGGCTATCGCTCAGAGCCAAGTCCCGTCCCACGCATAGCTGATACCTAGTAGAGTAGGTAGTAGTACGAGTACATATTGTCCGATGAATGCTCAGTGACGATGCAACCACGTCCAGATCGGGTGATGGACTCATCTCCTCGAGACGTCAAAGTGAGATCTGGGTGAAGCTACACAACATGCATCTCTTGCCTTACCTGGTACCTGGAACAATGAGCTGAAATGATAAACTCCAAGCCTCTCTGTCGTGATGATGGTTCAAGGCTTCAAGCCTCAAACTCAATTGTCTAACGCTGTCCTTATCGCAGCAACGCCACCGATAAGGCACGTGACTTGCAGCTCGCAGAGCCGGCGATGCGGAGCACCAGCGGCACGTGATTGCACCTTCTAGCTTCCTGACGCAGTTTGTCATCGCCAGCCGCTTCATCGTCAACTCCAAAGCGGCCGGATTTTTTCTCCTCGATATCGCCAGCCACTATTCTTCTCGCACCAGGTATTAGTTGCATCTTATCTAGTGACGACATATCTCAGTCTTGCGCTCGCTCGTTCTTGTATTTTTTTCTCATCTTTGTGAGTCGCCGTGCCGCCGCCGCGAGCGTGGCCCCTCCATTTTGCAGCGGGACCCTCCCCAATTCCCGCTTTCGTTCGCGTGTCCTGACCTTGAAAGACATTGGCTGACCTCTCTCTCCCTCACCAGTCGGCTTCCAGGTCGCAGCAGACTGTCTGCGCTTGTTCTATCCAGCCCTCAGTATCTTTTTTGGCACGACTCCCTCGCCTCTCCTGCCCTTGGCTCGCCGCCTTCTCGACGCTCCTTGTCCGATCAGAGCTTTACGCCACAGCCCCCCGAACCCCGCGGCTTGCTACTCCTCACCCTAGCCAGCCAGCGACGACGTAATCTCGAGCGTCAGCTGCCTGCTCATGGACAATTGAGGTCGACCCCGGCTTCGCTTTGATTCGACTGCGCCGGCCCTCACAAGTGCACATGTCACGGCTGTTCTCTCGCCGGTCCCATGCGCAAACGCGATATCCGTCCAGCGTCCCTCGTTTCGAACACCGCGTCTAGTGGAGAGCCGTCTTCCGCCTTGTCTACGACCCGGGCTCTGCCCCGACCCCCCTTCATCAAACACTAAACAACAGATGACATTCTGCTCCCGACTGGCTTGCCACGACAGACTTACCATCTCCCTCCTTCACCCCTACTCTCCCAATCGTCCAGCCTAGGCCACCCTCAGAACCGCTCGTCGGTGCGGTCCTGAACAGCCGCGGCTCCGAAGCCGACAATCGTAAAAAACCGTCAAGCACAACCTCTGAGGCATGTACTCACAAAGCCACCAGCAGGGACACAATGCCCGGTTGAATGGGGCAGGGCGGGGGATGCCCAACATGCTGTACAATTTCCAACAGCATGCGCAGCATCAGCACCCCTCCCAGCCCCAGCATCACCAAGGGCTGCAACACGACCATATGCTCCAGGGCGCCAATGGGCTGGGCCATCACTCGTCTTTCGCGTCTGGACTCCTCTCAACCTCGGCCAGCTTCAACTCCGCCTCTCTCTCCAACGGGCACGCAACCAATGCCCGAGCCGGGCAGGCTCCGCAAAATGAAATGTGGCAGGAACAGCTGCGGCTGCACAAGGAGGCTGAGAGGGCGCACTCCGCCATGACAGAACAGCAGCAGCCTCACTACTATGCAAGACTTAAGGCGTCGGAGAACAGGGGCATCGGTGGCCCGCCTCCCTCCAATGGCAAGACCCAGGCAGACAGCGAGAACGACCCGGCGGATATGAGAAGGCCGTTGAACGTGGAGAAGGGGACGACTCGCCAGGACTGGCACAACCTGGACATGAGCGGCCAGGGATTGCGAAATCTTGCCTCGGAGCTCTTCCGGTACCAATTCCTCAACGAACTCTACATCGCCTCGAACAAGCTCACTCGCCTTCCCAACGCTATAGGAGAGCTGCGCCAACTGCGTCACCTTGATGCTTCTTTCAACCAGATCAGCGAGCTGCCCCCGGAACTGGGCATGTGCACCTACCTGAAGCAGTTGCTCCTTTTCAACAACAACCTCCAAGAGCTGCCCTTTGAGCTCGGCTCTCTTCATCAACTGGAAATGCTAGGCATAGAAGGCAATCCTTTGGAGCCGAGCATAAAGCAGGAAATCATGGAAAAGGGCACCAAGAGCCTGATTAATGCGCTGATGGAAGGAGCTCCGAGTATGTTCTCCCCAATGGTCAAATCCCTGGGTCGCTTGCGTCGATTGCTAACTTGTCTTCTTCTGTAGTTCCTCTGCCCCCTACCCCGCGGAAAGAAATCATCATTCAGGAGGACGTGCCCGAAAATCTGGAACGAATCAGGGTCTTTTCATGGAATATCCTTTGCGACAAGTATGCGACAACACAGACGTATGGGTACACGCCCACCGGGGCCTTGAGTTGGGAATACCGCAAGAACTGCATCCTGGAAGAGCTGCGGATACGAGACGCAGACTTTTTGGCTCTGCAGGAAGTCTCCACTGATGCCTTCAAGGAGGATCTGAGCCCCGAGCTGGCACAGATGGACTACAAGGGCGTGCACTGGCCCAAGTCGCGAGCCAAGACAATGTCCGAAAAGGATGCGCAAACCGTCGACGGCTGCGCTGTGTTCTACAAGCAGAGCAAGTTTATCCTGCTCGACAAGCAGCTGATTGAGTTTGCCTCGATTGCCATCAACCGCCCCGACATGAAGAATCAGCATGATGTCTTCAACCGAGTCATGCCAAAGGACAACATTGCCGTCATCTGCTTCTTCGAGTCCCGACTGACTGGCGCTCGTATCATCCTGGTTAACGTGCATCTGACGTGGGACTCGGCACTGGCAGACGTCAAGCTGATCCAGACGGGCATCCTCATGGAGCATGTGACAAAGTTGGCGGAGAAGTACGCAAGGTGGCCGGCAGTCAAGGACAAGAAGATGATTACGCTGCCGCGATCCGACGACGCTGACGAACCTCCGCCGCCGCCGCAAGCCGAGCCGGGCCCGAGCCAAGAGTACCGATCCAACACGGACATTCCACTGGTGGTCTGCGGTGACTTTAACTCGACAAAGGACTCTTCAGTGTGGGAACTCATGTGCCTCGGTCGTGTACCGCCAGACCACGCAGAGCTGAACAACTTCCATTATGGAAGCTTCACCCGCGACGGCATCGAGCACCCCTTCAGCCTACGAGACGCATACGCGCCCATCCAGAACACGCCGGACGAGTTACCCTTTACCAACTACACGCCCGGCTTCGCAGACGTCATCGACTACATCTGGTACTCGGCCAACACCCTGGAAGTTGTCGAGCTGCTGGGTCCTCCCGATCCGACATACATGAAACGAATCCCAGCTTTCCCCAACTGGCACTTCCCGGCCGATCATATCCAGATCATGTCCGAGTTTGTCATCAAAAACCGAAAAGACAAGAAACAAGTGTCTGAATAGTTGCTGTGATTCTTCTTTCTTGTCTTTTCCTGCCTCTCGTCATTTCTTTTCTCTTCTCTTTTTTGGTTGGCAAGGTGGGCGGTGTCGCGTGGATAGAAGGATACAAAGGGTAGGACGAAACCGCTAGTGATTGAACGAATGGAAAACCTCTTATGCCTCAAATCTGGATGTAGTTTTGGGTTTTGTAAATTGGAGTCTACGGCATCTTTTTTACTTCTTCTCTTTCTATCTCTGTCTCTCTCTTTCGTTTGCGCGTGGATTGACAAGCGAGGGCCTTTGGGCTTAGCGAGGGGGGTGAGTAGCAGATGAATGTGACAATGTATGTGTAATGGAGTGGACGGCGGTGGAAGCGATGTGTACGAAGTAGTTCTATTAGGAGTTGACGTTCTTTTTCTTCAATTCAGTCAAAGTGCGTGTGCGATCTGGTGACTGTTGCCTTGATTTCTGTGATGTTGGGGATTATAAGGTGTTGATTTAGGGTAACACTCTCGGGTGAGGACATCTGAAGGTCCTGTTGGGGGAATGAGGAGTCGGTGAAGGTAAAGAATTAATGTAGATTGCCGTGCGATTTGATGAGACATCATGATGCATCTGTTGAATGGTCTCGTATAGACGGGAAGATGCTTGGTGAGGGGATAGGTCTGAGTCATTTCGTCGGTGAGCATGTGAGGCCTCACGGGTACTTATGTTCAGAGTGTCCCTTGGATGTTGTTTTTGCGAAGGTGCATATAGACCCTTTCAGTTTCCGCTCGGGTTGTTTGGCGGTTCTTCAGTCATTCCTTTTGCATTCTTCCGTTATCTTCCCTGAGGGAGTTTATAGGGGGATGTTTTGAGGTAATGGGCGTGGGTGTGGATGGGGAGGTGTTTTCATTTAACCTCCTTTGTGGTGTAGGAGAAGTATGCGCACATGCTTTCACCCCCTGGCCCCTTTTGGATTGTCTGGAGTGTGATACTGAATCGTGAGTGTTTTAAGGAGCGCCGTTGCCCATGAAGCACATTATCGACAGACAGACAGCGTGATCCAGGCAGAAATGCAGACGCTGAGGAGAAATGGGACATACAACACGACCGACGAACCCTGGCCGAGGAAAAACATACCTGGCTATCCACACAAACTGGTAATCCGAGCTGCCCTCCAGAACAGATTAGTGATAGGAAGATGGTCAGGCCTATGGAGAAGATGGTGCTTGGAGGAAAAAACTCGAACTGATGTGCTTCCCCGTTGTCCGGCACCGGCGAAGACTGGAGCATCCAACGTCAAGCTGATCTAGCTGCTCTGACGACTGCGTTCTTACTACGACATTACGGAACTTCGATGCTGGATGGGGCAAGATGATTCACATCTTGTCAAGGTCTCAAGCTATGACAGAACTTATGGGCCGAAGGAATGTCTACAACGACCGTCGAGGCCATTCCACCGCTGACAAGGCTGTGGTCATTGAAGATAGCCAGCTCTGGGGGTGTCCTTGTGCCTTGAATTGGAGTATCGGATCCGACAGACGAATCAGTTTATAGTTATCTACCGACTGAGAGGGCAAAGATAATCATTTGCCTTGGGAGATGTTCTAGGAGATATGGAACGTCCCCTTTATTGCTGAGCGACAATAACGATCATGGAGAGCCTCTTTCGTCATGGCGTCGCCGGATATATCTGGCATCCAGAATTGCATAACATATGACGACAGGTGCGAGGAGAGGGACGAGAGACTATGTGCCCTGGGCTGGGTTAGTGATATTTACCGCAGCCCGCAGAGAGTCTTATCAACATCCAGCATGAAGGAGACATTGGGCATGCGGACTTGGTCCGAAAGATTGAAGAGGAGGGCAGTCACCAAGAGCTTTATCCAAATCGGCCAGCCAGCACATGAAGAGACAGACGGTTATGGATCATCACTGAGACACCGGGACCGGATCCGGTACTTGGCATGATGGGATGTCAACACGCACACTTCTCCGCCTGACTTGGCCATTGGGATATAACGGATTTGCGCAACACAGTAGAGAATGATGTGTGGAAGAACAACTCGCACATCTACTGAGCCGCCTGCTGGAGGATAGTGAGTGACGGAGAACAACACAGCTGACGAAAAGATGCCGCCGTCGAGTTGTCGCCATGGATGGTGCAACTTTTGGTGACCGAGAACTTGGAAAACGAGGAAAACTGCCCTGCGTGGCACGACGGTCGTCAATGACCAGACTGGATATGGGCTTCTTCTATGCCATCCGTATGCCACTGCTCTACGAACTGTAAGAGCGTGGATTCACAAGCGACCCCCAAGCTGCTCCCCCAAGATGGATGCCATCCCTGATTCTCCTTCCTCATCTCTATTGGAACCAAAAACCTCCTCAAGAACCGGTACGGGGGGACCATCCAGACGCTCGGTATGACGGCCGCTTTGCTAGAAGGCGAAATATCGCTCGTCTTTTCGACTCTGCGAGACTGAGCGAGTCACACATGTATACTGTATGTCACCATCTGTCCCCTTCGAGTTCAGCTTCGAAGCTATCTTTCTTTTTGACAATGGTATTGAAAAGTGCTCACCAGCTAAAGAACGGATGAAGAACGTCTGTTGTGTTGGAAGGGCTCGCTTACTTGGAAAAAAATCCGCGACCCTACCTATGTAATGATAGAGCCACAAACTTGCTTGTTTTCCATTTGTTTCAGGCTCTTTCGGATTTTGGAGAGGCTGCCACCGCCTCTTCATAGAAGCAGAAGAGAAATGAGAAGATGTGCAAGAGGTCCATCGAACTCTGCGTGATATCTCAATCAAGGAGTTGCTAGGAACGTTGTGTTTTGTATGTTTCCCTTGCAGCATAAGCATATCCCGACTTTTCTTCTTATCACTCTTCCGGACTCTTCGGTAACGTTGCTATAGGACGATTCTACCTTGAGGACAACAAACTTCATGAACTCAATGATTGGCCTTCATGCCGCTGGCATACCCTAAAGACAGAGGCGTCGCTTTCGCTGTGCACAAATGTCTGGAATCCCTCAGACAATGTGGGAACCTTACGGGAACGTACAAAGCCCCCATGGCCCGCGACGCCCGAGCCTACGCCCAGGGCGCTTTGCGTATATTCATCGAATATAACGAAAACCGAACCGCTTCCCTGATCGAGCATCGGCTTTGGACGCAGATGCTCCAGTTCCTCTGCGATCAGAACAGCATCATCAAGACCGCTGGCTGGCAGTTCTTCTGCAACCGTTGCAAAGAGATGACCCTATTTTACCGAGAGGCATCTAGGCAAAGTCGTTCCAATGTTTTCCACCCATCCACGGTTTATCTAGGCGGGCGCGCCTTGCAGTCGTACACAGTCTCGCTTGGAACACCTTGTATCTGTCTTGAAAGAAAGCAGAAACTTGTAGGCTTTGCGAATTCTGAGCCGCAAGCTGAGAGCGTGTGCTGAGATCAGGAGATTGACAAGGGAGAGTGAGTGGAGGGCGATATCACGGGCGAGAATGGGACGCTAAAAGGCACTCTGGCTATGAGTGACCGGGTAGCGATAGCAGACTGTAAACGTTGGAATGGGAACCCCCTGACTTTGTGATGGATGAAGCCGGAGAGCTGTTGAAACTTGATCCGTCCTTCACGGTTTGGTCCCGGGTTGATGATATCCAGCGTCCACGATAATTCCATCCCCCTGCCGGTCTGGTCAATAGTGGTTACACGGGATGAACAATGATACCTATACAGACCATAGAGTACAAATACTTAGGTAGAGAGGAACAAACAGGGCGGATGTCTTGACGCCGCAGCATAATTCACTGCTGCCTGAGGTGCGAGGGCGTGACTCGGCCCTTGGACTGTTCCGTTGATGTTGCCAGCCCGACACAACTTACGCCCCGATGCTCTTTGCCTCCATTTCTTTTGTCTTCCTTCAACTCAGATTTCAACCTTTTTTTTTCTTTCTCATCACTTCAATCACTCCGAGTTCGCTGCCCCTTCTCGTCGGACTTGGGCAGATGGACGAGCCACCTCGACGACCTGCATAGCCTTGTTGACCTCCTTCACATCCAGGCCCATTTCTCTACTCAGAAGAGTCAAGCAGATAGACAAGCTGCCTGACAGCATACGCAGAGTTGCACAAGGCTTGAGTTGCTCTTCCTTCTCTCCCGGGCCACACTCTCTCCTCGCTACCATGAGCGTCCCATGGCCGGATTCATCGACGCAGATGGGTTATCTGGGCAACTCCTACTCTTGCTTATCCAGCCAGCAGAGATGCCAATTCTACGAGGAGTTGCTTAAAAGATGCCACTCCCTTGACGTGCTACGACAAGAGCGCGTTGTGCTCCCTAATGAAGCGCTCCCTGCCGGCATCCCCACCAACCCGGGCATTGGAATAAGGCATTACGTGATGTCGCCGAGACATCGAGATTCAGCCCAGAAACGCAAGGCTGTTGTCATTGCCTGTGAGTTTGGCATTGCGGAAAGCAGGCGAAACGAGCCGGTGGCCATCTGTGCCGTTGACTGTCTCACTGGCGACACGTTGGTCTCTTCGCTCGTTGCCCTCTCGCAGCCAATGTTCGACTGGCGCAAGAACATTCATGGCATCGACTTGCACCAGATAAATGCCGCAATGAAGAGCGGACAATGTCTTGCGGGGTGGAGAGCAGCACGAGACAAGCTGTTCGAATACATTGACGAGGAGACAATCCTGGTCGGATATGGCATTCGACTTCCATTGGAGCTGCTGCGCTTTTACCACACCAACATTGTCGATCCTCAAGTTCTTGTCACGGCTGCGATTTTCCCGAAAAGAATACCGCTCATGGGGAAAGGCAAATATAAATCGCCGCTGCCCCATGTTTGCAGTGAGTTTCTTCGAATCACTCTCCGACAGGGCCTTCACGGGGAGGTAGGCATTCACGATCGGCTCGAGAATGCACTGGCAGCCAGAGAAATTGCTTTGAAATGCATCCAAAAGCCCGACGAGCTGAGAGATTGGGCGCACCGCAAGAAAATCGAGTTTTGGACAGCAAACCCGACGGCGAAAGGGGTTCATCACTACACCAGCACCAGCAATCAGACAAGCGCTGCCCCCCTTTCCAGTCAAAACAGTACCAACCAGAATGTTCCGCACCAGAATGTTCCCGAGCAGATCGTTCCCAACGTCCCTAAGAAGACTGTGCATGAGCAGAGTGTACCCAAAGAGACCTCGGCTTTAGACACACCGAATGATAAATACGAGGCTTGGTACAGGGCAGGCTTTGAAAGTGGATTCCGAATGGGCTACGAACGAGGCCTTGAAAAGACAAATGAAGGACAGAAACAGACATCGACGGAGAAGAATCAGTTGGAAGAGTCTCATTCCGAGTGCCAGCCCCAGAAGCTGATTTCATTCTCGGACGACGAAAGCGAGCCCGGCGACCGCAACGGGATCTCGGACTGTCATGAAAATGGCGAGACATCAGCAGCAGAAGTCGGAGGTCTCCTTGCCCGACTCATGAAGGACGATAAGATCAGGAATATAATACAGAGTGGAAAACTGGACCAGGATGAGAAGGTGACAAATGGCAAATGAAGAGGCACACTATGACGACTTAAGTCATGTAATGAGAGAGATCATGTACTCGTGGGAGCGAGGGTATCTGAAGCCAAGTGCCATCCATATACGAGTAATGTTTGTGAGAATTAACCCTTGATAGCACCATATTGATGTTGTGGCCGAAGAGCAACTAACCGTGACTGACCAGTACCTGGACGTATTTTCCACCGTGTCAATGTTCTGTTTGCCAGTTGCTCCTGGTTGAACAACAATGAAAGCAGTCAGGCAGCTGTCATCTCGAGGCAGCAACTGCCGCTACCCTGGTGCAGCAGAATGGTTACACGTACCTTGGGCAAGTTCAAGACAGCCGCCAACTGTCAACCTGCAACTCCAAAACTTGACCCTTTGACACCCCAAACGCCGGACTGCGACGCGTCCGCAGTCACTCAGCGCGCGGATCGAGCCAGCATCAATAGTCATCATACTTTAACATGATACTGCGTCTTTCGTTTACGAAACAACACCTGAAGCTATACGATGAAGCTGCCATTTGCAGAACCGACGTTCCCTCCGACGCCTCCCAGGTCCCCAATCCAATGGACCGGCAGGTTCAGCGCTCCGATCATCTCTCACGTTTCCGACGAACCCAAGCGATCTATTGACCACCTACCACCCGAAATCATCTGCATGGTCATGGGCAATCTCACGTCGAGGTTCGACCTGCGGAACTTGGGAGCCAGCTCGTTCTACTTGGCGGCCGTGCTCAACCAACACAGGATTTCCATTCTCAAGACGATGCTGGGCAAGATGCTGGACCCGTCCAACTTGGACATCTGCCTGCTGACCATGGGCATCCTGCAAGTCAGCCGCAAGGGTGACGAGGTTTGGCAGTGCCTGTGGGCTCTCTCGCAACGCCCGACGCTGGACGCGATCCACGACGCCGAGACGCTCTGCAGCATGCTCGACCTGACGCTGTACATTGAGTACATGCTGACCATTTACACTTATCCCAAGCATCCAGACGGCTTCTGGAGACGCGCGCTGCGCAAGTACGCCAACCGCTGGCCTGAGGGCAACGTTCCCGACGGCTTCGTCTCCATCAACTCCAAGACAAAAGAGGAGCTGCAACAAGTTGCCTCCCGGCTCTGGAACGTGCGAGACGCCGCCCTGGGTAACAGCCCCGACGCGGAGCCCCGGGCCGAGCACTCAGCCGAGCTCATGACGCTGTTCCAGCGGGAGATGTTTTCCGCGGAGCTGAAGCTGCGCTGCGACCTGGTGGCACAGCTGGGCCACAGCGTGCCCGAGTGGATGTGCGAAGAGGCGCCCGGCGACGGCGTGCAGAGCTTCCTCGAGCTGCTGTAGTGCTGCAGCGTGCACGCCATGGCTCGCTGCTGGAACCGCGACGACGGCGAGGTGTGGACGGAGATGAACCGCTCGTCGTGGGCCGAGGGCAGAGCGCTGGGCATTCGCTTCTACATCTGCCTGGCCATGTTCATGCCGCATTCCGCGAGCGCCGACGACGTCGACGAGATTTGCACTGCCATTGAATCGTTCATGTCGTACTATCGGACTCCCGACATCTGGGGCGAGGCGTATCAGTGGTTCTTTGAGTTTCATGACGCCGCGTGGGACGGGCTGTGGAAGCACACATTGGAATTTTGCCGGCAGTTGGATGACGGGCTTGTGGATGACATTAATGGAGGGACTGATTACTTTTGAGGTCTTGATTCTAGAATCTGTCGTTCATTTTTTGGGGGGTTTTTGTGCATTTTGTTTGAGTTAGCGATGAGCGATGTATAGATTAGCTGAAGGAATAAAGCCGTGATTTAGCAATACTAGCTGCGTCCAAGAAGAAATGGGGGAGAATCCAGATGAAGCTCAAACAAAAAGACGAAATCATCATCGAAATTGCTGCTCAAGCTTGACCATACCTCTGGTCTTTGAGTTCAACGATCCGCCACCGTCATCTTGGATCGCTTCCCCATCATGGTCTTGTCATCGAAGCTCACATGCCTGCGCCGCTTGCTGCCCTTGTTGCTGACTGGAGACGGAATCGCTGTACCGTGTCGCGGAGGTCGTTCTTGATCCCCGTCTTGCGCCTTTCCATCATGGCCAGAAGAACCTGTACTTTGCTTTGGAATGGCCACGGGGATGTGACTCTTCATTTTGCCTCCCACCTTCTTCGTAATCGCATTCAAGTTCACTTTTGGTGTCACCTTGACCTTTGTATTTGCAGTGACCTTTGGAATCGTCCTTTGCACCACCTTGGACGCAACGTCCGGAGTCATCGCAGGCGATGCCATCTCCGGAACCACCTGGGGAGGAGGAGGGGGAGGAGGAGGGGTCTCCGCAGATGTTGCCCTAGGCGGCGTGCCCTTGCCCTCCCTTATGATGCCGACAAGGCACCCGCTCCTGCGGCGGCACGTCGGGGCGACGACGAACTTGAGGCCGGGCCGCCAGGGGACGAGGACGAGGGAGCCGCGGAACTCGGGGCCGACGGAGCCGACGGGGCGGTTGGTGGCGGAGTCGTAGAAGCGGATGGAGGTCGGGGCGGCGGCGTCGATGCGGATGGCGAGGGCGAGGGTGTCGCGGGGAGGGTGGATTTCTTGGTTGGGGGGGTGGGTTGTCCATGTTGGTGGGAGGGGGGGCTTGTGAGTCTAAGGTAGGAGTGGTGATGTTAGTTTCGGTTCAAAGGGGGGGGGGAGATTGTTGATGGGAAGGGTGAGGGTTTTGCGGAGGAGGGTTAGGGAGGTTGATGGGTGCGGGATGAAAGGGGGGGGGACTGACTTCTTTTTGGCATTTGAGGAGGAGAGTTTCTGTGGATGCCGAGGTTGGGAGGGTGAGGGATGGCATGTTGAGGTTTGGTGAGGAGGCGCTGTTTGGTCTTTACTCTGTCGGTGATGATGGATATGGCTGAGGGAGATTGATGTTTTTTGGTAAGTTAAGGAGAGTGCTGTTGTCAGTTGGGATATGAATTGAGTTGGGTATCAATTATACATGCACCCAAATGTGGTGCTGTGTTATACATAAGCGCAGTGATTGATGGAGTTGTCACATTGGTTGAAGATTGTGTGTGTGCATAATGAATTGGGGGCGGCACAAGGAGCAGCAAGACCAAAACGCTCTTTGTTCAATGATGAGATTCTACTGACATGTGATACTTGAAAATAGTATGCAGGGTGCCATGGGCTTTACAGAGAATCTCGTCACGATTGACGTGGCATGCCTTATCGATTCGGAGGTTTTCATGCTCGTTTGAGGGGTCCAGGTGGCAGACTGTAAGTGGCCCGATTGGGAAGTGTGGCTGTTGTATGCAGCTTCTCATTGGCTGCTTGTCTTGAGTGTATTTCAATGTCTATGCGGGAAGAAGAAAGAGATGAGGGTTCGAAGTGGATTTGTAAAACTGTCGAAAACTTGGAGATTGATATCGAAATCCGGATCAACAGGCGGTATGAGGAGACGGCAGCTGCGTTTTATTTAGCATCTCGTTGCTGTAGAACCTTTGTCAGATGTTACTTGCGCTGGGAGTTGAGGTGGTAGTCTATGCGGTTTCGTCTCTGGATGACCAGATATCGCTGCGCTGAATGTGCCCCGAGATTGGAGTGTGAACATGCTTGATATTTTATTTCTAGGTCTGAAAACATACCGAACAGCCAATTGATACCCCGCGACACTGATAGCCTCGTACGTTCCAATCACCCTTCTTGAGCACATTGCCAGAGCGCAGCAGAGCAGATATATGGTAGACATGATCCGGATCCAAAATCAACCTATACAGTAGTCGGCGGGAGTGACAAGGCGCATGAGTTCTGTGTACAAAATCGGCGTTCTTGGATGTACAAGTATCTAGATACCAGCCATATTCGTAAGACCTCAAGCTGTATGCCCGAGTCTATTCTCATGGTGCGACACGTTAGCAGCATGCTGGTATGGAAATTCGAGCTGTTGTATACAAATTTTGTGTTACACTCATGCTGTGAAATTCCAATCATTGACCTACACTGGCTCAGTGAATTCCCATAATATACCACCCGCTTCCGTTTCGCTCCGATAACCGCGCTCGTCCAAACCAATGCGATCTAAAACGTCTCTACTCACTCCCACGTCCCTAGCAAGGTACGTGGCTGTGTCCGTTCGGCGGCCAACTTCAGATTGTTCAAACCATTCTTTTTGCGGGCACCTGCTCTGGCAAAGGGCTTCAATAGCATTCTCTTTACCAACATGGTCGATCATCATCATGAGTAAGTATTTTTGTCCCCAAAACGCCGCAGCGGCCAATGCACTTCCATGCTCGCCTCGGCCTGACACGGCGGCAGGATCTGCACCTGCCGCAAGCAGCATTTGTAGCACCTTAGTGTTAGCGCCGGGGGCTGCAGGTGCAGCCTCAAGCGCGCTGCCGTACTTGCCGCCATTCAGTACCAGATTCGGATCCGCGCCGTTATCAAGAAGCAGCTGGACTGTCGGTGCCATGTATTTACTCCAACCACAGTATGCTGCTGCGACAAGAGCACTGCCGTAATGACCGTTTTGCACGGCGGCATTGACATTGGCGCCGGCCTCAAGTAGCATGCGGACCGATTCAGCATTGCCCCATGCTGCTGCAGCGATCAAGACGTTGCCATATTCGGAGCCGCTGTCATTCTCCAATTCCAGTTGTATCCAATCCTGATCCAGGAACCATCTCAATGTTTTGGGTGCGGCTATGGCGGCATGTTGAGCCAGGGATGCGCTTCCGTTTAGTGAGGAATTGAGATCCAAAGGTATATTCACCTCCGTCATGAGCAAATTCACAACATCGGGTTTGTCGTATTGGACTGCAGTTTGTAGTGTTTTGGCGTATCGTTCGGTATCCAGATGCTCGGCATCAAATATCAAGCCGATCAAATGTCTGCAGATTGCCACGCAGCCTCTCACCGCAAGCTCAAGCGCGTTCTCCTCTCTTATGGTCTGTATCAATGCCATCTCCCGGGTGATTTTGCCTCCCAGCCACCAGTCCCGCAAAGTGTGGTATAATCCATTCCGACATATCGTGAACAGAGCCATCCGGCTTGGCTGCAACCCAACGAATCCGGTGTCTACCCATCTTCGATAGCTGTGACTGCTCTCGTCTGGCGACCCAAGGAAGCGCTTTAGAAGAATGACAAGATCCGCATCGGCCTCTTCTTCGTGCATCCCTTCCAGCCATTTCTCGTAAGCTTGCAAGTGGTCGTCCCAGCGTATCTTAACGTACTCTGTGAACCCGGTTTTATGTGACTCTTCTGGCTCCTCCGAACTCCCCCCCTCTTCTGACCTCCCCGGGTAAAATTCGAGAAGGAAGCCGAGGCACACTTTTGCGGCAAATGAGTGGCACTTCCACTTTACCCAGCCTTTCGACTCAACATATTCAGCCACAGAGGCATGCGGCAGCATCCACACCCTTTTCTCCCGTCTCACCTCGATAGTGAGCATATCCTGGCAAAGCTCTAGAACCTGTTGCTGCGTCTGCTTCTCCTTTCGTATCACATCAGATCCTTGGACGTCGTATCGTATAGCTTCCAATAGAGTATCTGCTTTCAGTGGCACCAGGGAAACCGATACCCATATAATGGCTCGCTGAGCTAAGCTGACATCCGATGCGTCATGTTCTTGTATTCTTTCCCACAGCTGATCATATGCCTCTGTTAGGTTGCGAGGTAGTTTATGGCTCCAGGAGTGGATGGCATCGTCTGTGACACATCTCTGAAGACTTTTGACCTGCAAGTAAACCCATCGAAACCTAGAACAATATTGCCAGTCAGGACCAGAGTTCCGCACACACACAGAAACAGGTAGCGATGTGAGTCAACTTACATTCCGCGACTTTTAGTTGCAAATACCTCCCTGATCTTGGCTTGGATATCCCGATTTCGCCCCTGAAAGAATGAGGTTGAGTAGAGTTTCGCTGTGAGGTACCTCTCAATGTCTTCTTGTTGGCTGGTAGCATCCACGGTAATTATTCTGCTATTACCGAAAGTTTCTTCCAGATATTCTCTATCCGGTCGGCTCGAGATGAATAATTTGACTGGCCTTTTCGATTTTCCCATCAACTCGATAAGAACGGCGCCTAAATTATACTCGCTGATGTCGGACTCGTCCAGTGCGTCGAGAATAATGGTCGTCTTTGAATATGAATTGAAAGATTCCAGGATCAGTTCTTTGCAGTCCCTATAAACCAATTCCCTTCCCTCTCTCTTTGCCATCTCACATCTCTGTATCAGGCTGCTTTGAATCCGGCCAGTCTCATCAAATGCCTTGCCGGCGAGCTGCCGGACAAAGCTTCTCAGAATGACCATCGGATCTTGCATCGATGACCCGGATCGATTGCAGTAGAAAAACGCGAATCCTTCATCATGCTGCGAAACTTTGAGCGTCTCTTTGACGTGATCAATGACTTTGGACGTAAGATATGTCTTTCCGGTGCCGACTAAGCCGAGGTTAGACGAACAGTTTCGGAGTTATAAGGCGATAGGAATGATTACGTACCGGTTCCTTTAAGGCATAAAGCAGCAGAAGAAGAAGGAATTTTTTGCCAATCAAGGAATTCTTTGCTGGCCAGTAGCCACTCCCCGGTCCTGTCCAATCTCGCTTCATTCACAGTGGCGTGGCTTTTTCCAAACATCTCACTGCTTATAAAGTCCATCAGCTTCTCTAGCTCCCTCTTTTCAACCTTGGACAGAAGGCTGGCGATCCCTTTGTCGATCCGGGGCAGCGGCAAAGACAGCTGGTCCAGTTGTTTCTTGAGGCTGTCTATTCCATCCATTGTCTGCTTGGATGATATGAAAGATCGCGAGGCTTCACAACTTTGAACCTCTCGATCGAGCCTTTGTTCCTTCTCAGAGAGATTTTTCACAGCACCAGTAGCACTGTCTGGTCGTAGGATTGCCGTTAATGTCTGTCTGGCAACTCCGCTCTCGAATAGGGCATCTGACTTGGCTAATAATTCCAATACAGCGATGTATATCTCGAGAAGCGCATCGTGTAAGTTGAGTGTGGGCCCCTCGGCCGTAGTCTCGGTGGTATAAAGGGCCTCGTAGATCTGCCCTCTGCGTACAATGCGCGTGAACCACTGGACTGTTCCGAGAAGGGCGGCTTTTTGCTCTATGTGTTTAACCGGGATCTAGCGTTGGTCAGCTTACGTGTCCCAATATTCATTCCAGAGAACTACAGTGCTTGATTCCTCGGTCAGGCTACCCAGCTAGGTGAAGTTGTGATACCCAACCAAATGACTGACAGTGAAGGTAGAACAGGGAAATGTATCTCAACTCATAGGTGCTAGGGGAGTTATGGAATACCTACCTTCATAACTGCCTTTGCGACAGCCCACGGTGCGCCGGCCTGTGGCGGCGCAAAAGCGATGGCAGCGTCGCCCACCATTGTTATAAAGGCCACAGCATCGGCGACGTATTCGCGGACGATAATTTTCTGGTTGCCAATCTCAAGTTTGAAAGGCTCCTCGCTTTGTTCGGATAGCTTATTGCCTTCAACGAGGCTGATAAGCTCTTTGATCTGGTCTCTCGGCTGCGCGACAGAAGCTTGGAGCCCATGTTTTGTTATCCATTTTTGGGTTTCCTCGTTGGCTTTGGCAAAGGCTTGACTCCAGAGATCCGAGGTTGGCGGTTGTTGAGGCGTGTCTGGCACAGAAGGAGGCTGAGGCGAGTCCAGCGCAGCAGGAAGTTGAAGTGTTTCTGGTCTTTGGGGCACGATTAAAACTGAAGAGGGACCGGTTGAAGAAAGGTCCGGAGGAAGCGGTGCGGTGGAAACAGATCCGGTCGCGGCGGATAGACGGTCCGCCGAAGCTGTAGATGGCCTGAGGGTCGAAGAAGGCGACGGAGTGGGAGAAAGCAGAGAGAGAGAGGCTGAGGCTCCAACCAAGTGCGAAGTTGCATTGGCAGGTCCCGAAGAGGCAGGCTGAGCATCATTCAATGATGGAGAAGAAGGCCTGGACAATTCCCGAAAGAATCCCCAGACCTTGTCCCTCTTTCTTTCTTTCGTCTTACTAGTACTCATGGCGAATGGTCTTGGTCGACCTTTGAAGAGAAGCAAAAATTGTGAATGGAAGGATCATGAGCGAGTTCTCTATCGAGTTATGTTTGCAAGCAAGGAATCAATGCCAGTCGAGCAAGTTCGCGCACCCAAAAGCCCAGCCGATGCAAACCCCTCAGCACTGAAGCTGAACTTGCATCTCGGTGTGTTCTCGCGTGCATCTTGCCATCCCCGTCCAGCCTGCAGGCCCCCTTGCAAGCTAAATGCTGTTGGACGACCCAATCATACCCATGCAATGCGCATTTACGTGGCAATCTATCACAAGTCCAGCGCCATCGGCGCTCATCGTTGATACCCGGAGCTTTGAGGGGCCCATCACAGCCTTGTTCCTTGGCAGCGGGTGGCAATGATGACTGGCAAATCTACGACTTGCCCGGATCCTTTCCTCCTACTTCAGTACCAAGAGACGGAATCATCAGAAAAAAAAATTATATACCTAAACTCACCCAAGGGGTGTTTCTCATTCAAATTCCGTCTTTTCTTCTGCCACGGGAGATTTGTGGTATACGAACTACATCCACGATCCTAGCTTTTCAGCTCTGTACTCGTACTGTATATATGCATGTGTGTGTCTCAGGTTACGCCACATTGTACGGGTAGCGTCGACGAATCATTGGATGAGCTTTCAGACAACAATCAAGCCCTTGGGGAGGGGTCGGGCAGTGAGGGTAGCAATTTGCCTCAACTGCGTTTATACCCAATATTGCTGCAGGCCTAATCTTTGGCAATGAGGGGGAGATGGCGCAGCCCAGTCCTAAGTAGAGCGGCTGTTTGAAGATCCTAGTATTCTAGGAGGAAGCCTTGGACATCTTGGGTTTCCAGATGATGTAGGTAATAAGCTGACATAGGATTTGGTGTCGTACATACCACGCCTATTTCTTTCTTTGGCAGCTATGGGAAGGGATATACTCTTACGTACCAGGGAAGTACGTAAGATGGCTATCAAACTATCACTCCAGCTGGGCATACATATCAACAAATCCTCCGGATGTGATAGTTAAAAAAAGGGCAAATCCGCGTCATATCGTACCTCCTCGAAAGTCCTTATGACTTGTCAGTTCGGCAACTGTATTCGGGATATGTCCAATGAAGTTGCCCTATTTACCGAGCTATGGCTTCAAGCCCTTCATAGGTAGACTTTGCGGATCGTGGAGATATTCACCCGAGTAGCTGCGATGCAAACCCAGCGGCAATGGCTCAAATACTTTTTCTCACTACTTACTCATCCTCATAAACGAAAATATGCTGCGGATGACCAATATCACATCGCCAGTTGACGGGCTTGCGAATGAGTTGAGGCTGTAGGACAGAGTGTATCTGTTTCACATTCCTTGGTCCAGAAATCAGACGTCTCAAGAATCGTCAGGTATGGGCCACAGTTTCCTGATATGCAGATATGCTGAAGCTCTTGGCCTTTCTTCACGTTGTCAGTTTTAGAACTCGTGACTCGAGCTATTCAACTTCTCTGATTAACCTGCTGCCATCATGTGAGCTGCCCACACGGCATCTTGAAGTGATCGCAAATAGAATCAAAATGGCGGATTCACAGCGCTAGAGTTTCCAAAGGTTTGCCTGTGAGTAATCAGGTCACTGCGAGTAATCAAAAAAGAGGACGCCTTTCGTTTTCGTTCCTTGATTCTTCGCAGAGTAACTGGCAATGGCAACTAGCAAAGGCCAGATTCAGTAAGTAATGAAGATGCAGGAACGCACTAAAGACCCGACTGCCACTGAATCTCTATCAGAGGCTACGCGGTGTGCGTCTTCTACCGTTAATTGACCATGAGGAGTGGCTCGACGATAATGTCTCAAATGAAGATTTGAATTCGAAGCAGTGATTTTGTGAGTTAGATATATCTTCTGATATATTTTCTTGTCGGTCTGAGAATACAGCTTTTCAAAAGAGCGACAATGAACTTCGCAACTCTCTAGTACTCAAAACGCAAATTTCTCGCCCACAAGCTCCTCACTCTTTGCCCACAGCTTCTCTGCCTCACTCCAACTCGTGTACCACATCTTAGTGTTGTCAAGAATCTGACAATCACTCAAGTACACGCCTCTACCGTCCCACTCTCCATCCTCGCCCTTCACCTCCGGACCCATCTTGGCCAGATCCGCTTCGCTCTTAAGAGGCCGCTTGGCAGGCAGTGCTAAAGCCGGGTCAACAGCCGCTACCAGAGACGTGCTGGCTCCAGCGCTCAGCTCCTTGAAAACAAAACCCCTGCTCTTGAGCATTTCGATTCTGGCTTCGACCTCCTCGCGGGGCACTTCCCGGCTGAGTTCGGTGATGATTACGCCTGGGTGTACAGCGAAGCTCAGGATCCCGTACTTTTCGTAGAGACGCTCGTTGAGGCCCAAGCTAAACAGGGAATTGGCCGTCTTGGACTGTCCATAGGCGCCCTGGTGGATGTAACTCTCAGCCTTGACGGCCTCTTCATCTAACTTGGCGAGTTGATAAAGGCCGGGGTAGTTGGGCTGCTCGGTTAAAGGCAATGTGCCAGTGGGTTTCTCCCAGTTGATATCACTCCAGCGTATGGGGCTATAGTTTGCACCAGTGGAGGAGACGTTGACGACTCGAGTAGCCCCCTTTATGGCACCTGGCTTTTGAGCGGCCGCAATGATTTTAGGCATGATCAAGCTCGTAAGGAGAAAGTGACCAATATGGTTCGTAGCGAAGTGGCGCTCTATGCCATCCTCGTTGAGCTGGCGTGTAGGCACATTCATAATGCCCGCATTGTTCACAACAATGTCAATGGTCGGAACGTCATCCCAAGAGTTGACCCTCGTAGCAGCCTCCCTAACACTTTTCTGCGTGCCTAGATCCAGCTCGAGAAGGCGTGTCTTGGTGTTGGGGTACTGCTTCGCCAGGGCATCGGCGCATTCCTGGAGCTTGGCGGGGGTGCGGCCGGCGATAATGATGAGAGCGGCGTTTTGCGAGGCGAAGGCTTGGGCGGTGGCGTAGCCGAGGCCCTTGAGGTTGACGCCGGTGATGAGGATGGTTTTTCCTGCGATGGCGGAAGGGAATGCTGCGGCAACGGTTAAAGCCGTTGTGTGAGGGCCGAATTCTGCATGTGTAGTTGCGGAAGGCATTTTGATGGGATGACTACTTTTTCCACTTTGTTTCTTTTTCCCTCCTCTTTCTTGGTCAACTACAACCTATATATACTAATATCTATGTGATAACCCCGAGTGAAACGCAACAGTCGTCGTGTATTATGCTGGGCATCGTGCTCTTCTTCGTGGATTCAAGGCAAGTCTATTGCCGGTAAGTCCGTATCCCACGGCCCCACTTTCGGCCGGGCACGCTAGCCGCCGGCCGGATCTCCCGATCGGGTTCACGATCGGGTCAGATGCCATGGGATTGGTTATGGGATTGCATCTTTGCTTAATGTCCGAAAAGTCCGCTTCTACTGGTTATTTCAAGTATTGTCCATCAGGTGAACACATCGTTGTAGTATAGACCTTGAGGGTTGAGCTGATGTTATATCTAGTGGCTGAAGCTGCCTAACATCTCGTAAGACGTTAGGCATTTTTATCGTAAATCGTGGAACATTCATCAATACCATCGAACACAGAGAAAGAAATCTCAAACATGGCGCCCGTTGCCCCTTACGCCAACGACCACCGAGACACAAACGGTCCCGGAGACGCTCGTCCTACCGCCCTCAAGATCGTCCGCGATCAAGCTTTGGATGGAAAGCTCAGCGGAAAGGTGATTCTCGTCACTGGGGGCACCTCCGGCATTGGATTCCAGACAGCGCGTGCCTTGCATGCTACTGGTGCGGACATCTACTTTACAGGCCGAGACCCGCAAAAGGGCAAAGAAGCGGAGGAAGAGCTGAGGCGTGATGGAAAAGCGGGAAAGGTTGAGTATATGGAGATGAGCTTGGATTCGCTGCGGAGTGTACGAGAGTTTACGGCTGCCTTTCTGAGGCGAACGAGTGGTAGAATCAACATTTTGATTTGTAACGCCGGTGAGATCTGATGCCAAAAACGGAGTGCAGCGTTTCTTCTGATAATCCAAACCTCGCTAATCCGATTCTTCGTTTCTCAGGCATCCGCGGATATCCTAAGGGACGGACCGAAGATGGCTTCGAGTTGCACTTTGGAACCAATCACCTCGGACACTTTGCTCTCTTCCAGGCTCTCAAAGATGCCTTAATCGCATCGAGCGCGCCATCTTTCCATTCGCGTGTTGTCTGCTTGTCGGCTTCAGGCCACCGCCAGTCAGGCATCCGATTCGGCGACATTAACTTTGACCATGAAGAGGACTACCAGCCTCTGCTGGGGTACGCTCAATCCAAGACGGCCAACATATACATGGCCTTGGAGATTGAGAGGCGGTTTGGAGCACGCGGTGTCCGCGGCCTGGCTGTTCATCCAGGTGGCATCGGCGGCACGAGACTCAATCGAATGACACCGGAATCCCAACTCAACACCCTAATCGGCGATTCCATCGTCGCGGGGAGAATGAAGAATGCTGAGCAAGGAGCCGCAACGACCGTATGGGCAGCTTTGGCTCGCGAGTGGGAGGAGAGGGCGGGCGTCTATCTAGAAGACTGCCAGGAGAGTGAGCCTTGGAACGGAGATATGACGGTTTTGGCGCCTGGATATGCGGCACACATTCACGATGCGGAGAGTGCAGCAAGGTTATGGGATATCAGCTTGGAGATGATTGGAGCGGACCGGTCTACTTGAAGACGTATATGTATGCGTGTTGGCTCGTTGAATATCGAGATCTGATGGTACGGTATATCCCACAAGTGATCTCGGACTGATCAGCTGCTGGTGGATATGAGCCAAGTTACGACGCACAGTGCCAAGAATCATGAGGGCTTCCGTAGCTCAGTTGGTTAGAGCTTCGTACTAATACTTCGGCTTCTCGCCTAGTGTTGGTAATGCGAAGGTCGCAGGTTCAAGCCCTGCCGGGAGCAAGCTTCCAGTGCCGTCTGATTCCATTTTTGCTTTTTTCTCTTTCCCTATCTTTTTTTTTTCTTTTTGTGCCCTTCGATTCCTCAGCGGCAATCGGATAGATACTGTGAAAGTAATCATCGTCTTGCTATAAAGACCGATCCCTGGCCACAACATCGAGTTCATGCACGGCATGTGGAGAACGGGATCATCATAAGCCGGGGAAATAGATTCAAACCCTCAGTTGACTTCATCTCTTTCTATTCCCGGTAAAAACCGTCTGTATCTCGATCTCGATCCATCTACAAAGTACTTCGTGTGGCATACGATAACCGATCTAAACGGTAATGTTATACACCTGGCCGATATAGTGAGGCGGATACTCGCTACTAAACAGCGGCACCCTCGCAAAAATCTCATCCCCATGCGCGGCCAGCGCCTCTTCAAACTGCTCCGCGGTAGGAAAGTACATGAGCGTGAGAGTGCTGTAAGGAGCATCCAGGCCGAGGGTGGTGATGGTGTAGCCCGTCATGCCAAAGGGCTTGAAGAGGGAGTAGATCCAGGGCATCTGCTGCTGGCTGTAGTAGCCCATGTCAAAGGTCGAGTCGTAGGTGGCGTTGTGGATCTGGGGGTAGACGGCCATGGAGAACCATTCGCCGGTGGTGCCGGCGCAAATGGTCTTTTGGGCGGTGGCCGCGTGGGTGAAGATGGCGACGGTGGAGGAAAGGCTGGTGGTTTGTTTAGTGGTTGGAGACGTTGGAGGCGATGAATTGAGAGAACTTACACTGGGGCAAGAGTTTGGAACTTCATTTTGCTTGAGATAGATGATGAAGTCCTTTGTGCTTGGTGAATTTAAAAGGGCTAATAATGTATCTGGGAAGTGATTGCTGCTCCAGTAGTGTCTCTTCTCTTCAATAACAGCGGCATCAAACGTCTTTTATAGTATCTCTCCGAGGTCATTCTCATCCTGCCTCTCATCCTTCCGCTCCAACATTCATAATCATCTCGCGTCCACGCATTTTTGTTCCAAAATTGTCAATGATGTTCATAACAGTGTATCAACCTTCCTTGTCCCAAGGCCAAAACAGGAATCTCTACCCCTTCATCTTGTGATTGCTGAACTTCAAAACTGTCGAGTGACAATGCGATTGGCACCCGACTGATGTCTACCTATCATTCTTTGCATGAAGTTACGAGTCCCCCTGGCAATAGATTAATAATGCAACGTAAAGTTGTATTCCGACGCCTGCGAGAGTTGAGTCTCTGCCCTGCATCGGCGTTAAGCAGCCCCACTGCCACTTACGAGTACACAGCTCCCAACCTCTCTTCACTTGGTCATATTAAACAACCTTCTGACCACCGGAACACCCGCAAGGTAGTCGACAAGTTAAATCAAAACTGCCATCAACCTCAATTCAACCCTGCCGCGACGCCACGGTGCCCTCATTGGCCGCCTCTCACAGCTTAGAAATTTAACATCCAACGCCCCGGAACCTGCCGCTGTCACTCGGACTTGCCGACTGGACGAGATCGGCTTTAAAGTCAAGCTTATCGCCTAGCCTCGCCCAGCCGATGCGGTAGTCACCGAAAGCTGTACGACTCGGGCTGCGACGAGACAGCTGGTTAAAGTCGAACTCATCGGAGAAAGCTGGAAATCTGGAGTTGGCGTCATGTAGGCGATAGGTGAAGGCTTGGTAAAGCCACGACGGCGATGGGGAGATTATCACCGCCGGTCGGAAGGGTCTGGAATTGCGTGAATGATATATATATCCTGGAGTTGTCTCTTCAATTTCTGTTGTCCCAGTCACATTCAATCAGAAGCTCAATCAACTGTCCAAACAACTTCCACAGCCTATAATATCAACAACGGCAAGGCTCTTCTCCCAACTACCTGCACTTACACAATTCGAAACCTCAATCCATAACCCAAAAATGTCATCCCCCTCCGAACAAACCCTCCTCGTCACCGGCGCAAACGGCTACGTCGCCCTGCACGTCATCAACGAGGCCCTCAGCCGCGGCTACAACGTCCGCGGCACCGTCCGCTCCGAATCTTCAGCCGCCAAGATCCGCCCCGTCTTCGCCTCCCACGGGTCCAAGTTCTCCGTCGCCGTCGTCCCCGATCTCTCCAACAAGGATCTTTACGCGCCCGCCTTCGCAGACACCCCTGCGCCCGTCACAGGCGTCATCAACGTCGCTGCTCCGTTCACCATGAAGGTCGATGATCCCGTTGCGCAGCTGCTGGACCCCGCGGTCAAGACCGCTCTTGGTGTGCTTGAGGCGACGAGGCAGTTTGGTCCGAATGTTCGTCGTGTCGTAAATACTTCGTCATTTGCCTGTATCCTCGATCTTGCAAAGGGATACCGTCCCGGATACACATACACGGAAAAGGACTGGAACCCAATGACCTTCGAACAGGCCGCCAAGGCAGACAACGGAACAGCATATTGCGCCTCAAAAGCCCTCGCCGAAAAGGCCATGTGGGACTGGATCGAGAAGGAGAAGCCCTCATTCAGCCTGACGACCATCCAGCCTCCGTGGATCTTCGGCCCTCACCTGACCCCCATCAGCAACCTCTCCAACCTCAATGAGTCTTCCGAAGCAATTTGGCGTCTCCTCGACGCAACAGAGGTTCCTCCGACCGACTTCGCCGGCTTTGCAGACGTCCGCGTCGTCGCAAAGGCCCATATCGAGGCCTTTGAGCGTCCTGAAGCTGCTGGCGAGCGCTTCCTCTGCGGCCAGCACTTTGACTACCAGAGCGCCGTCGATGCTCTGCGCGAGGCGATGCCCCAGCTGAAGGACCGTCTGCCGGTGGGGACGCCTGGCGCGGGCAAGACGCAGGATATTTACCAGCTTGACGGAAGCAAGGCGGAGCGGATCTTGGGGATCAAGTATACCCCATTGGAGGTCACCCTGAAGGACTCCTTTGAGCAGCTTCTGGCGGCTGAGGCCTAAGTATGCTTGATCTGTCATGGGGCTTCAGTTTCATAGAAGGGCTGGAATTGATGAGGGAGCCGGCTCCTTCTTTAGTACGTAATTTAATATAGAATAAATATTGGTTGAACTGGGAACGTCAACAGAGATATTCAAAGTGAAGTGGTGTAATCTATTGCATCCGTCTACCCGAGATGTATGAGTATATATAGGTACTCTTGTATAAACTTACATGTGAGACATCCTCTAATGCAGCAAAAGGTCGTACCCGTCCTTGGTGATCCTGACCTCCTCCATGCCGAATCCGTATTTGCGCCGAATGAGCTCAAAGATGATGAGCCCGGCACTTGTGCTCGGCACCTGGCGGATCGTGTTCCACCAGAAGCCCCGGTATAACCATTTGGTCAACTTCATTCCCTCCGCCGATGCTTCAGCGGTGCACACTGCCCACGTCTCCTGGTATGCGCGGTAGTACGCCCGGAGCATCTTCCACCGTGGCCGAGGCCGGTCGGGGTTGGCAACGCGCAATTCCCGGATTCGCGCAGCTTTTGCATCCACTTCCTCCAAGTGGTCCCAGTGCTTGACCTGGAAGTGCGTAAGAGGGTGAAGAACAACTTGTTGAGCAAACGAAGCGCTGATTCCGGCGGCCATGAGAAACATGGGCTCTATAGCATAGTGTGGCCGAATGAGTTGGATGCCGTCTTTTGGTCTATCAGTTGGACGCTTTATAGCAAGAAGGTCGACAATGTCCTCCTCCAGGCCCCCGTAGTACCACGTCACGAAGCGGTAGTACGCCTGGGCCTTGATATACTCGAACGTGCTGAAGAAGATGGCGCATCCAACGCTGTCCTTTACAAAGGATAAGCCCCATCCCGCGAATATGCCCCGCATGCCGATTTCCCTCAGCTTTTCAGCACTGAAAGTCCACATGCTCCGCGGCCGTCCACTGCCGTCGTTGGGCATCATGTCCCGATGGTCGTAACGCGCCTGTAGGGCGTCCAGCGGTGCCGCCAGAACACTCTGCAGCCCGCCTGCGAGAAACCCAGCCATGAACGTGGCTTGCGGCGGCGGCGGAGGATACACCCGCTTGCTAGCCTTGGAACTCTCTTCATGCAGATGGCCGAGAATCTGCAAGTATCCCGTATACAGCACGGCGTTGACACCGATATTGGCAATCAGCGGCGGCAGGATCTGATTCGGCACGATGCTCCAGCCCTCATGGCGGATAGCCGAGGTCAATACGCCGGGGGTCGTGCTCCGCATCCAGAGCCACGTCTGCCTGAGCGCCGCCACCAGCTTCGACGGTGATGCATCGTCCGCCACGGCCTGCATCAGCTTCTTCGTGTGCTGCTGGTGGATCGTGCGGGCATACGCCAGGTAGTCGACTCTGGTGCGGAAGAAGGACTTGGCCGGGGCGCGGAAGTAGAAGGCGACGAGCTGAGCGCTGAGCGCCCGGACTCCGGCTGCCGAGGCGGCTGTTGCGGCATTGTTCCGAGGGTTGCGATCGGGCAGGTCGACGCCAGGCGGGAGGACGGGGAGAACGCCGGTGGTGGAGTCTGGGAGAGGGGCCAGATAGGGAGCGTCAGAGCGGCCGGAGTTCATGGCTCTTGCGGCTGTTGCGGCTCATTGTGGGAGAGACGCGGGCGGAGGTGGAGAGTTGCGCGGCTTGGGCATCAAGGTAATGGGAAGGGGAGAGAAGAGAGACGAAGCTGAGGTTGGGAGAAGTTCTGCAGGCTGACGTCGGGCTTGCTGACTAAGCCATAGTTATCAGATCTTGACTTACACGGGATCTCAAGATTAAGATGGAATCTTCCCCTCCCTACCTTACTTCACATTAGACACAGGACTCAATTTATGCGTATATAAAGCTACGTCTTGCGGTAATCCCGCAGTATACTTGATCTACTCAAGTAACATCTTGCCATCACTCAATAATTGTCCGAGCCGGCGCAACATCCTCCGGCAGCTTCGTCCACCGGCTCTTGTACACCCGCCCATTCTTCATCACCGCAAGCACATTCTTCTCCGGCTCATCCAAGATCGTGATATCATCAAGCGGGTTCTTGTTCAAGATCAGCAAATCTGCCGCAAATCCAGCCTTGACCTGTCCTAGAAAAACTTCCTGCTTCAACATCCTCGCCGCATTAACAGTCGCCCCCTGGAGAATCTTGACAGCGCTCAGTGCCTGCGCCCGAATACCGAATTCTTTGCTCTGTTCGACCCATAGCGGCCCCAGAAGATCTGATCCGTGACAAATTGTCACTCCTGCCTCATCTGCAAGACGCAGAGATTGCAATCCTTGCTCTAGAACTTGGCGGTTCTTCTCGCGATTCGCCGGAGGCAGAAAGCCGGCGTATTTGTCCGAGCCCATGGCATGGTATGTGACAAGCGTCGGAGTGAACCAGACATTGTGCTTGGCCATGTACTCTGCCGTTTCTTTGTCGATGAGATTGCCGTGCTCAATCCCTTTGACGCCGTTGTCCACCGCGTGTCTGATTGACCGAGGCGTATACGCATGAGCAGTCACGTAGGTGTTGTATGTGGCTGCAACCTCGGTAATGGCCCGAATCTCAGCAGCCGTGAACTGGATCTGGTCTAATTTGTCCGTTGGAGAAGCAACGCCTCCGCTTGTCATGATTTTGATGAAGTCCGCCCCCGTGCGCAGTTGCTCTCGGGTAGCCTGTATCGCCGCAGGAACGCCATCAATGAGAGACGACAGACAATTGGCGGTGCGGCAGCAGGCTTCATGGGCCGACCTTGAATCTCCATGGCCGCCCGTCTGAGAGAGAGCCCTGTTGGCTATGAAAAGGCGAGGCCCGGGAAATACATCATCCGCAATTGCCTCCTTGAGAGCGAGGGTTGCGCCGCCGGTGTCTCTCAGCGTAGTAAAACCTCGGTATAGGGTCTGTGCCGCCATATAGGGCTGGCGGAACTGAGAGACGGCCAAGTCAGGATGAACAATGGTGGCGGCAAGGCCCTCTTCGCCAGGCACAGACGATAGATGGGCATGGCAGTCGATCAAGCCGGGACTGAGATATTTGCCCGCCAAATCTACCACAACTGCGTCATGGAGGGACTCGCCGTGATCACCAATTGCTCGGATTAGCCCTCCTGATAGTTTGATGGTTTGCTTTGGGATAATCGTCCCGTTCGCTGTGTCAACAACATTTGCGTTCTTGAAGATGTATGTCTTTTGCGGCGGCAGCTTCCACGGCTTGATGAGGTCCGGCTCTGCCTCGCTATGTGCAACGACAGAAGCTGGAACAATTGGCTTCTCGTCCATGATGGGGATCCGAAGCTGCGTCATTTTCACAGATATGAATTGTTGGATGGTAAAGTAAGTCCAGGATTCAGTACGATCGAGAGGTTACAACAAGCACACACGACGTACACGAAGTGAGGGGTTCATCAACAGGGGTATAACCGCGGGGACCGTTGCAAGTATCAACTCCTCCAACAAAGGACAGCATCACCATGCCTTTAGACTCTTTGAAATCAGCGATAACATCTCCCAGACATTTCTCTATCCTCTGTCGGCGAAGGATTCGAACGCGCAAAAAGCAAAAAGAATGCCTCCAGCCAGATTTGAACTAGCGACCTTTGCATTACGAGTGCAACGCTCTACCCCTGAGCTATAAAGGCACCGTTGTTTCTTATCGATAAATGCTCCCGTTCTTATGTGATCTATATACTCAGCACGGGGTAACGACAGATCGATCAACTTCTCAGTCGTTCTCGTTCTCCCTACCCTTCTCCTAGACAGCGGCAACCCGTTTATCATTCTGGCTGGGTGCAGTACCTGATTGTCTGCATTTTTCGTCATAGAACCCGCTCTTGTATAATAATAAACAGCAGGAGTGGTGCGAATACACATCTTTCAGAGGTAAAAATGCCGAGATGGAGGCATAACTTGTGGCGCCTCTCTGATGAGCGAACAGCGAGGAGCAAAGAGTCGAGGTCAGGTCCACAAACCTTGTGGCTAAGAAAGCCCTTCGTCATCAGGAGCATGGCTGTTCGTGCAAGTCAAGAGTGAGATAACAAGCTTTCAGTCCATCAGCCAATCTTGGGCAATACGTGAGCGACAAAGAACGTTTGTCTCGCATCAGATGATTAACACCGCCGGTGAGCAAGATTTGTGGATTCCTTCATCCTTTGACTTCCCAGGGTTTACTTTCTTCGGGCTGATGCCGACCGCCAATTGCACCTCTTTGATCATTAGGCTCATGGCAGGTAGCAACAAACACATCACATCCCACTCCAATACTCGAACCACTCATACATCGTATAATCTCGATACCGTGAATTCGTGGGTGAAGAAGTAAATGCAGTCTTGTACGTCTTTGTCGAAACTCTATGGTTAAGTGACTCACTACACAAAGGGCTTGCAATTTCCAAATGCAGTACAAAGAAGGTCCGATAGCGCAGGTTCTGGTTTCCTTGAAAGTGCATGGGCGTATCCGGGCATGCGAGCAAACATCGATAAGGTAGTTGGCGCAAAGTTACGACATGTTCCGAAGTTGGCTGAAAGCTACAAAGTACCTATAGATCGATGTAGACCTGGAAGTCCTCACGAGAACTATATAGAAGCTGTGCAGGCTTCCGACCGGTATCCGAAGGACAGATAGCTCCGTCTTTTCGAGTATCTCTTTACTTGACTTCTCAGAAATGAAGTCATTTTCCGTCCAGCTGTATTGCATCTTCTGTCGAAATGACTTGCCCTATAAAGATACTTGTAAAGACTCTCAAGACTGGGAATGCGACATCATTGGCCGTCTGTCACGCTGAGAATGAGTTCTTCGTCGTACCTTTACTGACATCATCGGGTAGTTGCCAATATAGCCTCGGATTTCGATGCCGCTTCACGGATTCTTCCTTTCCAAACTGATCTCTCTGGCAAACGCAATCGGTCAGATGCGCAAAGAGCCTTTCTCGACTTCCTCAACAAATCCTCACTGCTCCAAACACATGGTAAAATACACTTGGCTGATGAGGAAGGTCACATGAAGACTCTCGAAGGAATAATGAGCCCTGATGAGTGGGACATGCTCAGTGTTGAACAGCCACTCATCCTGGCTCACGCCTGCTGCTGGAAGTTTGCCCAGCATCTTGCTCAAACGTCAGAGCGAAGTTTCTCGCGCTCCCACTTCTACAGGTTTATGAGACAGTTGCATCATATAATTCCAAGGAAGCTTCAGACCCATAAAGAGCAGTGGCGGCTGGCTTCGTTTCGCCATTACGCCGCATTGTGCCACTCCAATACAGTATTCGATTGCATTTCGAATCACGCTGACATCTCTGATCATGCCAGGCATAAGATCAAAGAACATATCGAGTCTCTCAGGGATCTCCTCTGTGGGTGTGCAAAGTTGCCACCAGAATTGCAGCAAAGTATATGGCGAAGTATTCCCACAAACTGTCTGACATTCAGCTTGCTTGCAACTGCTGAGACGGTAGCTGTGGTATCTAAAGTGCCTAAAGCCGTCTGGTCGGCGACGACGCCTATCATCTCCCACCAATCTCTGATACCGAAAGGCTTTGTCGGGAAAGGCTGGCTCCATACGACGTTCATTTCGATACTTGGACGCAGGTATTTGCATCGGATTAATCTCTCTAAGACTCGACTAAATGACGAGACGGCCCTTCCCGAGGTCGACATTCAGAATGTTTCCCACCTGCACTTCACGGTTGAAGAGATAGGCATCTCTGCCATCCAAATAGTTAATAAAGATGGTACGGAGTCCAACTGGTTGGGGAACCCTGAAGGAGGGTGGCGTGGATCAACTCTTGGAATCCAATTTACCGACCTCCAGGTTTGGAAAGATGTATGCCTCTCTTGCCCGTACAAAAATTGCATGGTTAATTTGTAGGTATTAGGATCTTAAAGTATTGAGTCTCAACCCTCTTATCGAGAACACCGAATCCTCAGAGCCTGCTGCCTCGAGAGCACTCTGGAATACCTACCCCAAACTGTCTGCCGGAGATGAGCTGCCTCTTGCTCGATTGGCCCAGCGCCACATCCCACTCATGCACTATCCTGGCTGGGGTTTGCGTCAGTACTTGCCCTTCTATGAAAATGGGCGCCATGCCACGGGCATGACTGTATACCTTGATGACTCTGGCACCAACGGAGTTGTCATGCATGGGCAGAGCCTCGCACATAGGGCAGGAACACGCAGAGGGCTCTCAATGTACATGCCTTTTAATCGCGGGGAGAGAATCCTGGGGCTAGATCTTCTGAGAATAAACCGATATTCAAGTGGCCCTTTCCTCCTGGTAAGCAACGGGGAAGCCCATTCCCACACTACCGCCTGGTACAAGAGGATGGATGCATTGTGCTGACTGGAAACGGCATATTCAGATTGAGATAGAGGTTAAGTCCGAGAATCACTCAACCTGTCAAAATGGCACTCGTCGATGCGTCTTTTTCGGTCCTGCAACCTTCCTCTACCTCTCCAATACCGATGTAAGCTGGTTATCGCTTCTTCAACATCAGGTGAAAGGAGATGGAAATGCTCTAAGGGGCTTGATCGTAGACCCTCTGGCATTGCACGGAGGCGCTTCTTTCACCTCCATTGGAGCCCATACCACGCCCACAGAGAAAGGAAAGAGGTATGAGGCTGAAGATAATTCTTCAACCAGCATTCAACCGATGTTATTTCCGGATTTTACACCGTCCCAAGAATCGGGGGGTATTAGGACGATTGCCAACTTGTTCAACGTGAAGGAGCTAGCTGTTCAGAAAACACCCTCCCGAGCATATAAAACAAGGCATCGTTGTATAGGTCTGTTCATACGCTATACGGATGGATCGAATGCGGTTCTAGGACAGTGGGATACATCAGCGAGTTCGACAATCATATACGACGCTGCGAAGGGAGAGCCACTTACTACGCTACTCTTTCAGAAAGACCCTTATGTTAATCCGTATACTGGAAGCCTCATGGTTGATGTTGTTGCTAACACTTCGAAAAAAGCTTACCATGCCCAAAAACTCAAAGAGGAAGAGGGGCGGTACCGCGAACCGATATCAGATGGGTCAGTTTTTGAATGGCTAGCGGCAGATAAGAAGGTAAGCAAGCAATTATTCTATTTCACTAGGAGAGCAGCAAAATGGGCAGATTATTGATATACTCGGAGCTACAGAGCGTCTGTTGGAATTTCAGCGCAACGTTTGATCATGTGCGGTACTGTCGGTTGGAAGAGTTTCAGTTCCAGCCCGGGAAGACTATTCAACAGCACGTTCAACTTATACAGTAAGATGCAATCTTCTAGTGTTGGGGACGCGGTGGTTGAGGGTGGCATTGGGGACATTGCTTTATTATGAAGAGGCTGCGAAGAGAGAGTTTTAGGACATGACTACTATTCTGTTGGGCTAAGGAGTAATAGAGACGGCACTATCCCTGTCAATATCTAGGTAACAGATATGACTCACCTCACAAGACACCACATACCCTGTTTCTTGCGAAAACAATCGAAGTGAAGTGGTGGCCTCTACACTGAACACCCAAAGCACAATGTCCGAGACCGTAATCCTGATAGGACCAGAAGGATCTGGAAAGTCTACAATCGGCAGGATCCTCGCTAACGACCTCTCAAAAGAGCTATACAGCCTCGATCGCCATCGCGACGAGCTCTACGCACCATACGGCTACGACAAAACCCTCGCAGAAAGGATATACGAAGAGCAAGGCCTATGGGCATTCTACCAACATTGGAAACCATTCGAATACAAAGCCGTCACACATATACTGCAGAATGCAAAGCAAGAGGGCGACGAGTTCTACGGCAAGCTTCTCGACTTCGGAGCCGGACACTCGGTTTTCGAGGACCCGCAAGAGCTGGTGCACATAGAGGCGTTGATGGAGCCTTATAGGAATGTGTTTTTGGTGGTGCCGTGCGACGATGTGGATGAAGTGGTGAGGATTACGGAGGAGAGGAGGGGGCATGAGCTTGGGCTTAACAGGCACTTTGTGGAACATTCCAGCAATAGGAGGCTTGCGAAGCACACTGTTTATACGAAGGATATGACAGCCGAGGAGTGTGCTGAGAAGGTGCTTCGGATCATTGGATCAAGAGAGGAGGTTTGATAAGCTTCGATTTGACAACAATGAATGCCAATATGAAGGAGTCTCGAGATGATTCAATTTATGCTTCACAGAGCATTCTTTACTACATTATATCTCAATCGTATTCGGAGCTCATACCCCCATATAAATATCTACGTCTTCCGCTCAAGACAAGTACCTCCAATCAACTGGCGCCATGCGCGACAACATCTCATTCTCCGTCGCCACCATCGTCAACTTCGCCTGAGCCTTGAGGAACTGCGCCTTTGATCGATCAAACGGCTTCCCATCAGCACCAGAAAACTTTGGCCCTTCAAGCTTAAACTTGTCGCTCGGCATGAAGTCGCCGCCCATATCGATGCTCATTCCGCCTCCTAAACATGGTGAACGTCACAAGTTAGCAGATGCTGACAATTCTGAATGAGACTGAGGAGAGCTTAGAGGTTGACATACCTTTACCCACAGCACCGGGCCTACCAAACTCGCTGTCCGTCCCAGTCGTTCCCAGGTCGAGCTTGACTTGCCATCCCTGCGGCCACTTACCAGCCACGGCAAGAATCTCAGAGTCAGGCACCGTCCCAGGCTCTCCAGCATCTCCGCCATCCCCAGACCCATCAAGGCTTCCCTTAATCGGCTCCAAGATGACTACAAGCCCGCCGCTCTTCGGTTGCGTCTCCGCTCCGCCCTTTTGTCCATTGCCGCCGTGTCCGCCCCGGTACTGGATACTCACTCCCATAACTGGACTTGTCAGCACCTGGGTGGTCCCGAGCCAGTTCCCGGCAACAGCCAGCCGAAGACGTCCACCTGCGTATCCTGCGTCTCCAGGCATACCGTCCGTACCAGGGTTCGCAGGGTGGTCCCAAGGCTGTCCGCTGGCGACACTGAAGCGTACCAGTGGAAGAATCGTCTCCTTGCTGGCGTTGTCGTGGACGAGCTCAATATCCTGACATGTGATCTGGACTGTGACGGGATAGTCTGTCTTGCACGAAACGTTGAGCGGAAGTTTGTCCATGACGACCTTTGCTGCTGTAATGTCGTAGAAAATGACATCTCCGTCGGCGTCCTTGATGGCATATTCAGCAAGATCATCATGGTTCGGGTCTGCGCCTCCCGAGCCAGTCAGGTAAATCACCTCTGGGAACGACTTTTGGTACTTGTCATGCAGCTTTGCGGCCGGCATGCTGTGCGCCTGTGCTTGCCAATTTGAAGGCGGCTCGGGTAGCTTGGAGCCCTTGACTGCCGGGGTGGCAACTTGCGCTGGCTCACCAGGGTCCAAGGCCTCCTCATCCATGGCCTCCTCAGCTGTCACCTGTCCACTCAGCTGATTGTCGGCAAAGGAAATGGTGTTGGCACTTAGTAGGTTATTGGCAAAGGTAAACTTCATCGGGGTGGCCTTCTTCTTATCCCAGCCTGTCCCAAAGTGAGCGAGTTCCAGAGTATCGTTACCATCGACACCAAGACGTGCCGTTGTTTCTGGCTCGCCGTAACCCTTGTTCTCGTAGTACGGATAGGCGTTGACGATGTCGTGGCCGTAGCTGTTGCCCTGCGAGTACGAGAAGACGGCGTAGGTCTCCCCTGAGCTTGTTGCTTTCGGGATGCTGGCGCCCATTTGGCTGCCCGTGCCGAGCGATCTCGTGCTGCCATGGTGAGTCGCAATCACAGAGCGCACAAGGCCGTTCGCGGAACTAATCTCAGGGATGGACTCAAAGTTGGCGTCGCCTGGGAAGAGTAGCAAGTTGTCTCCCTTGCCAACGAAGAGTGCCAGAGCACCGTAATTGTTCTTGTCAGGGTCATTGAACTGGTAGTTGCGCTTACAGCGAACAATCGTCACGTTCTTCATCTGGACGTAATCAACACTATCCGTCCACTGATGAAGATTGCCGTTCTGCTGGATCAGCCACGCCGTCTCGTTCGAGATGGTTCCCGTGATATGCTTACGCCCAGGAGCTATCCACGGACGCAGCGTGATGTCGTCTGCTGAGCCCGAAAAGTCCTTTGCGTGGCTGCTCTTGCCAATGCGGTAGTGGTCGGCGTCCCAGTGGGAGAGCAGGATGGGAACGGCTGCTTGGCCCTTGATCATGTGGTAGCAGACCTTTTTGTCGTTGTCGTCCAGCTTACCGTAGCCGAAATCGTTGGCAAAGGCTGCCCCGTACTTGTCAAATGCACGCGCACTATGGCCTAAACGAATGAAGTGTCAGCTCAGAATGAGAGATTAGAAACACGAGAAGAGATAGAGTCATGATATCTGCTACATGAGCAGGCGGCGGTTGTAAGTTGTAAGTTGAAGAGACTCACCTTGTCCGACATCGTAAACATGATACGCAATCACATCCGCCTTGCGAGGCAGAAGAGCGCCCAAGATGTCATCCACCCCTGCTGGAGAGAAGAATGGAACTTTTGCAGCGGATACCATGGGAGCCGTTGGCTTTGGAGGTTGATCTCCGGTCGTTTTATCGTCGTCGTCAAGGCGCTGCAGATACCCCTTGCCGGAAGTGTCGGCATGAACAATCTTCTGAACAATGTCCCGGACGGCCTCTCCAACAGCATTGAAGCTGCCAAAAGCCTGCTGCAGCGTGGTGACGGCACTGGCAGCAATGTCTTTGCTGATCGTCTGCACCTCAGTCTGGACGACGTAGCCATGGTTGTCTTCGAAATAAGACTCGAAGCGGAACATCTTGAAGCTCAGTCGCGGTTCGAGAAGCTCCAGTCTTGTCATGCCATCTTTGAACGGCTGCTCTAGATTAAAGTTTTGCTTCGTGAGCAGCTGCTTGTTTTGCTGGTTGACCTTGAAGTTGATCCAAGTGCCCTCAGTGACGCCCGGAGGCACGGCATGCAGGTAAATCCATACCAGGGCAAGGCGATATCGTCCGAATCCAGGGGACCCCGCCGCCACGGACATCTTCTCGATGGCGCGGATGAACAGCTCGTCTGAAAGAGAGTTTTCCGTGATAGCCTCAACACGAATCTCATATCCGTGCTTCAGCTTGTCGATCCTGTCGACGTAACCAAAGTAGAACTCTGACCGAGCTTTCCGCCGCTCATCTCTACCTCTCTTGCGATCCTTTTCCTTCTCACGCTTGCGCTTCCTCTCACGGTCCCTCGTGTCGGGCTGCGGAGGATGAGGAGGGCCAGGGGGGTCTCCGGGCTGACCCGGTTGAGTCGTTTGACCTGGAACTGTCGGCGGTGGTAGAATGACAATTGGGGGTTGAGCTTGTGGTGGCCGCCTCTTACTCTGCTGATAACGGGCGTATCCAATCCCTCCAGCCCCTGATGTTACTAGTCCTGCGACGGCTACACCGATGAAGTATGCAACCGGTATTGCGGGCACAAACAGCTGTGCGTCTTCGGGTATGTCCTTCTTCAGAGGCTGAGATTTGTCGATCTCCTTGTCAATGGAGACGATACGATGCATGATCTGGTGACACTCGCTATCACCCTCCACTGGAGGCGCAGGCGCATCATGAGTTGCCTGGGGCATGTGTTGCAACAGATACTCCTTGATGGTAGCAACCCACTTGTCATCGTCGAGCTTGTTCGTCTTGATGTTGGCTGTGAAGAGCTCCAGTGGGAATTCCTCCGCCACAGGGCGGTTCTCGACGAAACGCTGCCCTTGTTGCTCGCAACGCTCTTCGAGAGCGATTTCGTACTGTCTCGTAGCATTTTTAGCGAGCTCGTTCATGTGCGCGTGGACAATTTCTGCGAGCTCAAGTTCGGCAGCTTCCTGTGTGATGCCTTCTGCGAGGGCTTCTTTGATGTATTCGTCGTAATCCATGGTGGTGGTCCTATAATTTCAACCTATTAACTCTGGCCGAAAGGGCAAGATATGTCAAAGTTCGGGGAGTTGGAATCGAGACTTGAGAGAGTTGCATTGTGAAAGTTCAAAAATTCGGACGTCTTATAACCGTTCGGTATGGCTATTCGATCGTTGACTCGGTCTAGATCGTGAGTCTGGCTGAACCACTTGACCCATGATTGAGACCCCGGAGACTCGATATCCGGAGCGTCGGCTCATTATGGCGAATACTTTGAAGATTCAGGACGTTCTAGATTGTCAACAAGAGAGTCCGTTATCACCCTCAGCTCTCCGATATTGGCAGGTTATGTCTCATTTAGGTGCCGCGTGGTTCCCAGCCGCAGCGGTTCCCCCGGCCCGTCTCAATAGTGGCAAGACTAGCTCCCTCACCTGAAAGTCCGCGTAATAGTGCGCTCTAGAGAAACAAATGTTGTCCAATGAGGGCTTGACTTTGTATTATCATGTGTGATAATTCTCAGTTGAATATTGAGAATAATGCCTTGTCACAATGCCTCGCCACAAGTGCCGTGAAGGCGACGTGCCATAATGTTGCGTCCCACCAAATTGATTGGTCGACAACACCATTAGAAAGTGAAAATCTGAGCTTCTTTTGCGGGTTGATCAGACACGTTAGATTCTATTTTATAGAGCAAAGGTTGGATCGGGTCTCCCGTCAATGCCGTCAGTGCAATATCCAACACCATAAAGCAGTGTTTATCTTCGTGTGAAAGAGAAGATAGTTCACCTGCCAAAATTTATCGGCTGGCCCAACCTTGAAAGACCAACACTAACATGAGGAATCAGTTCAATCTGTCCACTTAATACGCCGACGGGCCGTTCCTAGCTCTCGCCTCGAGACTAGAGAACAATATGTATTTGACAGTTGTCAGCGAAAGTACAGCCCAGCCCTCTGGTCCTCAAGTCATGCCGCAACTGTTGATGAGCTGGAGTTGTTTAGGTGGCCTTTAGACGGGACGGATGGTGATGATGAGTAGGTAGAAGAATCATCAGATGTAACACGTTCAAGAATCAGAAGCAACATGGGAATCTTGCAAATGGTATTGTTTTACCTGGATACCCAGCCATAGATATATATATAAATGAGCACTCACTCCACCTGTTTTCGCCGATGCGGGATGCCTGGCTGGACCTTATTATGCCGTGCGTGCCTCATATGGCATCGAACGCTGTGCATGTTACACATACATCATCCATAACAATGAATAATGAACTTGGCTGGGCCTCTCGCGGTAACACGAACCTCAGCATCCAAATAGCCAGGAGCGCAGTCGGAAGCATCTCATTCTCTGTCAGTGCAACCACCAAGTAATGGAATACGAGCATCTACAGAGGCCTAGAACATCACCGCCTCCCTTGAACAACGCATACGAAAAGCCTCACTGTTCCGACCAGTAGCGTTGCGAGCGTATGGTAGGAAGCTTCGCTATTGCGGCAAGGGGGCTGACAGACTCACCACGTTGCTCTGCAGGAAGCTATGAAGTATCACGGACGCCATTCACATGACATCTTGCAACAAGAAGGCGGTCTGGTAGAGATCACTTATATAAAAGGGCCCTGTGGTTTCCATCAGTATTGAAAGCTTCCACGTCCATACTGAGCACCACCAAGTAGCACCCAGCATCGCCAAGCACCACCCCACACCATCAAGCACATACCCATTCAAAACAACATCAAAATGTCCTCGGTCAGCACCAGCAAAATCTACGTCCTCAAAAACAGCTTCACAGCCGCCGCCAAAATCCTCTCCCTCACCTCCGGCAACGACCCCTCCTCCTCCCTCTCCATGATCGACGCCCGAAACGTCTCCCCAAACAGCCTCTGGTTCCTCACGCCCACCCACACATCACACTTCTACCGCCTCCACACCATCGCCAACGGCGTCCAGCAGTCCCTCGACGTCATCAACGACAATGGCGTGCAGAGCATCAACCTCCATTTGACCAGCACGGGGGAGTACTCGGGTCAGTATTGGAGGTTTGATGACTGGCATACGAACCCTACGTATCCGTATCGCCTGAGCAATAACTTTACGGGGCCGAATGCGCATCTGGATGTTTATTCGGATAATCTTGTGGCTCATCTGGATGGGGGTGATTATTCTGGGCAGCATTGGGCTCTTGTGCCTGCGGATACTGTTGTTGTGACCACGTCCTAGATGACATTCGTGAAGCTAGCAGCAGAGGGCAACACATTACAAGAGAAGAACGCGGAAGTCGAGAGAGAAAGATTAATTCCAGCAGCTGATATAGTAGGCAGATAGGTATTATCCAAGACTGTATCTATCTTTCCCACTAGACAGAAGCTCAAAGATCAGTGATACATGATTTTTATATTCTTCCCAGCCAGCCTCCTAGCTTCCAGTTAGCGATATACTACGTTCAGGGCTCTATTGGTATTGTGTTATTCTGTTACGCTCCATGAGATCGGACATATCACCAAGTGAATAAGACATATATCCAAGCCAGTACAAGTAAAAGTTAAGCTTATAAACCCTTTTCTTTCCCCTCGAACTGAGGGCACCAGGCCATTTCTCAAGGTCCTTATGATTGGAATTGGATGCTAAATTAGCTGATCTTGTGGTAAATGTCTGATACATGAGTAACTCATTTGAATAACCATCCATCCGTAGAGCAGGTCCCCTCACTTTTGTTTGATAGCATACATCACGCCGTCCGTGTTTTGCGTGGTCGTGGTTTGCTTTTGGTAGCGTGCAGGATGTATCTGCTATATCAAACAACCTGGATTTCAGACCTCAAACGGGAGGCATAAGAACCCAAGGCTCCTCTCCATCATCCCGTTCATCCTTCTCGTCTGTGGCATCTGCAGGTGGCATCTCCGTAGACACTGGCGGAGGGGCAATTCTTGCCGAGGGAAGCCTATGTGTGGCAACTGTGAGCAGATTACGCTCCAACCTCCGATCCGCATCCGTAAAGGGGTCGTCGGTCATGTTCCATTCGCGGACAGCAAGCAAGAGCATAGCCTTCATAGAAAGGGGGGCGTAGTTCCCGGGAAAGCTGAGTCGCTTGCATTTGATCCCAAAGGTCTCGAGAAAATACTGTAAGTTGGGTCGATGCCTCAACTGCAGCGGGTATTGCGCAGCCCGAAGAATGTCCAGTTTAAAGCAAGCTCTTTCAGCAATCTTCCAGCTCGAAAAGCTCAGCTGATTCAGCAGTTCGCAGTCCCGCTGTAGCTCTGACCCAACGAGAACGTAGTTACGGTCCCGTGTGAGCCAGGCGATGTTGGTGGCAGCTTGTGCAGGGTCCACATACCACATCCCTCCGCAACGAAACAGTTTAGCAGCCCAGTTGAAGAACTCAAAGTCGTTAGTAACATATTGAACCGACTTGATTGCGGCCTCAGCTTCTGTATCTGTGTCAATGGGCTTCGTAAGGCTTCGGGTGTCCAGGATGGAGATGCCGATGCAGAAACTCTCCGCTGAGAAACAGCTCCCAAAATCGCGTCCTCTAGCGACATCGACAGAGACAAACAAGACGTCTCTCATCAGAAATCCCTCCAGCTTTTCGATATGGCGAAGCTTTCCGGGAAGTAGCACTCCCCCTGACTCAACAACCTCCTTATAGCGATAACCCAGCAGATGCCCCAGGACGAGGTCATCTTCGCACGAGGGGACGGTACGTGGTTGAGATGGAGCCATGGCTGGAATATGATGGAAGAGGAGGACTTCAAAGGATGAGGAGCTGAGGGGGAGTCTGCCGGCTTTATTCATGTTGAGATTTTAACTTTATGGCTGAGAAGGATTTCCTTCCTGAGAATTCACCGAGATACCTCCTTCCCGGGACTTACGCATATTGAGCTTACGGACGGTGTGACTCCGTTGCAACGACTGACAATGCTTCAGTCTTGATCAAGTCGCAATCATTGCCATGGAAAGAGCATCTGATTCCCGATGTTGCGGCGTGTTCAAGAGGGTTTGGGCAGTGTTCCAATATCGTGCCCAGATTAAAGGTACTCAGGGGCTCCTTGTGGCGCAATGCATCGACCCTACTTGGCTACGAGGCGGCTGAAGTTTATATCATCATTTCTTTAGCCTTGGATGGACGCAAAAGCCCTTGTTATCCTTGCATCGACCTGTGAAAGGCAGATGATATTGCTCGCATGCTTTTTTTTAAAGAACAAAACATTATAGAAAAGCCAACCAGGAGACGACATGGCGTGTGCTCGTGCTTTATATGCTTTGTATGCCGAACTTATCCCAGCTGATCCCTAACATCGATGTCCTAACCCTTTACGCCATGAAATCGCCCATTTTGCTCTTCGCTTCCATCCATTGGCCGCTAGTGACCCCTTTTATGCCTTTTCGTCACGCCCATCCAGCCACTTGCTCATATACGGACCATCCAGCCAGTACCCGAGCTTCTTGTAATAACTTCTCACGCCCACACCCGAAATGACACTAATCTTGTCGCTTCCGTGCTCCTCTCTGGCTATCCTCTCAGCCTCTTCCATCAACAGGGTACCAAAACCTTGGTGCTGGAACTTGCGAGGATCGCGCGCGTGGATAGGGACAGCAGTGCCGTAAACGTGGAGCTCCCGAATCATGCTGGTAGGCTGGCCAATAAGCTCCTCTCGATAAGTGTACCTTTCAGTGCATTTTCGGAGGCGTAGGAGGGCGACTAGGATATCTTGCTTTGGGTCTTCGTAGGCGAGGAAAGTCTCCCAGCCACCGTTGGCAACGTAGTCTCGGCGGACCAGTTCAATCTGGTTTGGCCTGATTTTGTGCTTGACCTCGTTGACGCCGACTTCTCTCGTCCTCACATCTCGGCATGTGGTGCCAAAGTCCTTCATCCGGGCCAATGCCAGCTCTCGTAGGTTTCCGTTCTCAACGCCAGATGTGACCAGCGGCATGGGAATATCTCGCTGCACACGGTAGATGCGTGTCCACGGCGGAATGAGGGCCAGAATTCGTGCCACCAAATCAATGAGTTGGTTGGGCGTGTAGTTCTGGTATCTTCCTGTCCGCCACAGCTCGTAAAGACCCGTCCCTCGGATGACAAGTGTCGGGTAGATCTTCAGACCATCGGTTCTGAAGGCAGGGTTTTCGAAGTACTCTCTGAATTGATCAATGTCGCGCTCCATTCCGACGTTGGGCAGGTCAGGCATCATGTGGCTGACCACCTTGTAGCCTGCGTCCTTGGCCAGACAAAACGTCTCTGCCACCGCCGCCACTGTGTGTCCTCGGTTTGTGTCTCGCGCGACATCTTCATACAGTGACTGGACTCCAATTTCCAATCTCGTGCAGCCATATCGCAACATGTCTGTGAGATGGGGCTGCAGGCAGTAGTCTGGCCGTGTCTCGATGGTGATGCCCACGCATTTAATGTTGCTCATCTCGCCAGCCTCCACCGCCTCGTCTACTTTCGACGTCTGGTAGCCACTGAGGGCATTGTGAAGCTGGGCAATAAAGTCCTCTCGGTACGACTCTGGCAATGACATGAATGTTCCTCCCATAATAATGTATTCCACCTTGTCGACCGAGTGTCCCAGGGACTTGAGCTGGTCTACTCGGCCTCGGGCCTGCTCGAAGGGGTCGTACCGCGCGCGGATGGCTCGCATTGAAGTGGGTTCATATCCAGTGTATGACTGAGTGCTGTATTCGAAGTCGGAATCGGGTCCTCCAGGGCAGTAGACGCAGATGTTGCCGGTATAAGCGATATGCGGGCACCGATGTGGTTTGCACATGACGGCGACGACGGCAATACCAGATGACGTTCCTGTCTTCAGGTCAGTGCCTCAAATGGGTTGTCATTGATGTATGCTGAGCAGTCTTACGGATGGGCTTTGCGATGAGCCTCGGCAGGATGTACTTCTTGTAATGTTCGGGAATCGCCGCAATGATGGCCGTCAGCGGAGGGATATTGGCCAGCTTGTGCTTCTTGGCCAGCTTCGCCCGCAGCGAGTTGAGGTTGATGTCTCTGCCCGGCCGGCCATTCTTGGTAGCCTCGTGGTCCTCGATGAGGGCGTTGGCAAGATCCGCGCAGCACCGCAGGAAGCGCTCGCTCTCCGGCGCCAGCTCGACCGTCTTCTTCTGCGACGTCGCAATCGCCGTCATCGTGGTCGTGGCCATTCTGTCTGGATTCTTGCGCCGTATCGAGCGCTGGTTGAAACGGCCGAAAATGGGTGTGAATGATGACTGGAGGTGGTTTTGATGCCCCTCTGATGGTCTCGATAAGAACTTTTGGCACTTTATCGCCTCGGTGGGGCAGTTTCAATCTCCAAATTTTGGCATTACGGGGCCAAAACGGCACCCAGATACAGTACCGTTGTAAACGGAAGAGCCTGACACCAAATGCATGTCCCAAACGGTAGGCGCTCACGCACGGATGCCCCTCACCGTAACAGATTTTTTTCCCGCTGCCAACCAACCGTCAGTTCGGAAAAAGCAAGTGCCGGGTCCCCGGCAGCACCCGAAATCCAGAGCTGCCAGAGCCGGTAATTTTGCTGCCGTATCGACGATATTCCCTTCTGACAAGCTCAAGCCTCAACTTGCTCCCTGTCCTCCAGCGTTTGCAACCCGCGACGCTTCGCTCAACTTCGTTCTTTCTCCTCTCCTTGAACCTCTCCCCTCTCCCCCTCTCCCTCCACAGCAATGCAGGCCATTCCTCGAACCGCCGCGCGCTCTGCGCTGCGCAACGCCCGCCGTGGCTACAGCACCGCCAGCTCGCCGTACTCCAAGACGATCGAGAACCTGCGCATCAACAGCGAGACCAAGGTCATCTTCCAGGGCTTCACCGGAAAGCAGGGAACGTACGTCTTTGAACAGCGGCTGCCAAGACGGCCTCAGTCCGAAGCAAGGGAAAAGAGCGCAATGACATGCTAACGGAGGATACGCAGTTTCCACGCCTCGCAAGCCATTGAGTACGGTACGATGAAGCCTCGCCTCGCCGATGCGCACGACTGCTGGCTGCGAATACTTACGCGCTGTCGCCTTTAGGAACCAAGGTTGTTGGTGGAACAAACCCCAAGAAGGCTGGCCAGACACATCTCGACCTGCCCGTCTTTAAGAACGTCTCCGAGGCCGTCAAGGAGACGGGAGCTACCGCCACTGCGCTTTTCGTCCCGTATGCGATAACAGACCCCTGATGCCAAAATCTCGATGTATACGGTATACTGACACGGAGAAAAGCCCTCCCCTGGCTGCTGCCGGTATCGAAGAGGCTCTTGACGCCCAGATCCCTCTCGCCGTCTGCATCACCGAGGGAATTCCTCAACATGGTCAGAACTCACGAGCCCCACCATGGGACTTCCTATTCCCGCCCACAATAGGAAACAATGGCGAATGACAATGGCTAACCCTGCCAACGCAGACATGGTCCGCATCACCCAGATGCTCAAGACCCAGGACAAGACCCGCCTGGTCGGCCCTAACTGCCCCGGCATCATCGCCCCCGGCCAGTGCAAGATCGGCATCATGCCCGGCTTCATCCACAAGCGCGGCCGCATCGGCATCGTCTCGCGCTCCGGCACCCTGACGTACGAGGCCGTCAACCAGACCACCCAGGCCGGCCTCGGCCAGTCCCTCGTCGTCGGCATCGGCGGCGACCCCTTCAGCGGCACCAACTTCATTGACTGTCTCAAGGTCTTCCTCGAGGATGAGGAGACGGACGGCATCATCATGATTGGCGAGATTGGCGGTTCCGCCGAGGAGGACGCCGCCGAGTTCCTCAAGCAGGCCAACACCGTCAACGGCGGCAAGCCCGTCGTCAGCTTCATCGCCGGCATCTCCGCGCCCCCCGGCCGCCGCATGGGCCACGCCGGCGCCATCGTCTCCGGCGGCAAGGGCGGTGCCGACTCCAAGATTGCCGCGCTCGAGAACGCCGGCGTCATTGTCGAGCGCTCCCCCGCTGGTCTGGGCAAGGCTCTGTACAATGAGTTTGTCCGCCGCGATCTGCTGTAATCGGTTTCTTTTTTTCAAACATGAAAAGAGGCAACGAAGAGTTGAGCTTGATCATTTAATTTACCTAGATACAATTCAAAACCTATAAAAAATCATGACATGGAGGGAGTGGTGGGCTGGTTACCTCAATGGCTGGAGTATGTAGATAGGGAAGGGGAAACGGAAGAACATGTCGTCTCTTTCTCCCAAGAGAAATGGACTGCTTCTTGCTTTGTATTTGATCATATTCTTTGGTAGCAGGAGTGTGATATATTGTCTGAAGAGCACGATGCGCTGAATGCTGTTTCTTGATCTATGGTGTTGCGCGGAGTCTCTTCTCGCGCAAATATTCACCGAGTTGTCGGGGGGAGGGGGGACCAATAGCATATGCCGAGATGTAAAAGGAAAGACAGCGCGCTATTCGAGTATATATGCTATTTGATACCATCCTTCAAACTCCAAATTCGAAAGTCGTTGTATAATACGGTACGCGATGATATGCTCTCCCGGCCCCTATGGACTCAGATCTCTCCCCCATGATATTCTAGTCGTCTCTTCGATACGACGCCTCGCCCTCGGCATTTGCTATATCTCAAAAGAAAGAGAATAAAAAGCAACCAGCAAAGAAAAGAGAAATTACACCCAAAGAAACTTAATCCCAGACGGCAAACCGGAAATCCTCAATCCCATATGAAACTCCAGCCCGTTTTTTCGGCACCACTCGTTTGTCTAGATGGCCAAGACGCAGCTTCCATCCTATTGCTGTTCGCCCAAGAGCCGAGTCGTCACGTCCGACATCCTAGCCGGTGGTAGACTTGTGAGGAGGGGCTCGACCCTGCAGTACTCGAGCGCTTCGACGACGCTGTCAAGGCTGAAGCCCATGCTCGTGAACTGCTCGACGAGCTCCGGCCTGTACCCATGATACCTAAAACCGCAGAAACATTGTCAGCCCCTCGTTTCTGCCGAACAACTTGCGCCTCCCCGTGAGAATCCGTCACCACATACCTGCTCGCATCGACAGGCCCGCCTGTAGGGTTGGCCAGGCTCCTGTATCTGCTCTTGTCGAGATTCGCCTGGCGCGGGGCTCCGGCGTGTCGCACTGCCCACTCGTGCGCTATCTCGACGAATCTTTCGGGCTGGTTGAGCAGCATGCTGGCTACTTCGCCGTCTTGGGGGTCTGTGGGGTTCGGATTCTCGAGGAGCATCCGTACGGAGAGGAGGGCCGTCTTGATCGTCTGGACGGGGGACCAGTTCTTATTCAGTGTGTCGAGACAGATGACGCCCTGGGGGCAAAGCAGTGTGTTAGCACATATATTTTTCTCCCCTTCTTTACACAGCGATCTGAGGACAAACGCTTGGGCTAGACAATGCTCCTGTTCAGCAACATACCGTTTGACTGCTGACATTGGGATGCCAGATCCTCGTCTCAAACTTCATCTTGGGCGGCTTGAAAGGGTACTCGGTAGGGAGCTGGATCCTAATGACGTATTTGCCACCAGCGTACGGCGTGTTCGGGGGGCCAAAGAACCATCCCATCAGCGTCGAGAGGGAGCCCTCGTGCTCCAGGGCGGCGTGGATGCCGGACGTGTCCTTGTCCTCGGTCAGGTCCTGGAGCTCCTTCATGATGCGGCGGTCTCTGCTCGTCATGGTGGCGGTGGTGGTGGTCGAGGATGGCTGGAGGGGTGCGCTCCGAAGGGGGAGGGTTTGGAGGGTCGAAAGGCGTTGGAGGAGCGAGAGTGCTGTTGTGAGGATAGTATGCGCTGGTTAAAGGTCAGTAGAGTAGAGAGGTTGAGGCTCGGGGCAGAAAACAGGTCGGGACGAGAAGGGCCTCGGGCGGGTAGTGGACCGTTGGCCCAGGTCGCCTATCGAATCAGCCTCAGTTGGTGTCGGAGCGCTGGAGCACGCACAGAATCGCTGGAGTGGATGAGGGGCATCTGCGGCTCCCGACGTCAGGCCTGTAGCGGGACACTTTAGCGGCCTGCAGCTCCCGAGTCCGGTGCGACTTGGACTTTAGGTTGCAGGGGGGGCGTTTGTTCAGCGCAGCAGCTTCATGTTCTTAGTATTGGCATTTCCGGACAACCTTGGGAGCGTTGTGGTCACGCATCATCTTCTCCCATGCTCCAGTAGTTCAAGACCAGTCCAACTGAGCAGCAAATGATGGTTACTTCAGAGTCGGATAAGAGTCACTAGCGGTACCACCTTGATGGTTTATGTGTCCAGGTAACAGTACTCGCGAGGAATCCCGCCACCTCAGTTCCATGTTGCTTTGGGGTCGGAATCAAGCACTGATGGTCCTTTACCGTCCATTGTAAGTGTCCAGCGCTGCTTGATCAGTTGGCAAACCCACCCAATTGCCTGGATCGGCAAGTATCGAGACACAGCTGTCAGTGAAGAGATCTAACCCGCTTGGGGATTAGCATTTGAAACTGCGAGCAAGACACAGAAGCTGACAATCATCGATGAAATCACCTTCCGTTAGTCACGTGATGTAATATCTAAACTGGAAGCACGTGACTGGGCCGGAGCTGTCGTGTCTCTCTGTCGCCTAGCCAAGGCATGGGTGCTCTGTGCAGCATCACCCTGGCAAGCCGACTCGCCTCTCCATCGTCACAATCAACAATTCTGTCTCTTTCTCAACTGCGCCTGGTTCATTTGCAGGAATCCAGCTCGGGACAAGAGGAACAGCCATAACAATCCTCGAAGGAAGCTCTCCAGAGCTTGACCGGTCAAGATGGTGAGCTGCCCTTTGCTGCAGTTGCTGCTACTCTTGACGTGATGCATCTCTGCTGACATTTGGTCTCTAGGGTCAAGGACAGTCTGGGATGGGTGGTGAAGGGGGACGGAATGAAAAGGACAAAAAGGTTCGCCATCCTCTCTATTGCCCCTCCCCACGTCAGACAAGCAGCCACTGACTCCCGCGCAGAAGGACAAGCCCAAGTACGAGCCGCCGCCGAGGCCAACCACCAGGGTCGGCCGCAAGAAGAGAAAGCAGGGCGGTACCAGCGCCGCCGCCAAGCTCCCTGCAGTCTATCCCACCAGCCGATGCAAGCTTCGCCTGCTCCGAATGCAGCGAATCCACGATCACCTGCTCCTCGAAGAAGAATACGTCGAGAACCAGGAGCGGCTGCGCAAGGCCAAGGCCGCCAAGGAGGGCCAGACTGCTGGCCCCGATGGCGATGTCGACCGGTTAGCCGACGAGCGTGGCCGCGTCGACGACATGAGAGGAAGCCCGATGAGCGTCGGCACCCTGGAGGAGCTCATTGACGACGACCATGCCATTGTCAGCAGCACCACGGGCCCCGAATACTACGTCAGCATCATGAGTTTCGTCGACAAGGACCTTCTCGAGCCTGGTGCCAGCGTTCTGCTGCACCACAAGAGCGTCAGCATTGTTGGAGTCTTGACCGACGACGCGGACCCCATTGTCAGCGTCATGAAACTCGACAAGGCGCCGACGGAGTCATACGCTGATATTGGTGGTCTGGAGCAGCAGATTCAGGAAGTGCGAGAATCAGTGGAGCTGCCACTGCTCCATCCTGAGCTGTATGAGGAGATGGGCATCAAGCCCCCCAAGGGCGTCATTCTCTACGGTGCCCCTGGTACTGGAAAGACGCTTCTGGCCAAGGCGGTTGCCAACCAGACGTCCGCCACGTTCCTGCGTATCGTAGGCAGCGAGCTGATTCAGAAGTATCTGGGAGATGGTCCCCGATTGGTGCGACAGTTGTTCCAGGTGTGTAGCGTTCCTCTTGCAGCAAACAACATTCAAAGCCTATGGGTGCTAACTCGAGACATTAGGTTGCTGGTGAAAATGCGCCCTCCATTGTCTTTATCGATGAAATCGATGCAATTGGTACGAAGCGTTATGATTCTACGTCTGGAGGCGAGCGTGAAGTGCAGCGAACCATGTTGGAGCTTCTCAACCAGCTGGACGGATTCGACGACCGCGGCGACGTCAAGGTCATCATGGCGACGAACAAGATCGAGACTCTGGACCCCGCGCTGATCCGACCCGGCCGAATCGACCGAAAGATTCTGTTTGAGAATCCCGACCAGAACACCAAGCGCAAGATCTTCACCCTGCACACATCCAAGATGAACCTAAACGACGATGTGGATCTGGACGAGTTCATCTCTCAAAAGGACGATCTGTCTGGTGCCGACATCAAGGCCATTTGCTCAGAGGCCGGCATGATGGCTCTGCGTGAGCGACGCATGCGGGTGCAGATGGCAGATTTCAGGGCTGCTAGGGAGCGTGTATTACGTACCAAGCAGGAGGGTGAGCCGGAGGGTCTGTATCTGTAATTGTGGTCTCTAGCTAGTGGCTTCTGGGAAATGGAGATGATGCCGGCCGTATATCTTGGAAGCATTCGAGTGTCGGGCCAATGGCTCGACTACAAGTGGATGCAAAGCGAATATCAGCGACGCTGTAGTGATGCTCATGTGTTATCAATCAAAGCCTCGCAGTGACATTTTAGTTAAACCCATGAAGAAACTACCGTACTGCTTTTTTTCCATGATAAATCACATTTCCAGCTTTTCAGTCTTACTGCTCAACATGATCACCGTTCAAAGCCTTCTCTTCAGTCCCTCCTGGCAAAGTCTTGACGTCTGACGATGATGAATCACCGCTCTTGCCCTGTTGAGACCCCGCCGGTGCATAGTGGTACAATTTCCTGACGAAGACGAAGCCCCCCACCGAGGCTCCCCAGCAGAGCGCCGCGAAGGAAGACGTGATGAAGAGCGTGGGGACGAGGAAGAGGCTGGCGACGCCGATCCAGAAGAGGGCGAAGGCGAAGGCGGCGGCGAGGGCGAGGAGGAGGGTTGACAGGGCGAAGGAGAGGAAGAGGGTGAGGGGGAGGAGGGAGAAGAGGAGCTGGACGGCTGTAAAGGACTGATTTGATGTGAATTTGTGTTAGAATGAGAGGG